CCGAGCGCCAACGCGTCGGGCTCGGCGTCGCATTCCGCCCCCGCGCCCGCCTACGACCAGCCGCGAGCCCGAGCCGCCGAAGGCAGCTCTCGATGCTGCTACCACTGCCGCTGCTGCTGCCGCCGCCGTTGTCGCCACCGGTCCTGCTGGCACGGATGACTCGGACCACTAAGCCCCCCACCTCACCACCATCATCGCCGTCGGGTCCGCTGGCACAGACGGTTCAGACGACTGATTGCACACACCCCCTACATTTCTCCTTCATATACTCCTTCGCAAACACTCGCATTTTCCCTCTTCGCATCGAAGTATACCCCGCATCGCTCACTCGTACACTCCTTCTGGCGCAAACACTCGCATTTCTCGTCTTCGCATCGAAGTTTACATTACAACTCTGGATCTAATGTTCACCCATACTTTCTGTACCGTGTCTGTCACGAAATATCATTGTTTATGCTCAGTTCGCGTCGCATGTGCTGCATCTGCTCACTTTGATGTTCCGTGTGTGAGGTTGCCTTCTCAGCAGAATGTCATTTTGTTGGATGATTCGGCAAGCCCACTACGATCCTTCAGCCATCTCTGAATTGACGATGACCTGTTGCTCCTCGCATAACAGATAGTCACCACGAGTGAGGGCATATTTACCACAGACATGATATAACGTGAATGCAGACATCGTTATTTGATTGAGGTACGTTACATATCGTAAGGACCACAACAACGCTGCGTGAACATTGTTTGAGCGTACTCCGCAACAGCTCATCTCCATTCTCCATGTCACAACACATCGGATCTCGCAGGAGGGCCGTCTCAAATGAGACTCGCATATCTTCGATTGTGTTGCCTGTTGGATCTCATCGCAGCGCCTCGTGACATCGACCAGGTGATAAGTTTGCATCGTCGCGTTGATCTCGTCGTGAGCTCACCCTCGAACGGCGGTGTAGCCACAAAGTCATCGACTTGCGGCTAACTTGCGCCTAGCCACTGACTTGCCCAACACTGCCCAAGTACATGAGAAAGGATTCCGTGCTTATGTAGTAAAACGAAGATTAAGAGTGGACAAGTCGGTTTGGGATACAGACGTCAGGACTATGGAGCAACTATTGAGTGCAATCGCGGAACGAGCTTAAGGATGTCCTGTACTTAGGTACCTGGAACAGAAGAAGAAAAAGGGGCCGCCTTTATTCTGAGCGAGCGTGTGGCGCGCTACGCGCTCGGAGGCAAATGCCAAACATGGCAATTTCGGGGCGCAGCCCGCGGACTTCATGCTCTCTGCTTGTCTCCTCCTTGATCCCACTTGGAGGCCGACCTAACAAGATGGCTGCTTACACAAGCTGTATATGACGAGCTTTGCTCTCTTCCTTCGTACATCGATAGAACCAGCGTTCAGCGCTCAGTCCTCAGCGCGTCAAGCCTGAGGCCGATAACGTATCGGAACCTTCTTTGCGTCGGGGGGACGCGCGGACACCTCGAGTGGCTAGGGAGACCATGTTGTTGGTGGTGTCTGCGGATAAACCGGCTCGGCGATTTTGTCCTTTCCTCTTGCGCAGGTATGTCATGTAACGTTGTCTTCGCGGACGCGTCATGCTCATGCCCGATGGTTCAGCTTGCGTCGTCAGAGATCTCGCATTCACACGAACACAAACGCATTTCGCAGCCAAAACATGTCTCTCCTAGACCATCACCGAACACCGAAGACAAGATTGAGAAAACCGAACCATAGTCCCAAGCTCGAATCGAAATCCGTCCTGCCGGAGCGCTGCTCAACGACGCGCTTTCCTCCCCCGCCCCTTCACTCCGCCTCCAACGCCGCCCTCGTCACGCTCACGTCCACCGGCTCCTCGCACGGCCCATCGTGATACCCCCCTCCACACCTATAACAAAACTCGCCCCCGCACCAACACATCATATGCACGCACCCCCCGCTCTTCTCCACGATCCTCCGACAGTGCGGGCACCGCTGCCACTCCCTCTCCCTCCCCAGCGCCAACAACGCCCGCTCGCCCTCGTCCCGCCCGCCCGAACACGCGACGTGCCACGCGTGCGGCGCGCCTCCGCACGCATCGCACGTCCTCGCCCCGCACCCTTCCCTCACGCACGGCACGGCGCGCGGCGGCTCGCCGGCGCTCTTCCGCCCGACGAACGCTCCGCACGCCGGCGCGGAGCAGTACACCCTCTCCCCCGCCGGCGTCCCAAACTCGCGCTTCCTGTCCTCGTACGCCCGCACCTCGTCCGGCGCGAGCAGCGCCCCGAACGCGTCGTACGGGATCGCGGCGGCCCCGGGGCGACGGTCGCAGCAGCGCGGCGGGAACAGCGACTCGTCCTCCGTCGCTTTCCTGACGAGCTCGCGCAGGCACGAGGGGTGGAACCGGTGGCCGCACGGCATCGCCGCCGGCGCCGGCGTTTGCTGGAGGTCGTCGAGGTCGTCGAGGCACAGGACGCACCGCGCCGCCCTCGCCTTCCCCCGCGACGAACTGGCGGCCGTGCCCTCCTCCTCTTCGAGCTCTAGATCGACGATGGCGATACCGACGACGATCGGACGGTTCGAGGGCGCGATGGCGCCGAGGCGGAGGCCCTGGAAGTCGACTTCTAGGTCGAGCGCCGGGCGATCCCTCGCTCCCAGGTCGAAGAACTTGATATCGCCCAGCGGTTCGAGATTCGGCGCTTTGCGCTGCTCCAGGGGTCCAGATTCGGTGGTCGTTACGGGCAGAGGTGCTGCACCAAGAACAAACAGAAAAGAACACTGTCAGCTTTTCCGTCACCTCAGCGACGCAACAACACCACACGCACCCGGAACATCTTCCACGCCATCCCTATCCTCCACCACCCCATCATCCTCGTCGTCGAAAGGCGCCACGTCCAACGCCCCCTCCTCTTCCACGGCAAACACGAGCGTATCCATCGCCTGCTCGGCCGTGACCCCGTTCTGGACCCCGAGCACGTTCTCCACGAGGACGTCCCACGCGGCGTCCACCTCCGCCCTCCACACCGCCCCTCCTTCTCCCCCTCCTCCTCCTCCCGCCACGAGCATCTGCGCCCTGGCCGCGTCGACGACCTCCATGATATACTCCGGCGTCTGCTCGACGTCGTCGGAGAGGCTGCGCGCGAAGAGGTGGTCACGGAGCACGGCGAGCAGCCGCGTGGTCTCCGCCGCCCAGAGCGCGTGCGCGACGCGCGCGTCCGACGTTCTTCGTCGCTGCTGCTGCTGCTGCCTTCGCGTGGTAGAGGACGACATTTCGCCTTGGGGACACCTGTCTTTTGTGGGTGCTGGCGGTGGGGGAACGCAGACGAGGGCGATCGAGGACGGGCGGGTATTATATGAGGGAGGCGGAAGATGTCATGCCTCGTGTGTACCGCCCTGCGTAGGCTATATCCATGAGAACCTTGTGAGGTGGACTGCTCGCGCGCAAACGGCAGGGCGGGTGTATATCTCGTGGGGGGAGCTTCTGGTGCAACGTGGGCGGTAGTAGGTTGGAGGCGCGTCCTGAGCCTCGTGAAGGGGGTTCCATCGTTGAGTACAGTACCTATACCCTGTGCTATAACTCAATAGTGTTGTTTTATGGACAAAAATTCAACCACGGAATGCGTCGCTGTTCACTCACTGGATCGCAGCTCGCGACGCGGGGTCGATGCTGGCGCCGTGCTGAATGACGCTGTTCGTTCGTGGGCTCGCACAACGTTTACGGACGAAGTCGTATACAGGACATTCACCATCTTGGATTACATGACATGGACGTGTAGCAGCGAGGCAGGGAGCCGGGGGAAAAAAAATGTTGCAACATTGCAGTAGTGGTACAAGCTATCGGGTTCGAAGTAATGATTCGAGCGAGTACTGCGTGGACGGGAGGAGAATTTCTACAGGAATGAACCTGGCCAGATACATTGTACATCGTGAGACTTGTTTGAAGCGTGTTGGCTCGTCAAGAATGTTCAGGACCGTCTAATTGTTAACCGACATAATGCGCGTACCCGACTCCGTCGACTGAATCCATACGGCATCGCCTGCTAGTGCGGATCGTGGAGGTGTGAAGGATCGGATTACAGTATCCGGCGCATGGCGGCGCACTAGGTCGTTTTCGAACCGCGACAGGGCGTCAGCGACGGTGTTCTCGTTCCCTGCAATCCACAGGACTCGCAACTCGATAGAGTTCTCCAAGAGGATATCCACTGCTGCCTTCATAGGTTCGACGAATGGACGTCTCGCCTTCATGGAGTTGAACAGCTTGACGGTCTGCTTGTTGTCGCAATAGATGAGGAGACGCAGTGGAGCCTGACCATGCGATTTCGCCCAATCCAAAGCCGACACAACCGCCAAAATCTCCCAATATAAGCTATCACTCACGCCGCTCGGAGCCTGGACAGGCAGCCGGCACTGGAAACCTTTTTTGAGGCGCGGGCACCAGTATCCCAGGCCACTCAACGAAGCGTCCGAGTAGACGGTCAAGCCAGCATCTTCTGCAGGCCATTCCACCGCCTTAAAGAGCTTGATCGCTCGCGATCGCTCCATGTGGTCTGCGACCCAGATAAGATCGCGTAAGACCGCGTCGCTCAGCGATACCAGTTCGCGGGGATCGGTTTTGCCCTTCATTGACTGATGGAGGTGGGTCAAGCCCGGACGAAGGAGGGGGAAAACGTTGAATGCCCAGTTGACGGAACCGGCTAGCTGCTGGAGCTCGACGAGTGGATAGGATTGAGTCTGAGGAACCCGTTCAGCACCAGCAAGCTCCCGTATCTGCATCACAAGAATCTTGCGCTCGTCCTGACCCATGCCGATGCTCATCTTGTTCGCATCGACTTCGTATCCTATAATTTTGAGTATAGGGCCATGGACCTGCTTGCGATCCTCGTGAGGAATGCCGAGCTCGTCCCAAAGCTCCAAGAGGCGCTTCTGATTCCTCGGCATGCGGCGGCCGTATGGCCGGTACAAACGCATGTTCTCTGATTCGTCATAGCTGAAGATGTCGTCAACGTATCCCAGGAGGTCCGGGATGCCGCGAACTTTGATTGCGATCCACAACACCAGGCTCATGAACGATACGAATATATCTCCGGCTTTTCGGTTCCCGAAGTGGTTGCATCGGTCGACATATCTTTGTCCTTCCACCGTGACGATTTGGCGGATCTGCCATAGAGGGTGCATAGGGAGGTTTCGATACGCGCTGGATACGTCCGACTTCCATAGAATCAGATGACGCTTCGGGTCCAGCCCTGCCGTATGACGGGCACGATGTAAAGCCCTGCCGAGATCCTGGATGTTGTCTACAGGGATTGTCGGTGGAGCACTCGGAATCATTCCGTTGAGCGAGTACTCCCCGAAAGAATCGTCGTTTATAAGACGGAATGAGGTCTCGCCCTTGGGAACGACACAGATGGGCATGCTATACATTCCTTCCTTGAGATCCGTTCCAAACGACGGAGACCACCGCCTGCTCTGGACTTCTTTATCCCTGTACTCCGATACGAAAGCTGCGTGCTTGGGGTTACGAATGGGGCGGAGGGAGTTATCCCAAGTAGTGGGTAGCGCGGGGTCAGACGTGTCTGCTGATGGCCAGAAGCCCTCTCGCAATCCGCGAACGACAGATTGAACAAAGGCCCGATTTGGGTGGGTCCCTAGAAGCTCCTCGAAGCGGTCTACGTCGATAGGCGTAACGATTGGAAATAGACGACGGTTCGCCTTGATCGTTCGCCAGGCTGCAGCATTTTTTCTCTCGTTTTCAGGCACGCCAGGCAGGGGAGCAGCGGACTCAGTGGCCAAGGCAGATGTAACCCTGGGTGTGTCGGGATCGTCGAATGTGCGTTTGTATTGAGGCTGCAGCGCCCATTTCCAGTCGCCGCCAAGAGGCTTGTGTTCAAGGGACCCGTCCGCAAGACGTTTCTCCTGATGTTCAATTGGCGCAAGAGACTTCGATCTATTTATCGCGGGATCACTTCTATTTTACATGTCAGTCAACGATGTCCGCATATTGATGACAAGTCAAGCGAACCCTTGCTTCACACCCGCGCGCGATCGATTAGGGTCAGAAAGGGACTTGAATTTGTTTACGGCGGGTGAGTCGCCTCTGTTGAAAATAAAAATATCAGCTGACGATGTCCGTATCATCCATGAACAGGTCGACCTATTGTGAGAACCCGTATATGAACGGCTCGTATTCGCATGCGCCTTCATCTTGGTCACTGCCGCCACATCGTTTCTGCTCCACACTCTGTTCAACAACATCCACTTCAACAGACGGCGAACGAACCTGTCTTGAGCTCTGGGGTAGGACCGGTTGGCGTTCACCAGAGTCTTTGGCCTATTCGCGGTGGATGGATCGTCACCTCTACTTGGCACACCACTCAGGAACGCTCCAATGATCGATGAAGAGGCATACCTTTTTCCTACACCCGAAGGTGATCCATGAGCGGCCCTCGTTGGAGATTTCGACGTATTCTCGATGGATAGATGACCTCTGCTTCGGTCAGCAACCAACAATGTCCGACAGTCTATTAGTGAACGTACCCTTTCTGAACCGTCGGAGGCGATCGCCAAATGGTTGTCGCTGGGGCCCTGGACGTATTCGCGGCGGCTAAATCACCTCTGCTTCACGAATAAGACAACGGTACCTCGTCATCAATCAACAAGCGTACTTTTTCCGGGCATGCGGGTACGCGCGGACGGCACCGATGAGCCTTTCGATCGCTTTATTGAGAGCTGCAATATCCTCTGGGGAGAACTTTTCCGTCTTGACAAGGCCAGTGGTTATGACGCGCCACGCGGACTCCACGTTCGCTGGCACCGCAGCCTTGGGCCTTCCCGACGCGGTGTATGCGCCGGTCATCTTTGTCTTAGCGGTCTCCAGGGTTTGCATGATAGAGACAGGAGCGGACATGGGTATTCCGCTCTGGTCACGGCCACGAGCCTGCACATGGTCCTGCAGTATGCGCAAGAGCCGTATGAGCTCTTCGGCCCACACGGATCTCGCGCCATCATCGTCTAAAGGTTGAGGGGGACGAGCAGCGGGGGAAACGGGTTTCGCGTCGCCGATGCGAGATGTAGATGACCCCATCGTCCCGGTGGTCCCGGTGCTGTCGCCCGATCTGAGGTTGAAGGGCGAGTTGCCTCATCCTAACATCGACGGGTAGATATATATGAAAGATGAGCGGCCCGCGTTATCTGCATGGTGTAGGTGCTGTTAAGAGCGGTCGGTGTGTTTTATGAGCAAGCTGTACAAGAAGCTCACCGAGATCCCAATAAAGTACTGCTGCATGCACCCCATTACGCGCATTACGAACGAGAAGTCTTATATTACATTGCTGACATCTACTGCGCCATTCGGGAGCCAGTTTTACCCTGCCTAGGTTCGCCATTGAGTGCATGTTTATCATGGGGTGGGCAAGATGTAGCACTGACGGGGACGTGCTGCGCGGATCGAGGCCCGCACTCTTCGCGTTGACTGCCACTGTATAGCACGTCTATATCGATGATGATCGTAGACGCACGACTTGATCTGTTGGCGGTTCGCAGAGATAGCGTCACAGAAAGCTAACATCCTAGCATATACTATCGTGTCGCGGTGTAGCATTCATATGCATCGTGTGCACAGAGGCGGTCTATGAATGAAGCGGGAGGACAAACAGAAGGGGCTGCCATCGTTTCGGGCGGCACGAGCCGAGTTCGGCCGGCCGGCGGAGGTTCCGTACTTGCGCTGGCGCAAATGAGCGGCATCCGGGGACCTTGCGCTATCCTCCTGTGCAACAGCTATACAAGCCATGAATCTTTGAGGGCATCCGCTTTCTATGTTGTCGAGGCCTGCCCAGAGTAAGCCAGGTTATGCTTATCGTTTCATTCGCGCAGCACCTCAACGCCGAACTATCCTATCTCGTGAGCAATACAAACAGCTATCCTACAGATCGGAGCTTGGACGTCAAGCTGACACAGAGCTTAGACGCCTCCGACACGAAGATCACATTCCATAGCTACCGAAGAATGAAGCATGTCAATCTCTGTCGAATACTCGTACACGCCAACGAAATCTCTCACCCACCAACTACGCCGCGATCGCCTCCATAGTCGCGCTCGGAGCCACAGGGCTCACACAGGGTCCATCATGGTACTCTTGTCCGCAGCGGTAGCAGAACTCTTGAGAGCACAAGCACACCATATGGACGCACCCTCCGTTCTTCTCTACGATTCGCTTGCACCGCGGGCAGCGCTGCCACTCTGCTCGTTTTCCCATCTCCAACAACGCGCGCTCGTCAGCGTCGTACCGCGAGGAGCACGCGATGTGCCACGAGTGCGGTGCTCCTCCACAGAGGTCGCAGGTTAAGGTAGCGCATCGCGGGCATGCGACGGCGTTCGGTTGCTTTGCGGTACCCTTCGCCCCGAGGAATGTGCTACAAGTGCGGGAAGAGCAGTACAATCTGTCCGGCGTCATGTACTCGCGGAGCTTTAGATCGTACGTATCCGCCTCTTGACGCGTAAGAAATGCACCAAATACGTCGTAGGGAATAGCCTTTGCACAGCAGCGGGGAGGGAAGAGGGACTCGTTCTTCATCGCGTTGCGAACGAACTCGATGGCACATGACGCGTGGAAGACGTGGCCGCAGGACGTCAAGGGTACCAGCATCCGGCTCATTTCGGATGACTCTCCAATCCCTTCAAGGCATATGACGCACGTAGGGTCGTTACTGATAGTCGAGGTGAAAGGACGTCTGTGCAAACGGGGAGCGACCAGCAAGGCCGAGACGTCGTCATCAGGGCTTGCCTCGTAGGATCCATCTTCCCTGTGTGACGTATGATGTTAACATACAAGAATATCTGCAGGATCACTTACTCCAAATTGGACCCTTCGTCATGAGGAATATATGGGATTATCGCCGGAGATGGGCTATCAAGTATATCCTCGGCCCAGCGACGATCCGAATAGCCTTCTGGATTGTAGTCATCCGCTTGCCGGATGCTTGCACCAACATCGTTCCGTTCGCTCGCCTGGATTTCACCAGACGAGGCATTGACAACTTGGGGTGCAATTCCCATTAACCTCAAAGTCGCCTCCAGTCGTGTGGCCACTGCGCGATCTTCAGTGATATGAAAAGGCAATCGATACAAGGACGACGACGATGTATCAGCGTCAGGTTGGACTTCTTAGGGCCCAATTGTGAATATTACACACACTGTTCTGATTCGTCATCGCCATTCGATGAGTCGGTATCCACAGATGTGAAGTCCCTAGGAGTTTGTGAGTGCCTATCCTATCTACCCAGACGATGCTTACTGAGGGTTGATCTCCGCGGGTTCGTCTTCGTCATCCGACTCCACAGCATAAAGCACATCAACGTGAGGCACCTCGTGCGCAGAAACTGGGCCTGCTTCTGCCTCGATCGCGACAGCTAGCCTGTTTATTGCTTCATCAGGGGTCGTCGTACTCCTCGATTCCGAGCTGCGAATCATCCCGAGCAGGTGTTCCGTGAGGACGGTCCATGCCGCATCGACCTCAGCGGGCATCACGGTTCCGCGGCTCCCCGACGCGGTGTACACGGCGAGCATCTGGACCTTGGCCGTCTCGAGGATCTCCATGATGTGCACGGGAGTCTGCGCAGACGGGTTGCGCCCGTCGAGGCTCCGGGCATACAGATGGTCCCTGAGCACGTTCAAGAGCTGCATGGTCTCTGCGGCCCATAGAGATCTTGCAACGTGCTCGTCGGAGGAGGTATCGCTCGCGCGTACCCCCTCCGTCGTGTCGGATGTGGTGTGGTTTGTGCTGTTCATATTGTTGTGCTCGACCGACGTTGATAACGATATCACTCTCGCTGGCGTACAAGGAGGACAAGGAGAGCGGGCATGCTATGATCGCGGGGGGATACACCACTTTGAGCGTTATGCCTCATGTCCGCGGCCTGTTCAAGCTGTAGATGCTATACGAAGCAGAATTACTTCTTGATACTAAGCGTATGAGACACGGGATAAGAACGGTGATCGATAGGCGGCATACAACTTCGTATCTCATGCATCATGCCTCATGTTACTGTTCACTGCCTGTGCGAGCTGTAGATGCTATACAAAACAAAGTTACTTCTCCGTATATGGGGCATGAAGAAACATGGCAAGAACGATCCCGCTGTAGCACGCCTCGCGCGTGTCCCCAAGATTCTACGGACAAAAACTATATCGCACGTGTCAAGAATAGATACATGCTGTCGGGCTCTAGACCATCGAACTGGTCGAGGCGCCTTTGCTCAAAGACGATTGCGCCTGCATCGATTGCAGGCCATCATACCGCACCCCGTTCCACATCGCTGGAGAAGTGGGCGATGATGAGCATCTGCTGCGGATCCACGTGCAGAAGATGCTCACGAAGAGGTATTGTGGAAGCCAGAACCCGCATTCTTCGCATTGGCCTCCGCCCGAACGATATCCCCATCTTCCATGCTGATGTTCGTGGTTGACGCGCAGGTCCTCCACGGCGGCTTGCACCCTCTCCAGCATAACAGCTTGCGGCACCGCCTCGCGCCTGGGATCGATCCCAGCCTCGACCTGGCGTCGGGCGGCGACGACGAGACGGTTTTCATCCCACTGCGGGCATTGGCACGTCTTCCACGTCTTCGCACACACGTAGCAGAACTGCGCGCGGCAGCGGCACGTCATGTGGAAGCAGCCATGTGCGAGTTCGACCATCTGGTGACATTGTGGACAACGCTGCCAGCCTTCTTCCCTGGCGAGGTCGAGCACGACCTGGGCCTCGGTGTCGGTGGCGCAGGGTTGGAAGAAAGGGTGCGCGGCGGTGTTGCACGCGCCGCAGGTCCGGGTGTAGCATTCGGGGCAGTAGAGAGGTGTTGGGGTCGAGGTAGCAGCACCGACGAAGGCGCCGCAAGAGCGTGAACTGCAGTAAATTTTCTTTCCGACCGTGTTGTACTCGCGCTCCTTCTTCTCGAAGAGGAGGGCCAGCTGGGACGAAAGATGGGGCCTGATGAGCGAGAAAGGGATGGGCTGCGTGCAGCAGCGGATTGGAAACAGGGATTGGTCTCGCGTAGCGGCTTCGACCAGGTCGGTGATGCATTCTACATCGTATGGGTGCCCGCACGGGCCTGCGATGGAGGGACCTGTAATCTTGTCGCGGCAGGATGTGCATTCTTTCGCGGGTTTCGGTCTGGACAGATGTTGAGCATCAGGACTCTGCTATGGGCAGGAGCGAGAGAACGTACTTGCTTGAAGGCGCCGCTGTGTAGGTGCTACCATGCGGAGCTTTAGGAGTGGCGCGGCCAGAGTTTGTGACCAGGGTGGATAAACTATGAGATAACGAGGTTAGATACCCAGTCAGATATACGCCTGGGATACTTGCATCGATGTGGCAGTTGTAGAAGCTGGAGTAGACGACGCGGCGGGCTTCGACGTTGACGGGCGCGCGGCAGATGCGCTGCTCGCAGCTGGCCGAACGGGGATGCCTTGTGAGAGGGCGAGGGCGACGCGGCGATCGTCCCTCGCCTGATTCTCCTCAGCCTGGCAGGCCTGGACCAGAGCATGATCCGTCGCAAGGGCGGAATCGATGCTCTGAGCCAGGACACGATCCTCGACGGCCCGACTCATGGCGCGGACCTCTTCCTCGTACAGGCGGAGGGCAAGGTCGGCGTCGCTCGGAGGCGCGCCGTCCTTACCCTTCCCCTTGCGGTGATCTTCGAGCTCGCGTAGGTCCTCGAGCGCAAGCTCGGCGATAAGGCGATACAATTGAACGTCATCGTCATCATCTGGATTTGGATGGTAGGGGGTAATCGACGCCGAGTTTATCACGTTGGGGACACGGGATGGACCTGCAAGCGCTGCCATCTCGTATACCCTGTGGTAGGGTGATGCACGGGAGCCGGGGGGGCTGAGCGAGCTGGAAGGCGCATTATATGTGAAGATCGCGTGAGATAAGGATCGGTCCCACGCACAGTCAGTCCATATTCAGACGCCATCACAGAGGTTTGGCTGCCATCGAGGCTTGAGCGCCAGTCGATTTCCCTTGTGCTCTAGTAGCGCGTCGCGAATGGTATTCGCCAGCCATGTATAACAGATGCCTTCTGGAAACCCTATGATCTGCGATTACGAAACATCGATCGTCAACGTATGCACGGCGATCGCATATCCAATCGTTACACGGGCAGTACACGCCTGCAGACATTGCAACGATGTCCTGAGCATTGTGTATCCAGAGCGATCATACAACCTGAAAGAATGAGCGCGCCATCATCGCTCACCTCTTTGACCGCTCACGTGATGCAAGAGCTTCGAAGTGGGAGGTCCGGCGGTGGATTACGAGCGTAACAAGAACGGCCCGTAGGGATCGCTGGATCGCTTATAGAGGCGGCAACTTTGATGTTATACTACCGCAAGTCGTTACTGGTTCAAGACACAGTCCATAAACCCTGCAGATGAACCTTGATCAAGATCGGGTAAAACCGTGATCAACGACGAGAGGTGATACCAATTCCTTCATCCCACCACCGCCACCTGAATCATCCATATCATTGCCCTTGCCGTTTTCAAGGCAATTCTTGGAGTATTGGTGTCTGTGGCACTCGTTGAAGCCGTTAATCCGAGAATCCCTGGTCGAGGGTCGATATTTCTCGAGATAGCATGATGTCCCTGTGACAGGTGTCGTGGGCCTTGGATGGAGTGACGCGGGAGGGCGGTCTTCCCCGAAACTGGGCGACGTGTACTCACCAGACCAGTTCGTATGCTCAACGACCCAGTGACCGAACTCGCGTATCCCTGCCGCTCAGCCAACGCCGGCAAACCGATGTAACTGTTTGATGAGTATGATCTGCCTCGGACTTCCATTTCTCCAAGCTACATGCATTATGTCAGGTTGAAGACATCCAGGATACAGCGCCGAAATCTCCTCGTGGACGGCGGATCAGTCTTGTGGTGTCTTCCTCATCCGCGGCCTCTTCCTATCACGACCGTGATCGTGGTCTTGTTGAGGAATCGTTCGAAGAGCCCTGAAACAAGTTGCCTGTTTTGTGCGTTAACTACAATCTAAGCATCGATGGTGAACGCCCGTACCTTCGTTGACTTCCAAGAGGGTCTGCATGTAGGTGGTGCGGAAGGGCGATGGCGGTGACCTGCGGGAAATCTCTACGCGCAGCAATCACGCCGGATTCTTCTCCATGTCGAGCGGCGAGCCTGAACTTGAAGATTGAGGAGCTGTCAATATGAATTCCTGCGAATGCCAGGACGTATGTGAGCACGCCGCGGACGCTCGCATGCCACTTGGAACTTCCGATCATCCACAACAAATGCGCGTGCGAAGCGTGGATCAAATACTATATCGTTTAGCGAATACATCGTCCACAGATGCCATAGAGCAAGCGCAAAGACGTCGACAAAGCGGTCGCAAACTTCCACGAAACTTCTTCAACGCCGGCAACTGCCGGCGTGTAGCGCCACCATCGGGTCTTCGCCCCGACAGAGACTCTCCTGACGAACGTGCCCTCGAGTCGTGATAAAAACCCTACAGAAAGACACGTATTACGCCCTATAAAGTATGACTGACCCGTAAGGCCTCCGTAGCATAGAAGTAGAGTAGAACGAACATTGTACTCTAGCTTTCTCCTGCGCACTCAACGAGACTTACCCCGGTCTATTGTGTCAACTTAAAGGAACTCTAACCGTGTGACTACACTTCGCTTACAAAGCTTACCCGTCGTCACACGGGGAGCCCCTTGAACCTGTCCTGCCTTGTCTCGCTCGCTGGCTTCCTTGAACGGCTGATATGTATGATCCCGAGTATGCGCGAATCACTACACGTGGCTCATGTGTGTCGGCCAAGGAAAATTATACAATCGAGGGCATCCTTCCGCGGACTCTGTATGCATCATCTGTAACAAGTATTATCATTATATCGTTGGCCTCATCGAGGATCGCAAAGTCTGTACTTTTATGACCGTAAGTTCGTCTCGTGTCCCCGGGGCACCCGGACCGAACTTATTGTTCCCTGATCCCTGGCACTCCGAACCTCCGGGACACATTATATCTGACCGCGAGAGTCTTAAAAAATCTGACCTCGTAAGCACGTGTCCCCAGGGCAGGCTGCGGATAAACTTCCCACGGCCCCGAACTCGGGGGTGTCCCCTGTCCCCCTCCGACCTGGCCGAACTTACGGTCGTAAAAGCACAGTACTGTACTTTTACGACCATAAGTTCAAGCGGACCCCTTGGGGACAGGGGACACGCTGTAAGTTCAGACTCGTGGGAAGTTCATGAACTGATATCAATTAGATTGCTTTGTTCTCACAGTAAGTGTTGCTAATTCTCACGGTCAGTAAGGTTCGGCCGAAATGGGAGGGGACAGGGGACAAAACCCTGATTTAGGTTCAGTTCAAGGGTAGGGGGGGAACGGGGACGAACTTATGGTCGTAAAAGTACAGTACTAGTATTTCAGACTTTCTTTGTACAAGGAGGTGTCATGTCATTATATGCTGTTCGCAGCAAAAAAATAATTCAGGCGACCACCACCACTACGTGGCACCGCCCCGATTTGGTAAATTGTAAACCCTGGTCCCGCGCATCCCGAAAAAACGAAAAAACGGTATATGTATCCACGCATGTCCGAGTTGGTATGTACGAGCTTCGCACAAACGTTCGGAAGCACGATGGGCGCAACTTATGGAGTCCAAATGTAACAAAAAAAAGAGAGAGAGAAAACAACAGGGACGGAGCATGCAATGACAAAAAGCAAAAAGCAATGTATACGATACACGGTGCAATGAGTTTGAAATGATGACGGAGTTGTATATCCACTGAGGCGGGTACAAGCATGACACGCGAAGAAAAAAAGAGACAGAAAAAAAATCCAAAGGCGACGACACAGAAAAGACGCGGTCCGCCCCCCGGCGATGAGAATACGAGGAGGTAAGAAGACATTTCAAGGTGCTACGCTAACGCCCGAACGCGATCCCCCACGGCGAGCTTCTCCGGCGCTGCTGCTGCTGCTGCTGACCAGGCACGTCGTCCCACGCCCACCCCGATCCCGATCCCGAATCCGAACGTGCGTGGTGGTGGTGGTGTTGGTGTTGGTGTTGGTGGTGATTTTGGTACTCGTCCTCGACATCCTGCGGCATCCGGATCAACCCCGCCTGGTCCTCCTCCCACATCTCCACTCTCTCCCTCTCCCTCTCCCTCTCCCCCTCCCCCTCCCCCGCCCCTGCCCCCTCCCTGTCGCGTGCGTGCATCCCCCGGTCGCGCTCGTGTTCGGGCACGAGCACGTCCGGCGGGTCGAGCGCCGCCTGCCACTCGATCTCGACCGGCTCGTGCTCGAGCGGGCGGGCCTCGCCCCAGATGGTGTGGCCCGGGCCCGTCGTCGTCGTCGTCGCGGACGAGGGCGAAGAGGGGGGGGAGGCGGAGGAGCGGCGCGCGAGGCCTGGGAGACGGGAGGCGGAGTGCACGCCGTCGTGCATCGCGAACGGGTTTAACCTAGATTTTTTGGTGGGAAATAAAACGCGCGGAGGGAAAAGAGGATCAGCGCTGGGTCGAGAGAGAGAGAGGAACGAAGGGGAGATGAGCAGGGGAGGGAAGGGGAGGCTGAAGTGCGAGACAAGAGGAGAATGGAAGCCAAGGGCACGCAGAAGGCGGTTCGCCGGAAGTGGACGAAAGCGGTATGGGCTGCTGACCGCTGCGGAGGAGGAAGAGTGTAGTGTGCGCTACACAGATCGCGACGAGATCGCAGAAGAGCGAAAGGGGGGGGGGAGTTTGAAATACAAAAAGTGACGTAAAAAAAACCGAGAGAGAGAAGAAATGGAAGAAAGAAGAGAGGAGATAAATATAAAGAAAGGCGAAATTTACCGGAAGACGCCCATCATCCTGCGTTGCGCCGCGCTCGCCTGGGTCGCGCGCAGGGGTACCTCGCTCGGGACGACGTTGCTCATCTGGCCCTGGCCGCCGCCGTACGCGTCGCCGCCCAAGGCCGGGCTCGGGGATAATCCGGTCGAGAACGGGTGCTGCGGCTGGGATCCGGCGAAGGACGCGGAAGGGTGCTCGAAGACGAAGGATTCGTCCGCTTCCGGCTCGCGTTTGATGCGGGCGGGGGCCGGTGGAGACGCGGATGCGGCGGACGGCGCGGGGGTGTGCAGTCGCGCGGGTTCTGTTGGGCGAGGGTGGTGGTGCTGGTGCTGCTGGTGCTGGTGCTGGTGCTGGTGCACCGAGTCGTGGTGGGGGTGGTGCTGATGATGTTGGCGCAGCGCCGGCAAAGCAGAGGAAGAGGCGGACGGGAGGTGTTGTTGCCGATGTTGAGCTACGTGGGGGGTGGTGGTGGTAGCGGTGGTAGCGGCGGTGGTGGTTTCCGCGCGAGCGGGGTAGTGTCCGTATGGCGCGTGCCCGTACAACGTCGGATCGGCCGCGTTCGAGCTGAAGCTGTTATCGGACGCCGCCCAGTAGCTCTGCGGATGGGGCTGCTGATGAGGCCGCGAGGACGAGGAAGACGCGGAAGACGATGCCCAAGCGGAGGGGAGGTACGGATCCCAGGACATCGCGTTGCGGGGCGGGAGGGACAACGAGGGCAACAGCAGCGGGTCGGCGCTGCCCGCGTAATATCTGTCGAACTCGCCCGCGACGGGCAGAGGCGCGGGATAGGTTGACGCTGCGGTTGTAGCCATTGCCCGTCGGTTGAGGCGGCGAGGCGGAGGCGGGGAGGGCGGAGACGGCGTGGCGGGCGGTTCTGCGGGGGAGAGAGAGCGATACGGAGGCAATCGCGATGCTGGATGGAGCGAGAGGTCTGCGCGGTTACACGTCACCGCGGGCGCGAGCGCTAGCGGCGTCCTTTTCTCCTGTTCTCCGTGTCGATAAGGAACCGAGGAAAATGCGTATGAAATGCCGAGAGGGGAGGACGGTGGGGATGGAACGCGGGAGGTTGGTGCGCAGATCTTATAGAGCGGGAACGCGCGGTTGTAACAAAAGGATCTTGCATCTTACATCAGTCGGGCGAACCGAGGGGTGGTGTAAGGGCGCGAATCCGTTAATTTGATTGCACGGTGTGTGCCACGCGACGATTGTGTCCGCGCCTCTTCGAAGAGACCGGAATTCGAGAGCGCGTCCGTAAGCATGAACACGCCGGCGGAGCTGGCCGTCCCCGCTTGCGCCGCCTTTGGGGGGTTTTTTTTCTTCGTTTTGGGATTCATCCTTTTTCGATTCGCTATAGAGTCAGAAAGAAACGCGGTCGATCCACGAGGTATCGGCTGACGATCCTCGGGGCTCCGCGGAAAAAAGTACGAGAGACGTGGTGGTTGGTGGTGTTTTACATGCCGCGCCGAAGCGATCCGGAAGATACGCTATACGCCCTTCGGGGGGGTGTGGCAGGAAACGAGCGGCGGGGGGCCCAGAGACGAGTGTGGGAGAGAGACGGCGGTGTCCGTTGGCTCTACTCGCGTGGCGTTGTTGTTCCCTGTGGATGTGGGTTTTCTGGGTTTGTGCGCCCCGCACGCTTGCCCGGTTTGGCAGGTTTCGCGACGGGATTTGCAGCGCGAGGGCGCCCGGGGCGGGCTGCCCCATGACGCTTGCGCGCGTGCCTTCCACTTAACCTTTGGACCTGAGACGGTAGATCGGCGGTCAGATGTGGTTTTTGGACCAAGAACTGGCTCACAGAGCTCGTCTTTAGCCTCCGTGCCCCCCACTCGCGTTGCAGCGAAATGGCCGGTGAGCTGGGAAAAGGGCATGCGTGAGGTGAAATGCCACACTAAAGTTCCGAGCAAAAAGTCAGATGGGTCCCCGAGTCCGAGGAGAAAAGAGCTGGGCGATGCGGAAAGCGCTAACGGGATCTGCTCTCCGGTGGATGTGCGCGAAGGTGAGCTAAGAAGGAAGCATGGGGACGGCCGACGAACCCATGCGCGTTACGTGGAAAAAAAGAGACCGGCGTCGGAGGCCCCTAATCTTGGGTTTGCTTCCGCGTTCGAACTTGGTTGGATGTGGATCGCCCACCGCGTGTCTATCCTCTATCCGTGACGTACTCGATAAAGTTCGACTTCGGGTCTTCTCAGTTCGTGTACGATGGCAAGTCCGTACGGAATCTCTACCAGGACTGCGATTCGCCGCTGTGGGCATGGTCTGCCCATGGAAGACCGATAATTCATAACTTATTCTTTGGAGATCGCCTTGGCAACAACGCACGTTCTCGAAAGGGAACTGTCGATGACTTGTTCCTCTCCGGGCACCTTCTACTCTGCACGCAATCGTCGATCCCATAATGAAAAATCCGATCGCAATCTCGATTCATGACCAGCGAGACGTCGAACGGGGGGGACAGTCGCTTCTGGAGTGTATATAGGATAATCTGCACATATAGAGGATCACAGAGCTTTTCGGTGGACGAGCAGGTCTTTGAGTCGTTTATGACCGTTTCGTCGCCCGCCGTACCTTCGCTGCACGCCAACAACATGCCAAGGGTGCGTGCTTCGACGGTGTGGACGAGAATACGAGATCTCCTACATGGTACGTTCACCTTCCTCCCTCCCTCCCTCCCTCCCTCCCTCCGGCCGATCCGAGGAGCAAAAAAGAAAAAGTACCATCGAAGCTGGGGCACATGCCCTTCGCCATGCCGAGGATACATACATAGTTACCATGAACCCGCCATGAGATATCACGGGTTGCGCGCATAACGCCACGACGGGCTGGCAAGCGACCGAACCCCATCGAACGGAGCGCCAAAAACGGATATCGGCGCACGATAAGCGGAAGAAAGGGGACTCTCGCGACCCTGGCCCGGCGACTTTGAACGGTGTCGTGTGCTTAGTATCATAGATCTTTTTTTTTCTTCTTTGCCCTAGGTATGGCACCCCAACCAACCAAGGTCCCGGAAACACGTCAGTCTTGGCGCCAAAAAAAAAAACAAGGGGGATCCGCGCGCCTCCTCGTGTGCATAGTACCTAGTACCTTGTCCAATTCCGCCGGATCACGTTCGAAAGGCAAAGTACTCGGAGCCCCATCGCGATCGGTGCAAAGTCCAGACGTTTGCATCAACCCTCCGCCAGCGCCAGCCTTCGGCACAGATATAACAACCAACGCAGATCGGATAGTGCGAGGCGCGAACACTCGAGCTTCCCCACGAAATCAAACAAAAGTGCACATCCCAAGGTTTTTCTTTTTTTCTTTTCTTTTTGTTTCCTTTCGAGAGATCACGAATACGTAGAGCGCGACGCAAAAAAAAAAAAAGGTCTGTGGCGGCATGCGTTGAGTCCGACGTTCCGAACGTCCCGTCTGATGGGAAGGACGAGCCAATCGCGCCTTGAACAAGAAGCTGAAAGCTGTGACGTATCACCCCTTTCAGCGCTGAGCGTGGAGATTCGTCGGTGGAACGCTCGAGGCTGGGATCCGGCGTCACAAGAATGCGTTGATACGCCGGCCGGTCAGCCAAGGAGCAAAGAAAACCCTGCGCCAGCGATCTGATGCGGCCCCGGCGGTTCCTATCTGGGCATCAATCGGCGAGGGGCACCGGTGCCTCGGCGCGCCCTTGAACGCCGCGCCACACGCACGACATTAAGTACCGTCTGAGTCGTCGGTCAGAGGGCGCGTGCCGATATTGCTTCTGCGACGATTTTTTAATTTTATTTTTATTTTCCGTCCAGGACTGTGTACATGGCACATGTACCTCGCCCTGGAAATCCGCGAACCTCGAAGATCCTCCAGTGAACGAGACGGATGAACGTTTCGTTCTTCCGTTAATCCGCAACCGCGAATATGATAACTTATGTGCGCTCGGCAGTCGGTCTGTGCAGACATTGAGTGGCCATGGTCGACGCACATTTCATAGAGAGACGTGTACGCACCTTGCCCCTAAGCGATGTCCGGCATTCAGCAGGCGCCTCCGCTTCGCGGCCTACGAAAAAAACAAAAACGCGCCGTATCGCCGTTGCTCGTGGCCTCGTCCTGGTCAGATTCGCTGTCGCGTCGAAGGATTTCCACGAAATTATTGTAATCATGACGCACAAGAAGCGGCGACAGTTCCGGACCTTGTGGTTGAACGTTGAACGCTGAACGCCATGGGAGGGGCAGACTTGCCGCCGGTATCGCACGATGGTTATCAGGCGCGCGCAGGGACGATGGGCCTGTGATTTTGTTCCTGGAAGAGTACGGACCGTCTACGCTCAATCGGGGCGTGAGCCTAGCAAGGCCGCGAGTACCGCGTCAGAGTACGTACAGGCGAGACCGCACTGGCAGCCACTACTATCTCATGCCGCCGGGGGGCGTGCAAGACACGGGCCGACGAAAAGTTTCGGGATGATTCCCCGAAGCCAGACGAAAGGAAGAAAGCCCGAGTTGTCCCACATTGACGTGGGGTGCAAGCTGTCACACGTGCTATCAGATTATGGTTTGACGGGTCAGAGGATTTACGTACGGCTTCGAGTCAACCACTGGCTCGAGAACCGGCTCTGATGCGCCGGAATCGCCGACCGACAGGATATGGAACAACAGCCATCGTGTTGCGGGATTGTACGATCCATCGCGTTCGTCGGGTCAATCCCCGATGGGTCAACGATGGCCTCGATCCCATCCCGAGTGAGAGATCAGAAAATATAGCAGAGAACGGCCGGCGGAACGCGCATTGCAGCGACACCAGCTAGGCCCGACCGCCGAAATGTATCTCTTGTCATTCATCCTCGAATTTGCAAAGATGGCAGACGCAGCACGAGCGCGCAAAAGTTTGAAGCCCAAACGTTCATGAGCAACGATACACCTCGACCGGCGAGGTGAGTCGAAACCTTGGACCATCATCGCATCGACCCGATAGTGATGCGACAGGCAGGCCCGAAGAAGAAGTCCACGATTGTCGAGCCTAGAGGTGACCGAGGCTTTGAGATTGGTTGAGTTCTCGCATGTCGGTACATCCTGAACATAGCTCGGACCCTGTGTGGTGAATCTAGACATCCGCATCTGGGCGTCATCGAATCTGACGTAAAACGTTCGCGCTACATACCGGCGTGATTTCAACAGATTAGGGAAGATAAACCTTGTGCGTATGTTGCACGGTAATGCAGGGTCAGGTAGTCTGTACTACATTGAGAGCTGGGCACCAAAGAGGGTAAGCCGAGTGACGTTCAAGTTACGTATGTCTAGAGCGCTCACGTCGGGGTCTCGCGGTCGGGTCCTCATTCAATCTTGACGACCTCATCATGATCCTTCTTTCATAACAAGCCGCGCGCCAGATCCGAGAGCGCATCTCGGCTCTCGCTCGGTGTTCGTTTCTGGAATCGGTGCCTGGAAGGTGCGTTCATTCAGTATTCTTGGACACACCCTCGGTCTTGATCATTGACCGGAGCCTACATTATACCAGCTGTCATCATGTCGTTTCCCGACCCCAACCGCCCGTGAATTCAGGTCAACGCGCGGCAGACCCAACCGTCTTGCGCGGACGTTGAATAACAATCGTTCGTAGAGCCGCTGACGGTTCGGTATGAGGACGAAGCCGAAGACGATCACCGGTCCGCCTCCGGCGCTATACGTAAACGGGATGCGGAAAGGCAGGAACGCAGTGACTTCCTATTCGTGACTGGGTCAATTATGGCTCAAAACGCGACGTCGGATACGTACAGATAGCACAAAGATCCTTCCGGATTACCTTGGATCCGGTGCTGCACTTCGATATGACATACTTAAGGCGACACGTGGAGATGCTGACATTCACACAACCGAGCAAGGTGCCAAACGGTCGACGAGCGACGAAATCTCGGACTTGTGATTTCGTTCACGCTTGGAACGCCTGAGCGACCCGCTAATCGTCGATGAGTGGCGATATCTTGGACTTGTGGATACGTCCACGCTGGTGGGGAAAAGAAAGCCGCCTATGGCGGTAATTATATAGATCACGTCTTCTGTACATAGAGGGTATATGCAATGGCTGTCAGTCGCTCAGTCGATCGTCTTCACGGCATGCATCAGATCGGGGCGGACCGGGGGTGGAAAATCCTTCAATGGCTCGCTGAGAGACGCAAGCAGAGATATCGTCAGTAAGCGTTCGTTTCGAAATGCCGCAGCAGATGTGAGGGCTAACGAAGCGAAACAAAGGACTCACGTTCGCACCTCCCAGACGTCCTCGCTGCTCTTCGCCAATCGCCTACCCGCCCACCACTCCGCCCTCCTCCGTATCCATGCGTCGCGCTTCTCCTCCGGATGCAGGCCCTTGTTGCTCATGCAGAACTTGAAGTCGGAGAGCTTCTGGGAGCAGTCAGACGTACGGCCGTACCGATACAATGACTTGAGTTGTTTGCCCAGGACTGCGTGCGGTTGTGCGGTGTATCACACGAGATCGCGAGGTCTTGATCAGAGAGGTCCGAGATGAAAGGAATAAGAGGGCAGAGCTGACTGTTGCAAGAGAGAAAGTCATCGAAAAGAGTCGTGCAGCTCGGGATATCGTCCGCCATCGGGTACTCCTTGCGCAAGCGCTCTTCTTCTTGCTTCACTGCCGTCGCAAAGTCGAGGTTGGACATCGTTACGAGGAGACTCTGCACAAGCAAGCACGAAAGCCAGCGAACGAGGCGAAAGGTGATGAAGGGACGGACTGTTACGTGCCGGTCCTGCCGGGAGCCGAGACCGAGAACTCTTTTCCTTTTCTAGCATTCGGCGCTGATGCGCCTTTTGACTGTTTGATCCTTTGCTCCACTTCCATATGCTCAAAGGCTCGCGGCGAGGTATAAAAGACAAGCAGCCTCGTCGCGAGGACCTTTACCTTTTGGTTTCATATCTTACCTCGAGTTGCTCAATCGAGACTTGAACTCTCTATTGTTGTGCCGCTCGAGAACCTTATCGTGTGAACGCACCTTAGCCGTATTCGGCTTTGCCCGCGTCACATATTTTTGAGAGTGTTTCGTGAGTAATCTGTTATCGCTCGTCGTCGCTAATCCCTCTTCGATAGGACACTACCCGGCTTGATCACCCGGGTACACCTTGGCTGAGGACACAGTGACTGCGAGCACCGCAAGCTACGTGTTCTAATCCCTTATCCCTATACGCTGAGTATGCCTGTGTCTAGGGACGAGCTCACGGGTCGCTGGACTCGTAATGACCGTAGGGTCGGCGGACTAGACAGAGTCCCCCGACCCGAGTCGGATATCAACATCAACGAGGGCGGGGCGGCTGCCTCTGACCCCGTTGACTCATCTCCGTTGGCGGGCGAGGCTGGAGCTATGCACCACGGAGATGCCCCGATGGCCGGCGATCATGCAGGATCGAGCCTCGGGGCCGACATACCTCAAGGTCTGCTACCCGCTTACCTTGACGTTCCCTCGCATCGCGGAGGATCGCGGTTGGCGAGCACGACGGGACTGGTGCTCAAGGACGAGCCGCGCAGTCCGTCCCCGTTTGTCATTGGAGGTTTCGGTGGGACATCCAGTGACGGCACTGGATCGTGGTCCAAGGTACCTCGCAGACGCCGGAGCGCGTCACCCGTGCTATCCAAGCGTAGTGTGATAAGCAATGATAATAGTTTTGCTTCATTGACTGATCTACATGACACCTCTCTTGTCGACCAAGATGCCGACGACGAAGTGGTAGGATCTCCGTTAGAACTAGAAGAGCCTCGCACCCCGAAGAAGCCGAAGAGTAAGCGGCTGGCGTCTGAGGGCAGAGCAATGAGTGATGGAGAGCTTGACGCGTTGCTAGAGACGCCTACCCCGGCGGACAAGGGAAAGCGTGTCGATCGGGAAAGGGTTAAGAACGCTCGGGTCGAGGACCCAGTTTCCTTCGGTGTCGCCGCAGATAACAATGCCGTGGGGTCGGGTTTTGTTGGCATTGTCGATGAGGATCTCGATGTCGATGCTCAGAAAGCGGCGCTGGATTCTTTACGACCTATCACGGCTGTTGACGCTGTAGCTGGCAGCAATGTGTCGTCACACTCGTCTCAAGAGCCTCTGGAAGACTTGTTTGAGCGCACTAGGAAATCCGCCGAAGTCTTTAAGGACGGGTGTGAGCGAGAGGTCCGCGAAGCGGAACGGGAACGTGATGCCGCGCACCTCGCATTGAGAAAAGCCGAACTTGCTAGGATCGAATCCGAACGAGCGCGCATCGCAGCTGAAAGGCGGTTGGTTGAAGTGCTGAATAAGATCGATAGCCTGGCCTCCACGGTAGACGCTCAGGCGGCTGAAGTTGCCGCACTTAAGCGCGGTCGAGTCCTAGACATCGACCGTCAGGGCGAGATTGAACCGAGACGTGGCTCACCGCCGCACCTTGTAAGGGCACGAGGAACCGAGGATCTCCTGGTTGGCGAGCAGACTGGCATCCACAGTCTGAGTACAGCCAGACCCGGTATGTTGATCGGTAACCCGTCGGCGACCATGTCGAGGAAAGGAACTCGAACGTCGGTAGCACCTCCATCCCGGTTCATATCGCCTGCTAGTTCCCTAGGCCAGACTTTGAGTAGGAAGCTTCAGCAACTAGAAGACGCTATGCTTACTATTGAGCGTGCGGGGTCTTCGGTGATCAAACCGAACATAAAGCCCGAGCCTCCGAAGGCTTACGATGGTCGGGGCGACCTCGATGCGTTTCAGAGATATGTCGAACAGAGTGTGGAATACCTTATCGACGGGATGATAATGAGAGAACGACATGTGTCCAAGATTGGGCACTTCCTTGAGAAAGACGCCCAACAGTTTTTCAACCGGGTGGTGAAAAGGCCGGAGCTATGGACGGCGGAACGATTCTTCGACGAATTGTTCAATTACTGCTTCCCCGACGGTTTCATGAATGCCATCCGGGCGCGCTGGAGCACCTGGATGCAGAAGGGATCGTCAGTAAAGGTATACGCGGCAACTATGGAAGGATTCCGCGACGATCTCGGCGGGGAAATCTCTGATCGCCAGTTCGTTCACCGGTTCTGGCAAGGCCTGAACGACGAAATCAGTCAGGAATTGTATCGTGACAGACTTCACCCAGATATCGATGCGTACGACGATGTACTCGAGAGTGCGTTGATTGCTGAACGAGTAATCAACAACAATTTACATCGTGGTAATGCCGCTGTTGGCTCCCCCCGATCCGGGTTTGAGCGGACGGGAACTGGCAAGGGTCGACGAGGTGGCAGTAGCGGTGGCCAGTTCGGGCGAAATGATAATAATGGCCATTCGTCCGGGGCGCCGGCGGCGAAGTCGAATGGACAATTCAGGGAGACCGGCTCTGGTGCGCTGCGAAATAGTGATCGTCCGAAGCGAAGGGAACGTAACCCTAAATCGGACTCACCGTTGTCTGAGGCGCAAATGAAAGAGCATCTGGAAAATAACCTGTGCTTCAAATGCCACAAGGCAGGGCATATGAGTCGAAACTGCCCCAATGGGCAGCAGGTTACGAGTAGCACGCGTGATAAAGCCCCTGGGTCGAAGACCAGCTATGCTGTTCGGTACGCCGACAGTGACGGGTCGGCCGATGGCGCCGCCCTGTCTAACGACGGTGACGACCCTGAGGTGCTAGATGAGCTGCCTTGTGGGTCAGTGCGGTTCCGGTTAGTCGGAGACGACCATGGAGAAGGTGATGGAGCCGACACAGCGTTTATACAGGACGACGGGTTGGACCCGTTCGGGAACCCACCACCTTACGAAGAGCCGCAGACGGAGGTCTACGATGCGCATACGTGGTACCGGCGATATCAACGCCGGTGGTATCGTTGGACCATTGACTACCTAGAAACGCGAGGCATAACGCACCGCGTGCGTCAAACTTGTGAGGCATATGAGAGGCATGGGTCCGATGGTACCTTTGTGTGTCCGGATGCCGTACGAGCGCACAGGCTGGAACGAGACGCTTTCATCGAGGGATCCTCGCGGTTTGGCGATCCTATTGCTAACCGTATGGGGATGGTTGTTGAAGCGCAGATCGACCGGCTTCCGCATCTTTGGGAAACCTGGACACAAGAGTTCGCTATCGACTCCTACATGGTGCTATCCGAGGACGGGTACACGCCTTGGATAATGAATGAGCCATACCTTAACACGTCGCTTGAGGTCCCTCAGGAACTACTGATGCGGCGAAGTTTTGACTTCGTCGGTTGGTACCGAACCCGCATGCTTGAGTTCGTTGACATCGCCCGGCGGTTTGAGCACGACGAACTCGGGATGGAAGACGTCGACTTCCTTCAGGAGTGGAATTGGGGCGAGCCTTTATGGGCCGCCGAGGAGACGCAGGTGCCGTCGGCCCTCGAGGACTCTGACAACAGTGAGGAATCCGAGTCTGAGATGGGAGGATACCCACCTGGGGCACGGTTCAATATCCCTTCGTCCGACGAGGATGAGGGATCCACGGAAGGCGTCTCGGAGGGCGAGGTCTTCCTCGTTGACGGTGTACTATACACGATTGGCGCCGACGAAACGGTATGGTTCCGTGCAGCTAGCGTCGGGCTTGCTGTTTTGGGAACTGATGCTGAGCCCGAGCGGACGCCCCGCGTGCATATGGCGAAGGTGAGGCAGCCGCCAGAGGGAAGCTTCGCCTCATTGCAGAGAACTGCGGCTCGGGTGAAGACCGCAGGGCGGAAGATACCTCGACCTATCGTGCTCACGGTTAAGATAAACGGACGTGAGTGTCGAGCCTTACTCGATTCGGGGTCGCTTGGCGACTTCATGTCGAGCGCTCTTGCGGAGCAGCTGAAGGTCGAGAAGGTACCTGTGGATACACAGCTGACTGTGCAGCTGGCCGCTCAGGGGTCGAAGACCAAGGTAAATTATTACACTGAGGTAGACCTGAGCTATGCACGCATCGCGTGCAAACGTACGTTTGACATCATGAATATCGACGGATATGACTTGATACTGGGGACGCCGTTCATTTGGCAGCACAAAATCATGGTTGGACTGAACCCGTCGAGGGTAATTGTCGGCTGTGAGACGCCTGAAGGCCTGCGTGCCGGTGACGATGTCAGTGTCCTAGCGTCCAGAGCTACAAGGGTCAAAGAGCGGTCCCTGGAAGATATTCGGAGGGAACTGCATCAGTATGCGTCCCCTCTGTACCAGAAAGCGGCGGAGACGACTCTACCTCCGTTGCGCCGAGTTAACCATCGAATTCCTATCATTGATAAGGAAAAACGATATCCGTTTCGTGCTTCGCGTTGTCCAGAGGGGTTCCGGGAGCAGTGGAATGCTAAGCGCGATATCTTCCTGAATTCTGGACGGTGGGAGTACGCAAGCGGGACGAACGCTGCGCCTATCATGTTTTTGAGTAAACCGTCGGGAGGTATGAGGAACACGGTTGACTTACGCGCGCGGAACGACAATACTCGCAAGATGTCGTCGCCGTTGCCTGACCAAGACGCCATTCGACGGCGGGTGGCGGCCAGTCGCTACTTTACGGCGATGGATTTGGAGGGCGCATACGAGCAAGTGCGTGTGGAACCTGAAGATGTGCCGTACACCCTGATGGCCACCCCGGACGGGACAATGGTTAGTCACGTCCTCCAGCAGGGGGACTGCAACGCGATTGCGACATTCATGGCGGTAATGACTGACCTATTCTCGCCCTACATCGGTGCTTGGCTTGAGATCTACCTTGATGATTTGATCGTACACACCGATGACCTTGACGACCATGTACGGTGTGTTAAGCTCGTCATCGACATCTTACGGGAAAACGAGTTCTACTTATCCGAAAAGAAGATGCACTTCTTAGCGGATGAGATCAAGCTATTAGGACAGATCGTTTCGCACCGTGGAATCCGGCTCGACCCTGCCAAGGTTGAGCGCATTCGAACATGGAATGTCCCCACTAATCGCGATCTTTTGCGAGGATTCCTGGGTGCAGTTGGGTACCTTGCGGACGGCTGTGCTGGGATCCGTGTGCCGATGGATGTGTTGAACCGGTTGACAGGCGACAACGTGGTCTACCGGTGGGGGCCTACAGAACAGCGAGCGTTTGATGAAATTCGGGAGATCGTGCACGCTCACCGAAATGTGCACCGTATGGCTATGAGGTATGGCCCCGATGCCCCCCCTGTCCATGTAGTAACTGACGGATGTCTTACCGGCGTAGGTGGATGCATCCTGCAGGGCACTGACTGGCAGTCGGCGGGGGTCATCGCGTTCTATTCTGCTAAGCTGTCTCCTGCGCAACAAAATTACGCAGTGCATGAGATCGAATTGTTAGCCGGCTTAGAAACTATGCTACGTTACCGTGATCTGCTGCTCGGGGTGCGCTTTACCTGGTACACGGATCATAAGGGTCTGATCCACTTCATGAATCAGCGCAACTTGACGGGACGACAGGCGCGTTGGTTAGAGAAGTTATCTGAATTTCACTTCGAGATCGTTTACGTGCCTGGTCTTGATAATAAGTTAGCGGACGCCTTGTCACGGATCTACGCGGCTGACGAACCTGGTCTGGTACGAGCTGCGAGTGAAATGGTTCAGTTCGACGACAACCATCCGCCCGCCGAAGGCGCCGGGATGGCAATCCTCACTGGACTTGAGGCTCGTTTGGCGACACTGCGACCGCGTGCGGACCGCGTGCCGGCGGGCAACGCGATCCATGATCGACAAGCTTCTCCCAAGGTACCGCGGGTACAAGCGTCGGAGCCGGTCCGGAGGGCGCGTGTGGCTGATACCTTGCCGGCGGAGACGGGGCGAGCTGAGACGGCGGCAGAGTTCGCCAAGCGCATCAAGAAGGTGACGTTGAAGCTGCCGGCACAACGTCAGGAGGGCGGGAGCCTAGAGCCTATCACGAGGTTATCAGAATCAGTCGCTGATACTGACGTACCGCATGCCGAGTACCCGGCCCCGAAGCTACTCGATGTATTGCTAGAGTACGATAATGGGTGTCGATTTCCAGAATGTATACGAGGGAAATACCTGGCGGATCCCTTCTTCAGGCTAATACTTGAGGCGCCGGACCAGTTCAAGAATTTTACGTATGAGAACGACGTCCTATACCTCAAGGATGGGGGAATTAAATTGCTGTGCATACCTGATTGCTTGATCGGGGAACGCAAGGCACGCGAGATCGTCATCGCACGTGCGCACTCAATCTTAGCGCATCTAGGACCTACAAAAACGATCGCGTATCTTAAGACGTCGGTATGGTGGAAAAATATAATACATGACGTTCGGGCATTCTGCGAGAGCTGCACTACGTGTAGACGTAGCAAACCTAACAATCAGAAGCCGTACGGGCTCCTGAACCCCCTCCCCATTCCCTCAATACCTTGGGAGGCGATTGGCATCGACTTCGTTGGGCCTTTACCTGTATCGAAGGATCGCGACGCATCGTACGACGAGATCACGGTGGTGATTGATCTCTTGACGGGCCGCGTGCATCTTGTACCGAGTCGGCAGGACTATAGGGCTAAGGATATCGCCGAGTTAGTTTTCGCTGAGATCTACAGGTTACACGGCTTACCGAAGAGAATTGTGAGCGACCGCGATGTCCTGTTCACAAGCACATTTTGGCAGCACCTGAATAAGATGCTAGGTGTGAAACTTAGCATGTCCAGTGCTTACCACCCGGAGAGTGATGGGTCCACAGAACGCGCAAACCGTACGATAACTCAGATGATTCGAGCATGCGTACGACCAGATCAAAAGGACTGGGTGTCGAAACTACCAGGGATTGAGTTCGCCATCAATTCGGCTCGGTCAGAAAGCACCGGTTACGCACCGTTTTTCTTGGATACAGGACGCATGCCGCGATCCTTGATTTGGGATCAACCGGCCGAGCTGGAGTATCCAGGAGTGCGCGTGTTTGCTCAACGGATGCGCGCCGCGATCATGGCAGCGCATGACGCCATCCTGGAGGCTCGCGTGAAGCAGACGCGTGCCGCTAATCGATTACGACGGCCCGCCCCGTTCGTCGTTGGAGACATGGTCTATGTTTCTACAAAGAATATCAGCTTCCCGAAGGGCCGCGCTCGGAAGCTCATTCCCAAGTATATGGGGCCTTACCTGATCTCTAAGGACTTTGGGAACAACTCGTTCCGGGTCGACCTACCTGCGCGGCTATTGCAGCGAGGAGTTCATCCTGTATTCCACGCTTCGTTGCTTCGTGTGCATGTTGCCAATGATGATCGTCTCTTCCCTGGACGGGCGGAGACGCAAGTGGCAGATTTCGGGGAAGACGGGGCCGAGTGGGCCGTAGATCGCATCCTGTCGCATAAGGGGCAAGGGATGTCATCCGTGTTCAAAATCAAGTGGAAGGCCGGGGACGTCACCTGGCTACCTCTTGATAAAATTGATGGTCTGGAACATTTGAAATTATACCTGGACGAACAAGGAGTTAGCAGTGTCGCGGAACTCCCAGAAGGTAGTGGAATCATCGAAGAAGATGACCCGCAAATCTTCGCTGGCGGGATCACCCTGTGTGTCGACGATGCCGGCGGACGGAATGGACGCCGCCTATATAACGACCTTAGGACGGGTGATATCGACACCGTTAGCTATTCCGCAACCTCACACTGCCCCCAACTCGATCGCCACTCACCATTGTATATGCCCCCTTCGTCTGGCTCGACCGCTGACCCGCCTGCGAAGCGGCGGGGTACCGCGAAGCGTAAAGAACCGCCGACCGCTGTCGAACCCGACTCGATCGTTAGCGAGTCGCAGTCCAAGGATGCGGCGAACCCCGCTACCGACGCCGACTTGATGCCGCTGCCTGGTACGACACCGGAGGGCGAGGATGTGGTGATCATTACCTGTTGCAAGGGCGTCGAGTTCAACGCTACGCACAAGGAGTTCATCGTGGATCACGTACCTGCCCCGATGATCGGGTGCCCGTTCGATGTGTACCATTGGAAGGACGTCGAGCGTTACCTCCGCTACGACGAGCGCATCCGTGGTGGACTTGCCTCAGTTGATGAGCCGGTGCCGATCGGGTACTACTCCCTTCGTTCGACGATCAGGAAGCTCGTCGATCCCAGCGTCGCTTCGCTATCCGGATTTGATGATAAGGGTGCGGCGGAAGTGGAGGGCGAGCCGATGCGACCGATCTTCTTCCGGCCGGAGGTCCAGGAGGTTTTAGGCGGGCATGCCGCTAAGCGCGCTGCTAAGTCGAAGTCGGCGAAGGAGGGACAGGAGAAGGCCGAGGGGACCCAAGCGAAGAAGATCAAGAAGCAGCCGGCCGACGGTCACACAGGGTCGGGCCAGGGGTCGCACGTAGTCGCCGGATCGTCGAGCGCGTCGCTCAGTGCATTGGGGGTTGATGAAGATGTTATTCAGTTCGCTATTGTACAAGCTCTCCGTGGGCAGATGCGCGCTCAACAGCGCCGGCGGGAGCGGGAATTGGAGAAGGGGACGCGCAGGGGCGCGTAGCCGTGGGATTGAGGCGGAGGTTACCTTATTGGGCGAAGCGGTTTCCACTTCGGGAGGGCGGATGTTACGTGCCGGTCCTGCCGGGAGCCGAGACCGAGAACTCTTTTCCTTTTCTAGCATTCGGCGCTGATGCGCCTTTTGACTGTTTGATCCTTTGCTCCACTTCCATATGCTCAAAGGCTCGCGGCGAGGTATAAAAGACAAGCAGCCTCGTCGCGAGGACCTTTACCTTTTGGTTTCATATCTTACCTCGAGTTGCTCAATCGAGACTTGAACTCTCTATTGTTGTGCCGCTCGAGAACCTTATCGTGTGAACGCACCTTAGCCGTATTCGGCTTTGCCCGCGTCACACGGACTTTGCCGGCAGTTGCCGCGATGCCGGTTTTTCGTGGCTCGAGTGCGCGCAGCTTTACTTACCTTCGCCCATGCAATAGGACCGGCATCTCACGCCCTATTTTTTTCTTCTCGTGAAACCTCATATGCACCGCCGCAGCAAATCATATGCATGAATATTAATGCAATCGGTGCGTGTACGTACCGTAGCGGGTTATTTGGGGACGTGTCGTAATTAGCCGGTTTTGCGCACCATGGGCCCGTAATCGCCAAGTCCGTTCACGAAGATTTTTCCGAAAGTGACACGAATTTCATCGATTCAGATGATGTCGACGAGGCATTACAGAAGCTCCGTCGTGCGCACCCGGATCCAAGCCGACGGGCGCCATACATCCATCTGGGAATATGACACATCAGGAACCGACCGATGTTGTTGTTGCCTTACAACGTTCGGTTATATAGTTATCCGGGAGATTAGCGCCGTCACCTTGCAGCGATGTGGTATACTGTTGGATGACGTTGACAACGGAGCTGACGAACCATACATTGAAATACATGCTTCATTGAGTTTGTGCTGCTAGGGGACAGATGTACCAGCGACACTCCGAGCAGAGCGAGCGGGCATGGAATGGTGTGAGTACTTACGCGTGTCAGCCCCAATGATTGACTGGATCGATCTGAGCAATTGTGAACAGAAAGCACCGTAATGCAGCGCTCGAAAAATGGTTGCAATTTGTCGCTAGCGTGGAGCGGATATGTGCGCGCATTCCGAAACAGTCGTTCATATCGTTCGCCATCCCGCATTATCATACACTCCACATCTTTTTTGATCACAAGGACCTTCACTTCTTCCGATCCGTCAATGGCACGTACTACACGCGACGTATTGTCGGTCAGCACCTCGTGGCGTATCACCGACCAGAAAGAGCAGCACTCACCCTCACGTCCATCAGCTCCTTCTTCGTCACGTTCCCCTGCGCGTCCTTATCCACTAGCAGGATAACCTGCGCCACATCGCCAACGGGAATGAACATCCTTCCCGGAGCCGCGAGCTGGTCCACGAGCGGCTGCGGCAGCGTCGGCGCCGCGGCGCCAACGTGTATCGCGTCGTAAGGCCCGGCATTCGCGTACCCTATACCCCAGGTCGTCAGCATCATACAAAAATCGCGACGTCATCCTCGAACGGACCTTGCCTCCCGTCGCCGCACACGACCTCGATCGCCCCGCTATCGAGCGCCTGCCCGAGGCCGTCCCTCTTCAGATTCTCGACCGACCACCGGACGAGCTCGGGGATATGATCGATGCCGACGACCTTCCCCTGCTCCGCGACGATGTGGTGGAAGACCGCGCAGAGGTAGCCGGATCCGGAGCCGACGTCGAGTACCTTAGCGCCGGGCTTGAGGAACGGGAGGAGGTACTCCGTCGCGTACGCATGCTGCGATGTTCTCGGTCAATGGGTGCGGTTACGGTATGAGAAGGGGGCGAGGAGGGCTTACCATGTGCGGCGCGCTGATCGTCGCGTCGTGTCCGATGGGCGAAGGCGCATCCACGTATCTACAAGCCGGGTCCTCCCGCATCAGCGTCGCGAAAAGGTCAGGCATTCGATAAAGCACGCACGCATCGCGCTTGTTCACCACGTAATTCGCCCGGTCCTGTAACCCATCATTTTCTCTGTCTCGCATTCGTCGCGGCATCCGGAGAGATCGAAAAACGCACGACTTTCGCCATGGCCTACGGTCAAGAAACCCATCGCGTGAGTTCAACGGTTCGACGCCTCTCCCGCAGAGAACGTCGCACCGTCTGCACCTCCGTCGCGCTGAATATCCCGTTCTTCGCCATGTTCGCGATGAGCTCCGAGTTCGTCGATCCGCTAGAGCGCCAGGCCATCCTCAGTCTGCTCAATAAGCCAGCGGGCATACAACAGCGATATTATAAGTGCAATGGACGTAGCCAGCAAGAGTAGTAGCGGCCACCGGGATGGCAAACACCCATGACGTCAACCACTAACACATCATTATCTCGATTTCACCCGCCGTCGAAGTTGTTCACAACGTGCAGCCAGCAGCCACGGATGGGATACTCGTCAGGTAGTAGACCAGAAATTTACAGTACATCGAGAGGCGGTATAGCAATCAACGTCCGCCGCCCCGAAAGGCAAGGGGACGCTCTATGTGTATGTGTAACATATCAGGGAGGATAGCGAACGGGGACATGGCAAGCGAATCAATCTTCAAGCGACGAGCAAGAAATCGCATTCCATCAAGCGCCGGTGACAGGTACAGCAGCGGCGGCCGGTGCCGCCGTAGCGGTGTAATCCTAAACGGCGAAAACGCAACGGGATGAGTCCTAAGATGGCCATAGCAGAACGACAGGAATGTGCACACCTCCATCTCGGCGTCGAGGTCGGCAACGGTCTTCTGGGGACGCTCGTTCTTGCGGCGTCCACCACCTCGTCCGCGCCCGGGACGTCCACGACCCGCGGTCCTTCAATCACGACAACCATGAGTTCGCGAGTTCCTTGGGGTATATGCAGCCCGGGGGGAGACTAACCTGGCTCCTGCAGGAGCACCGCCAGCCGCCGCGACGGTAGCGAGCGCGGGCGCCACACGGGCCGCGAGCGGCGTAACCGGAACACGCGAGGGGTCCACGATGATCTCGATCTTCATGGGGCGCTCTGCACGTCGGAGTCGAGTCGAGGGTGGATGTCGAAAGTCGGCGCGAAGATTAAGCAAGAAGCAGAGGATAGACAGGTTCGTTAGTCGTGCGTTTCGGGCATCGAGATTTGAGGAAGACCATGCGGAAAAAACGAAGATGAACGAAGGGCGGCGCCGTGCCACGTCACGGGGCTAGGTCGCCCAGTCTTGAGCGCGAACGTGTCATCGCGAGCCGTTCTTGCTTGCACGTCGTCGTCGAGCAGTGAGCGCCACGGGAGCCGACTCGCGTCAACCGCAGCATCCGCCCACGGCCTTCTCTGTGCACGCGAGGCTATCGCAACGCGCTGACGAAGACGCCGTCACGCTTCGTAGAAGGCCATTGGGACTCTTCCTGTCCTCCGAACGACCACGTCGGGCGTGTTCGCGCCGTATACGTCGCCGGCCCGTGATGATCACCGGGCGTCGCACGAAAGCATCGGCTGATCAGACCGAGAGGCTTGTGGACAGGACCATAGGAGCAACACCTGGAGGCGAAGCGGGTCCCCGAGACGTTTCTTCCGACCGTGCGAGTGGCTGTGCAACGGCGGATGTCGGCTTGGACATTGGTGATTGGCACGACGACGGCGCCTCCCTCCAGCACCAAGGCTCCTCCCCGAAAAACGACATCCACGGCCAAAAGTGCGAACCCGAGACCACGCTAAAAGGGACGAATATCTGAGGAGCGGAAGGAGAGTATACTAACTCCCATCGATGAGCCTGTTGTGGTACTGGGCGTACGCCTTCGAGCCGTCGCCCTTTCGCTGGAACAGGATGGTGGCGACACCCTTAGACCGGCCGTTGTGGTCGTAGGTAAGTGTCACGTCGCGCAGCGGACCGATTGTCGTCGTAAAAAGCTCCTACAAGACAACGCCACGCATCAGTATCCCGCCCGTTGTTCATTCGTTAGACGAGGGCGTACCTTGAGCTGTTGCTCGTTCACATCCGCGGGCAGGTTCGAGACGACGATCTTCTCCGAGAGGGGCGCGGCCGGCTTGGCGTTGGCCGCGGCGGCGCGGGCTTTTTGAACGGGGCCTGGGGCGGCCTTACCGAGTACTTGCGCCTTCGCGGCGGCGCCTTTGCGCACGGCCGACGTGCGGCGCGCGGTCTTGGGGCGGGTGGAGATCATCTGGTTGATAGAAAGGGTTTCGGTTTCAATTGGAAGAAACGCGTCAAGGCGAGGCACGGCACGAACCTCGTCGAGAGTCTTGTCCATCGTTGGCTGCGGTGCTGGTGAGGATTTCTTGAAGGGTGAGCGGTGAGGAAGAACCTGGACGAGAGGGAGGAGGTGGGAGGTAGCGACGGTGGTCGAGAAGAAAGGGGGCGACGCGTCAAGGCCGGGGTTTATGTGCTGGACGGCGGAGTTCGAATTGTCTTCGTCCCACACCGCCTCGCTGCAGCTGAAAGACCCTCCTTAACCGCCATTGCTGATCCCTGGGCTGAGCAAGGAACTTCACTCAGGGTCTCTCTGATCAAGCCATGTCGAGAGGGGGCCGTGGCGGATTCGGAGGAGGAAGAGGTGGGGGCCGGGGAGGGTTCAATAACAGCAATCCACCACCTATGGGCCTCACGTTCGCGGATATCCAGGGGATGTCGAAGGAGCCTTCGGCGCTGTATCCTGTACGCGTTAAGATACATTGATACAATGATAGTAATCTGAGAGAGATATCTGCAGCCTATGGATCCCCTCCCGAGCCTGACTGAATACACCGAAACCGAAAAGCGAATATGCGAGCTCCAGCTTGGTTTCGCAGCGCGGATGCGCAAGTCGGCCTATTGGGTCGTCGAGCAGACCAAGTCGACCGGTATGTGTTACTTTCGTCCCGTGTCGATGTCCGTCATAGCTGACACGCTGTTTTACGAGAGCTGCCGCGGTATTCTGACAAGTACCGCCCCTCGACCGATCGACCACCGGCACTAAAACGAAAAGACCTCCACCAACCTTTCTTCCCCACTGAAGTCTTCGAAGATTACTTCAATCCGCGGAAGAAGAGGAAGGTCACTGCAAAACGCAGCACGGGTCCTCGAACGAAGCTCGAAGAGCTCGAAGACGACGGGGACGATCCTGTAACCTGATGTTTTTCTCTCTGACCCATGGACGTTGCGTGCTCACAGGCATCGCTGTAGGACAAGGACAACGAAGGATCTGACCAGGGGTCTCATATCGACGACGAAGACTACGACGTTGACGAGGAGTACGATAATGATTATGCCGAGAACTACTTCGACAACGGCGAGGGGGACGATATGGACGACTTAGGTGGCGGTGGTGGGGACGAGGGAGGAGGAGGTAAGATTCATTCTACCACATCGGGTCCACTGCATGCTAATTACCGTGTGCACAGGCTTTGCGGACTACGACTAGAATTTATGTTCGAGTAGCCTGTACGACGACAGTATATCGACCACCATGCGATATGCAACAAATGTGTCCTCGTGCCGCCGTAATCATAGACCGATTTGGACCGTTTGTCCATCACTGTCGGACAGTGAGGGTCAGAGATCAAATCAAACGAGGCATTGGTCAGGCAGAATCGTGAAATAGAAGCAACAAAGCGAGCAGCAGCGCTAGCCGTTCCAAAAAGGAGGTCGTCATAAAGGCCGTGCAGATCGGAACGCCGTCTTGATACCCAACAATCACTGGAATTTAACACATTCATCGGCAGGACCACCTCCAAATCTCAGTCTCATACGAACCCTGCACTGAAGGCAAGCTCATCTACAACGGGTAAGGTATGTGACTCCCACCTGTCAGCGAACTCCGAGTATGTGCTTTGTATTCGAAGATCAGAGAAGATTGAAAGATGCTGGTGCACAAATATTGTGAAGAGATTGGGCTTTTGTACGATGTAAGCGCCAGATTACACGGAAATGCCCCCCTGTACGCTCTATCTGTCGATAACCTCAGGGTCTCGTTCGAAATCATCATCGCTTAACACGTGAGCTGGGTACCTCCTCCGGTGTAGGCGAATATGTCTACGGTTCTGGATTAGACAGCTTCCAAAACCGATATATATCGAGGTTTCAGATGCAATGGGCTCATCGTATAAACCTCGCCCGAACGTTGCTTATAGAATTTTCAAGGACCGGCGAACCGGATAATTTAGACGAGGCCATCTATCTATCCCGTCAGGCAGCCGACGTACCGCGAGGTCATTTCCGATGGTTCGCCCTCAATTTGTCCAAGACATTGATGTTCCGCTTCACCGAGATAGGTGATATTGATGACCTGAACCAAGCTCTCGAATGGGATTTGAAAGCCATGGAAACAATATCACCCTCAGACTCAAACTACAGCGATGTTGCGCTGGAAAAGATATCACATTTATGCACCAGGCACGAGGTGCTCCAGGACATGGACGATCTGCACCAGGCCGTGAAATTGTCACAGGACTTACTTGGCACTCTGCCCGATGGACATCTCAACAGGTTCGATGCGGTGGTTCACCTAGCAAAGGCACTCCTGATGCGCGGAAAGCACGGCGAGGGCACGACGGTGGACATCGATGAAGCTATCCAGGTGCTAAATCCCGCTAAAGATCGCGTACTTGATTTAGACCGCGAGCCCGAATGCCTTCGTATCCTGGCCGACTGCCATATCTCGAGATTTCGTATTACTAGGGATCCAGAGGAGGCCGCGAGAGCACTAGACACAATCACGAAGCTGCTGGTTGTCGTTAGCCCAGGTCGGCACGAGCGTTTTCAATGCCTCATCGATGCAGCAGAGCCGTACCTTGAACACGGCACGCCGTATCGCAACCTCACCACAGCATTTGTACATGCGCAAGCGGCATTGACGGAGAATCAGAAAGATGTCCGTTCACGCATATACAGCGTGTATCAAGGTTTCTTCATACAGTGCGAATCCAACACGCCGATGCTCTGTCTGCCGAATATTCCGTTCAGTCACAGCTGGTGAATCTATACGTGCAAGTAACCAACCTTCTCCCTCGAGTTGCATTCTTTGGCCTTCATCTTCGATCACGACTCCAGTATTTGGAGGCTGGACAGCGCGTGGCTCTAGGTGCTTCTCTGGCCCTGAACATGGATTCACCACAGAAGGCTATAGAGATCCTTGAACAGCGCCGCGCAACATTGTGAACTCACAATCTCCGTCTCCGATCAGCCTTCGACATGGTACCAGGAGAGCTGCGCAATCAACTGCTGCTTCTCGCTAGACAATTAGAACGCAGCTCGCATCCTGGACAGGATGCCAGAGAAGCAGAACTGGACGCCGCCCGTAGACGACAGCAGAGCGAGGAGTTCAACTCTCTACTCGAGGAAGTACGCAGGCTTCCTGGCTTGCACCGATCCCTTCTGCCCGACAAGTACGAGGCACTGGCAGAAGCGGCGGACGGTGGCCCAGTTGTCGTACTTGTGTCCAGCACGTTGGCGTGCCATGCGGTCATTATCAAGCGTTCCGGAGATGTCATTAGTATCCCACTACGAGAAGCTCACCGAAACCTGGCTCGTGGAGTTTGGCACCACGTGGCGTTCGGCCGTGGCGGATGCTAGATCGGTTTTTGAGAGATCGCCTCAAGGTGTCGAAGTCGGTGGTTCACCTTAGGTCAAAGAATCCAAGAATCGACAGTATCCCTGCATGCTTTATGGGGGTGAATGTAGTTCTCCCGATTCTGACCGTCCTGGAATTGAAGGCATGAATTCATCCCCGCTGTATGTATACCGCAACTCACAGGCTACTACGGGCAGAAACCGCCCTCGCATATGGTGGTGTCCTACCGGTCGCTTTGCACACCTCCCAATCCATGCCGCAGGTGTCGACGGGGCATGTTGCTCCGACTATGTCGTTTCCTCGTATATACCAATGCTTGGAATCTTGATCAGGTCCAGAGCAGAATATGAGCCGGCGAGCAAGCACAAGATGCGCGCGTTGGTAGCCGGCGTACCTCGGTCGCACTTACCTCAGTAGGGCGACCTCGTTTCGACTCGCGAGGAAGTTGCCGCTGTTCGCTCGGCACTGCCGCAAGGCGTAGAGATCCCGACTTCGCCTACGCATGGGCACAATGGGGGCAGACGAAGAATCGATGACGTCCACCATGCTTTTCTGAATAACCTACCCAAAGCAACGATGCTGCATTTTAGCATGCCACGGTCACCAGGATCCAGAAGATCCGTTGAAAAAGCGGATCCGTGATGAGCGACGACATTGTCACGATTGAGAAGCCGATGCCGACGCCTCTCTCCCATGCGTTCATGGCGTTCTTGAGCGCCTGCGAAGCTGCGAAAGGCGATAAGGTAAGGATTGCATCCCAGATTTGAGGCGACGGCATCCCACAGACGAAACGCGCCTCGCAGAATCGACCTAACCAAGTCATCCACCTCGCTGCAACGTTACTATTCGCAGGGTTCAAGAGCGTCGTTGCAACGCTATGGTGAGCCACGATTTCCTCGCGCGTACGCTGCTTACGTCGGTTTTTGCATAGATCGATGGAAGACGTAGACGGCCCGGTTATCGCCCAGTCCGTTTACGGCGACTTGTTCGGAAGCGACTCAGAGCTCATCAACCCACAGGATGTCGCGTATGCTCTGGATGATGCAGTATGAAAGCTTCGTCGTGCGCACCCGGATGCCGGTCGATGGGCGCCCTATATCCACCTCGGAATTTGATAGATTTCAGTGACCATGAAGCAGGCCCGTTTCGAAAGCGATTCGTCCATGATCTGTACGAATGGACAACGAGGGTATGCCGTGGGGGGAACGGCGATGCAGCCTTACTTAGTTCATGACGGTGGTCGTGTATGTGTATAACGACATCCCCCGAGATAAATAAGTAGATGAACGGAGACGAACGGCTTGCGAACGTGGACGGAGAAAGCGTCAAAATGAAAAAAGTGCCCACGGTCTTGTCCGCCGACGCGCGATCGGACTTCGTTTGTGGACCCCGACGAAGCCCCGTAAGCGGGTCCAAACCAAACGCCGAGTTTTTTGTTGCCCGTGTTTTGACTGTCAACGTCGACATCGTCGCCAACGACGACGAGCGCGCTCGCTGAATTGCTTCCCCTCAACTTTCTTTTTCGATCCAATTAATACTGTGCAACACCAAGAGTACAATATCACCGTGCGGCGGAGCTCCAAAGACTCAATCGCGCTTCGAACTCAACTCCTCCGAGGTCGAGGTTGCCGCTGCTTTCCCCCAATAATTCCTGTGTCTGTCCGTCTCACTACCATCGTCGAGGTACGCGTCAGCTCTCGCTAGCTACTCGACGCTGTATCAATTCGTCTTCTGTACTTGCTTCAGGTCGTCCGTACACCGTTCATTCTTGGAGACCGTCCCCGAGCCTAAAACGCCGCCCTAACACGTGCGGTCAACACGCAGCTCCCAGCTCGAACCGAACAAACGCGGTCGCCTGCCCGCCCCGCCGTCCCGTTCGCCCTACCCTCGACGGGCGCGGACACGCATATTCGCAACACCGCGCACATACATCCAGCACACCGCGTACGTACACGCGGCCTCCCGTTGGCTTGCGCACTCGGATCGCCTCCTGATAATACCACCGCCAACCATCACTTTCTTATCCTTCTTCTTACTCGGCTTTTGATATCCCCACTTATCTACTCGCAAGACTTTCGCATCAATCCACCGACTATCACACCGGATTTTGGACTTTCTGTTTGCTTTTCTGTGCCATAATCCCCTCTTGAGGTCGAGGACCCTTGGCTTTTCATATCGGTTACCAAGCACCACCACCGTTACCACCATCTACAAGACACTCAACAACACCTTCATCCGCGAACGGGCTTTGAGATGGCCAGCTCGGCCACCGCACTTCTCCCCTCCACCATGCCCCACTCACCCCCATCCGATGACCAACCGCTGCGCGCGCAGCTGGCCGCGCTGCTCGAAGCGAAGGAAAAGCAGCTGCACTATGCAGGCACGCTCGGGCAACGCGTGCTCGAGCAGCAGATGGAGCTCGAAGCGCGCGTATCGGAACTGCGCGAGCTCGTCGACTCCTCCTCCAACGGCGGCCGGGATTTGGGCGCGAGCTCGAGCGAGGACGACACCCCCGCGCGATTGGGTAGCAGTCGGAACGGCAAGGCGAAGGCGAAGAAGGAGGGAGGAGGAGGGGAGATGGACAGCGAGGCGCGCGAGCGCTGGCGGGAGCTCCGCGCCACGGTCGAGCAGTGGGACCGGGAGAACGCGCAGTTGAGCGAGGAACTCGCCGCGACCGGTTTGCAGCACCATTCACCGGTAAGTCGAGCGCTTCGTGCGCGGCGCATATGGACACCCCGCTGATGCGCATCGTTCGACCCTTCCAGCCCACGAACGGAGTCTCCACTCAGAGCACGCAAGACCAGCTCGCGCACCTCGCCCAACTCGCGAGCTCCATCTCGTCCGACGCACCGCCCGGGTCCGGCCTGCCCTCGTCGTCGACGCGCGACTCTGTCTTCACGCTCGCCGACCTATCCCGTGGCTCGGCGGACCTGTCTGCACTCGGCGACCTCTCGCGCGAGGAGCCCGCCTCGGGCGTGGGCGCCAAGACGGCGAGCGCCGCGAGCCAGAACCGGCGCGCGAAGAACGCGGCGCATCGCCAGAACGATGTCGGTGCGTCACCTTCTGCCTTGCCCTCCCTTCGACCTCCCTTTTCCTCTTCTGACGTGCGTGAGTGGACGAGCGCTGATGCCTGGCTGGTGATCTGACAGAATTTGCGTTCGAGATCGGCTCGGGCTTACTGACAGAGGTTCGCCGGCTGCAGTCGCTCCTCGGCGAGCGCGATAAGGCGATCCAAGACATGAAGGAGGAGAAGGATGACCTCGAACGCGCCGCTGAGGCACTCCGCAAGGCTTTACGAAGCGTCGAAGCGTCTGCCGGTGCGCTCCTTCTCCCCCCTTTTGCTGATCTGTCTAGAAACTCAAGTCATGCTCTATCATCGCAGACAAGTACAAGGAGGAGAACTGGAACCTCGAGGTCGCGCTTCAGGAGCTCCGCAACGCACATTCGACAAGCCAGGCATCGCTCCTCAAGCTGGAGTCGGATCACAAGCGGCTCACGAAGCAGCACGAGAAGGTGCTCCAGGTCAGCGACGGGCACAAAAACGAGAGCGAGCGTCTCCAGGCCGCGTACGACGAGCTCAAGGCGAAGCACGAGACGGACGTTGCCCAGGCCCGGAAGCACGCCGCGGGGCTCATGCGCGACAAGCAGGAGATGCAGATGAAGGTCGACGAGCTCCAGGGCGAGCTCGCGCGCCAGGCGCGCCGTCTCCTCCCCGGCGGCCGCTTCGGATCCCCGCTCACCCCGGACGCGCGCACCCCCGCGGACGTGCCTGCCACCCCCGCCGACGACGTGTTCGCTTCCGGCGCCGTGGGAGGCGGGATGTCGACCAACCGCCGGCGCGGCGGCGCGGACGCCTCCGCCGTCTTTGGCGAATTCGGCGAGTTCTTGGGTCCGGGCGACGAGGACGAGGAGGAGGAAGACGAGAGCCCGTCGAAGCGCCGGTTCTTGGCGCCGAATCACCCGGCGAACGAGCTCGAGGCGGCGCGGCAGCGCCTCGCGCACGCGCAGCGACAGATCGGCGCGTTGAAGGGCAGCTTGAGGAGGGAGAAGGAGGCGCGGATCGAGATGACGCGGAAGATGAAGGAGGCGGGCAAGGAAGATGGGATCGTCGTCGTGCCGGGCGACGCCGAGTGGGAAGAGGAGGAGGCGACGGAGGGCGGTCTAGGAGAAAGAAAGTCGACGCCGTTCAAGGCCGCGCGCGGACGGGGACGTGGACGCGGGGTCACCGTCAGGGGACGCGGACGCGGCAGAGGTATCTTGACGCTGCAGCAGCGCCTTGGGCTTGCGGCGCAGAGCTCGCCCGGCAGCGAGTGGGCGGAGGACGACGTGCTCGACGGCTCGCCTGTCCCCCCCGTGCCCGCCCTACCGCGCGAGTTCGCCGACATGGAAGACGAGGATGAAGAAGCGTTCGGCGGCGTGGAGGACTCGCCCCTGAGCAAGCGCGACAACCGGACGAGCGTGGACGGCATGGATCCCGCGTTCGCGAATGTGCTCCGCCGCTCGGCCTCGGCCTCGTCGCTCCCGCAGAATCCGTCGCCACTCCGACAACAGACCCTCACATCGTCCGTGCGCGGCCGCGGTGGAGGCACCGTCGGTCGCAGGCGCGGCGGCGCAGCGTTCCAAGAGGCGCGCCCGCCGAGCTTGGTAGGCGCACCGGAGGCGCTTGCGATGGAGCTCGGTATTGGCATGGCGTCGCTCGAGGAGGATCCGAAACCGGAGAAGGAGTACGTCGACTTCGGCGCGCAGACGGAGGCGCCAGAGGAGGATACGGTCGTTCTCGACAAGCAACAAGTTCCCGCGCCTGTGGCAGAGGAGAAGGTGGAGGCACCGGTGGTGCCGGTAGTGGAAAGGGCCGAGTTTGGCGTGCAGGTTGATCCGGAACCGGTGCCCGCCCCGGTGCTGGTGCCAACTGTGGTGAGCCGCGAGTCGTCAAGCCAAACAGAGGTGCCGCCCGCGGTCGCCAAGGGCGAAATGGGCATCCAACACGATCAGCCTGCCCCTGCCCCTCCATCCGTACTGCTGAGCGTGCCAAGTGTAGCCACGGTCGACAGCGAAACGCAAACGCCCGTAGTGCCTGGCGCGTTCAAGAACTTGGCGAACGCGGAAACTCAAACGCCCATCGCCGCAAAGGACGAGCAGGCTGAAACGGACGAGTACGAGCGTTCGCGTCGAACGACCATCACCCGCGCCGACCTGCCCAAGCTTGCACTCTTCGACCGGAGCGGCGATACTACCATCACTCGCCCTCAGAGCCAGCGCATCGTGGAGCAAGCAACCGCTGAATCCGAATACGGTGACGATGGCACTGCGACCGAGACAGGGCCACTGTCTGACACCGAGCCGGAGACAGAGACAGAGAACGAGCAGGAGGTATGGACGGACGCGCGGCAGAGCGTGCTTCTCACCTCCGCCACTCAAAGCGAATCCGGCGCGGACGACTTCCAGAGTATCATGACCGTCACCGACAACGACTATTCGGACGACGAAGAACGTTACTCGTTCCGGGGTCCCCCATCGGCGCACGGTGCATCGCGCTCCAGCCTGCCGCTTTCGACGAGGCAAGGCAGGGACTCGGAGCGTGGCCCCGCCAGCGCCGGCCCAAGCGCGCCTCCGAGCTCGTTCCAGTTCAGGGCACCGCGAAAGACGAGTAGGGCACCTTCGGTCGCAAGTTCGTACGAGAGCAAGGGTGTGTCCGCACAGGTAGAGGAGGAGCCGAAGGTCATCATCAAAGAGGTGCCGGTTGAGGTTCCCGTCGAGGTACCTGTGGAGGTCAAGGTCCTCGTCCCTGCGCCCAAGCCCGAGGTCAAGGAAATGTGCATCCAGACCGACGAATGGGTACCGCCCGCTCCTGCTGCTGTACCTGTCCCATCAAGCCCAGGGTTCCACAGGATCGGTTCGACCAGCCAGCAATTCCAGTTCATCTCCCCGCCCCCACCGTCGTCTGCCCCGCCGTCCAGCATGGTCACGCCGATCCCCGCAATCGTTGGCGGTCCGCACACGCGCGAGGCGAGTGCGCCCGTGGCAGCTGCTGCCGGCACCTTCCTTCACCGGTCGCGTACTAGTGTCTCGGAACGTTCCGAGAGGCGTCAGTCGATTGACTCCACTATTTCCTCCATCCTTGACGTTGACGCCAACGGCGTTGCTCGTTCCCGCACGAGCTCGGGCACACCTCTAATAGACAAGTCCCGCCCACCCATGATGGTCCTGCCGCCTCCGCCAAGGGCGCCGCCTCCGCCGACCAGCATGCCCCCACCGTCCTTCATCCCGGAACGGAGAATACTCGCGTCGAGTACGTCGTCGAACGAGGCTCCGCCACCCAGACCTTTGTCCCCACCTCCTCCGGAGCTCATCAAGCGTGCAACGACGCCCAGTCTCGGTGTTCCCGGACGAGGCTACTCGCTTCGGTCACCGGGCTCAAGCCTACCCCCTTCGCAGATTCGCCAACCGCCTTCTACCAGCAGCTTCCGCTCCGCTGCCAACGCCGCCTCGCACGCGCATTACGCCAACGCGGGGCCCTCCATGCTTACCGCGTTTGGCAGGCGCGAGATGTCCACCACCTCATTGGGTACCGACTACGCCTCGCCGCGTTCTTCGATATCGTCAGACCACAGAATGCACGGCCTACCGCCTACCCCGGGTACGCCTAGCAAATCCGGAAACATGTCGGGTGCCGTCGGTTCAACCGATCCGGCCGTTATCCACGCCATCACGCAGACTATGATCGGCGAGTTCCTGTACAAGTACACTCGACGCACCATCGGCAAAGGGTACGGCGAGAACAGACACAGGCGCTTCTTCTGGGTACACCCATACACGAGGACGTTATATTGGGGTTCCGCGGATCCCGGTTCTGCGGGCGTCTCAGAATCCACTGCGAAGAGCGGTACGTACATGTCCACCTCGCGATAGCCCGGCGATGCTGATTTTCGTTACAGCGTACATCGAGGGTGTGAGATCCGTTCTCGATCCTAACCCCATGCCGCCCGGTCTTTATCAATATAGTGTCGTGGTGTCTACACCTCAACGCGAGATGAAAATCACGGCTCCTACCAAGGAGAGGCACGATATCTGGTATAACGTACGTCCTTCGTCGCGTAACCATCATGCGGCTTGCTTATACGAATCGTCAGGCCTTGAAATATCTGCTCACGCGACCTGCGACCTCCATGGTAGCGTCTCCTGGCCAAGGGCAAAACAACGTGCCCCCTGTCCCTCACAGTCCGTTGTCTGTCGAGCATGGGCTCAACGGAAATCTTGTTGGCAGTCCCGAGAGTCAACGCACGGGCCGCACCACAGGGTCTTGGAACACGACGCCCCGCGGACGCCGCAGTCAATCTCAGCTATCATTCCATCGCGGTTCTGTCGGAAAGAGGTCGGGCACGCCCGCTGCGGAGTATCTGCGCTGGACGGAACATGAGAGCCCATACAGCCCTGGAAAATCATTCGAGCACGTACCAGGGGGCGACGACGATGACGATCTCGACTTCGAACTCAACGACGACTCCCGTTCCGATGGCGGCTTCGAGGGGCTGGAAAATGTCCGAGCATGCTGCGATGGGCGGCATACGGTCGGACGCTCCGGCGTCATCCACCACCATCACCATCATCACAACCACCAGAACGATCGATTGGACCCTGGCGTAGCCGAAGCGGCTCGTCCCAAATCCCCGTCAGGATGGTCAATGCGGTCAGGGCGCTCGCGCGCGGGCAGCACAGACGGCAGGAGCCTCTTCTCACGCTTTGGTTCGAAACGATCCACGAAGACGGTACCTGTTCCCGTTGGGAACGAGCGGTGATCTTCAAGCCCTGACCAACTTTGCTGTTATTACGTTCTACTTTTTGCTCCTCATCTAGTGCACACCTACACTCTCTTTTATAATCATCCCACATGTGCAATTTTCTCTTTCTCGTTTCTTGTGTTCTTCCTTCGTTCTATGTACGTTGTCGGTTCATCTCCGTGTCGTGAATGTTTTGGGGAAAGTATCAAGTACCGTACACCTATACCAAATCACAATGAAGCAGTTCCCGTCTACATCATATATTATCAACGCGAGTGTCACCATGGTGTGCCTCGCATGTTCGTCTGTCCCGGCCATGAGCCGCCGGTTAGCTGGAGGTTCATGGATGAGAATAGACCATCGATCTTCATGCGAATATGCTCTTACCCCGATATTTATTTGCTTGTGTACGACTCGAAGATCTGAGCAACATATATGAGACGTCAGGGACTGCCGGAAGGAGAGACTGAACTGACAATCTATGTATGACATCGCTGCGTTGTTCTGGTCCTCAACTAACATGTCACTGAATTCCACTTCGGTGCCATCGATATTTTGACGGGCAAGGAAGAACTTCGGTTCTCGACCGCCACGCCGCATTCTCCACTCTGCAAGGATGTTGCGTACTTGCATAGATATTCGAGTTGGTAGCTCAGGAAGGCTCGTCTAAAAAACGGTGTGAGCCTAGCTTACGGGGGAAGTAATCAAGGACGATGCACACACCATATGTGGGTCAAGGGCATACAACTCGGACGTCCCGAACAAGTCGTTGAGTAGCTGGGGGGATGCACTACCTCCGATCCATATCATCGTGATCTCCTCGTTGTCTATAGATCAACCACCTGTCACGGCTCCCAGCTCACTTTAGCATAGAAAACTGACGCACCAATGAGATAAATGCCGCTGGCTTCCATGTGCATGTATGTCGCACGCATCAGCGACGGGAAGGCAATCCGACCGTTATCTGAGTCCGGTAAAGCGATAGTGTCGTCCAAGTCGTGTAAAGCGAGCATCCGAGGGTATAGATGCTGCATGGTGGTACGGACGCTCATGCCTTTGATCTTGTGCGCATGGTAATTACGGACGTCGGAAGATACGTTCCGGCCTGATACAGATATCATAAGCAGTCAGCTACGCGGACGCCACCCGGTAGCTCTCACCTTTGAGAGGTTTGCTCTTGATGATGCCGAGGGCATAAGCGGGAAGCGACTTGAATGCCTCCGGAAGGATCAGCTGGAGGAAGCTGGTCAGCGGGAAGCGGACTATGTGAAGGCGCGATCGTACCTGGGTTGGGGCAGTGGACGCAGCGCAGTTCCTCCGGTACCCAAGGAGCAACGTTGCACACCGTTCGGTGAGGTCATCCCGGATGATGGACATTCGGGTCGACGTCATCTGCGATATGCCTGAACGAGCGTCAGTATGCATTCGCAAACCCGACAGTCGACCCAACACTCACAATCCTTCGCCAGATAGCACACCACCGTTTCCATGTCGGCGTATCTGAACACCGTGCCCGCGAGGTCGGCGACCTGCAGCGCTACATTAATGGTCCGTACTCTCCTCTCCCCCTGAACGGTCGTGTACAGGAGCGCGCACTGCAAGTATGCGTGTTCCCGAGGGTCTAGCTTGACTCGTGACGATGAATGCTCGAAAGTGATGCAGAATGACTTGTCGGCGTCTATGGTGCCAAATGCGATATCGGTTTCAGATGCGCGGTCGAAGTTCCCCAAATATCCGGACACGCTGAGCCCTGTAGATCCACAGTCGGACAGGGAGTATCAGAAGGTTCGAAATGCGACGGACCCGTTGAGCATCTTGCACGGAACATGCAGTTGTACCCGATCGTCCGGGTGAGCAGACGACGGAGCTGTGATTTCATGGCAGGACCATCCCGAATGGGATCGAATCGCGGGTGGAAGAAGAGCTCGCCACCCGACAGAGAGGAGACCGCACCTGTTTACATACCCGTTGTTAGACGCCGCGTCGGTCATACCGAATCAAGTGACAAGAGAACTGACCTATCGATGCGACGTCGCCATACTCGCTCATACCCAAGAACGCGCTCACCCCGATGCCTTCCTCCGCACACTCCTCGCCGACGGCGCCCCAAAACGGGTCCCTAGGGGTGAACAGCGTCTTCTCCTTGTCCGTGTCGTACAGCTCGGATTCGATGGCTGTAGTTCGCACCGGGATCGCGGAGGACGAGGAGGGCGAGGGGCGAGGCGTGCCTGGGCCAACGGTGGGCAAAGTAGCTTGGAAGATCACAACATGGCCACCGCGTCCAGCCTGTAATCTTCGTGATAAGTACGATACACGTGATCGAGGGAGGCAGGCTGCGCACGAGGGATGCTTGGCTTGCTCGCAGTGCGGCGCCAAGGGCGGAATCGCTTGAAGGGAAGTCTGCGAACCGCGCGGGTATCGCTGTCAACAGGCTTTCGATCGCCGTCCTAAGGTCGCCGCAGGGTCAGAAGGAAGTAACGGCACTCGAGCAAGATCCTCTTCACCTTGACTCATGAGGGTCGACGAACAGCCCGTCTCGCAATGGGACGAATACCTCTTCAATGTCCGGGACAACGAGCATGCTTGCTTGGTCCAAAGTCGACTACTGAGAACAGATCGTCAGCGATGACAATCCTACCATGATGATCGATGAGCATGTAGACTTGAAGCACGCACTGATAGGTTGTAGAAGTGCAGCGCCGAGTCAAACGTGAGGATCGCTATCTCCGCGCGACTAGGAAAGCACGGTTCGGCGTCTTTCTTGGCGTCGACTGATGGTGCCCCGTCGGCCTGCTCGGGAGCTTGCGCGGGGGCGCCATAGAGCATTTCCTTGATCATCTCGCAACCCGCCGACAAGAACCCGCTTTTCACGCTCGCGACAGACGCGTCGAGCAAGAACATGAACCGCATTGGCTTGGGTTCCCGAGCTGCGCTCGTTTTGCCTCCGGAAGGCCCGACGACAAGATCGAGGTCTTCGGCAGGCGCGTCCACGGAGAAGTAACCTGGGTTAATCTTCCGAGGGGGGTCCGTTGCCCAGTAAGCCTGAGACGATGTAACATCGAAGTCGACGGTGCCCTTATTGAGCTCTGGACGTTGGAGGTGGTCGAGGCGGAGGAGGTTGTGGTCGAGGTTACAGAAGTACGATGGAGAGACTGTAGACGTGCGCGGTAGTCAGTGATCCGGGCGGAGGTAGTTGGTCGCAAAGTCCGCATGGATGACGCACCCTCCGTTTCGTGGCCACACAGATTACATTTCCATTTCGACCCGCCAGACACAAACTTGCACCACGCGTTCACATACGCCCTGCATCTTCCGCATCGCGCCGGCCCTTCATCGCCAGTCTGAACGACCGGAACTGGCTCTTCTCCAGGATCCTGATCGACGAGCGGTTGTACGGCGCTCACGAGCGGGATTGCGCAGTCGGACTGGAGGCGGGAGGTGCTGGGTACATTCCATGTTGATACGCGTATGAACTTGGGGGATGAATTGCCTGCAGTTCCAGATAGCGGGAGATCAGCGAAGGAGTCGCTGAGGCAGAATTGCGATGGACGTACCTTGGTCAAGCGCAACGTAGTCTGTCGTCGAAAGTGGCACGTACGTTCCCGGTAAGGTCTCGTACACCTTGCCTTCCGCGTCCGCTCTGTCGGCTTCAATCACCTCTACCGGTGAAGGAACGTGGGCAGGGTCAATCGCTGTGCGTAGCCCTGTATGCGCATGAGCTTCGTTCACAAGACCGGGATTGTGCGAGGGCGTACCGGTCAGCGATTGTCCAGCGCTGTGCGGGGGCTGCTTGATCGGAAAACGAGCACCGTGCGCATACATTGGCGCAGATATCCGGGTGTATTATTCTCGTAGGGTAATCGGCGTGAATGGAACGTCGTTCACGCTCCGATATGAGGACGACCCGGGGACGAGGAAGTACCTGTAGACTCTAGAGCACGCGTGGCCGCAGTTCACTGTAGCATCAAACTTTTGTCTGATATGTCCACCGGTCTTGTGCTGGGGTCGTCTACGGTGCTAATCACGAGAGTAGATTCTAGAGCAAGCCGGAGTAGATGGCGAAGGGAGAGTGCGTTCGGTGTGAACGCCGCGCTTTCCGTTCGAGCGCCATGATCTCCCTCTCTTTGCCCATGACGATCTGATACTACCAATTACATCGAACCTCCAGGCTATTGACGAACACCGACATTGAGTAATATGTCCCTGCCAAAGTCCCCTCAAGTATGCTGCCCGCCAGTGGCCGCCGTGACGTGCGACCGCCTACATCAAGCGGGCATTTACGACTCGATTGGCATCCTGGGGAGGACCTTGCTTTCTAACCTTGCATCCTGGGCAGGTCAAAGTCGGGACAACACCCAAGAAGCGTGCGAACGATTTTCATATCATTCGGCTCTTAGGATCCGTCCAAGAAAGCTGTCGTATCATCTTGTCCGGCTTGAACACCACGTTTTCAAGAGCACGGTGTTTGCTCTGAGATTAGCTGGGATCAGGAGCTGAATGAATGCAGCTGCTCCTGGTGGCCTTCTCGGTCGAGCAAAGAGCGTCGGTCTTCGCACCCGGAGAAGACGTAAGGAATCATCGGGTATGCCACTGCGATTTCACCCTTGGAGCCTCTCATGGATGCCCGAGCAACGACTGCCATCGGCTTCCTCAACACCTCCTTACAACCGACTTCAACTTCCATTCTTCGCAGCCCCGGCTTTGTGGGCTGAAAACGGCACAAGGACTCGTGCGACCGCCGCGGCAACCGGGAGCGCCACCGTTGTTGGTCCGTATGGACGCCACGCTTGTGGACAAAGCGCGCCTTTGTCTCGGAAGCAAACCGACAGGCATGAAGGCACGCTGATTTCCAACCTACCGACAGTATGGGTCCCGTCCCGGAGAACCATCCAGCAGGATGACAAGGATCTGAGTTTGTGGTGATATACAGCGATTCTCCGCCCTTCCACCCATCAACCCCGCCAGCCAGCGGTCTCACCTTTGCAATGTCAGAAAACGATCGAACATTCATAGAGAACATCCCTTACGACTCGGACGACCAGGACGGTGTCGGCGCTCGAGCGCCGCAACAAATTCGCGTCACTGGTATGATATCATCCTTGTTCTCCATGTGTGGCGCTGTCATTGATTGATATCGTCAGACCTTCGCTGTACTGTTCCCTCTTCTCATCAGTATTTTCTGAGACTGCAAGCAGGCGGTGAATCGCTGGTTACATCCGTGTTGAGAGGAAAGAGCTTACAGTGGAGTGACCAATTTACGGTGTACGTATCAGGCGCGTTCCAGAACGGGCCATTGGGATTGAACATGTGTACGCAGGCCTGTCGTCGGGACGACGTCGCTCTCTGTCCAGCTATGGAGACGTCGCTGGAGACTCGGGCCTTTTCGCGATGTTCCCGACGAATGCGTTGGACACATCGTGGTTCGGTTGCTGAACTGTGCGCAAGAAAGTGAGCGTCACTTCGTGTTACTCGAAGGCGTTGCTCACGTTTTCCCCGAAGCCCCCGTTAGCGAATCCCTCGTCTCTGCGAAGGCTTTGAACCAAAAGACGGGATCGATCGCATTTTCCTATGTCGATGCAGATGCTGATGCTACTCCAACTAGTGAGTGACCACCTGCATCCTGAGTCTAGGTGTTTTGCTCACGATTTGTACTAGGTTTGTTCAGTGAGAATGGGTATGCTTCATGGTTATCGTCCTTTCTTCTTGCGCCCATACCATCGCACAGGAAGGTGACAAGAGCGGCTGAAGATGCGACTCAACTGGTGAACACAATGCGCTCTCCCCATTCCACGGCCCTCAATGCAGCTTCCGGCATGCAAGACATGGAAGACGTAGCGGGAACTCTGGGTGATGCAGTAGACGTATGGAGTCCCTTGCTCGATAAATTAGAGCTCTTTGTCAAGATATCAACTGCCGTCGCGTCCGTAAGTATTGCGCTCAAGCTCTGTCCTATACAGTTTCTGACACCGACTTCAGGTCCATCCGTACGCGAGTATGGCCTTGATGGTGTTCAACGCTATACCGAAGGTATGTCTCCTTCACACGCACCGGACCTATCCACCTGATTTTCATGGCAGGCCCTGATAGCTCAAAAGAAACTGGATGACAGCGTTCGCAGCCTTGTCGACGCTATGAACGATGCCTTGAAGTTGATGCAGAGTGCTGGCGATCTTTTCGAATGCGAAAACAGGCGCGGCATTGCGAAATCCATAGCCTCGAAAATCATCGACTGCGGTCTCTTCATCCAGAACTACGCGCGGGCTGCGAATTTTGGTATGTGCTCGCTCCCACAACGAGACCCACGGGATCGGCGCTGACTGAATATCCAGCGCCTCGACTCTTCGAAAATCTACCGAAGAATACCAAGGAAACTATCGACGAGTACGGCAAATCTCTAAAGGCACTCATTGATAAATTCAAGGGCCATACCATTGTTGAGACAAACGTCGTCGCGAGTAAAGTTCTACAGAGCCTCAGCAGCCTTGGTTCGTACCTCTTCCGCGCGTTCAAGAGGCATTTCGCTGATGAGAAGCATGCAGAATCGGAGTTGGCTTTAGACGAGATGCTATACGGATACGGAGCGGAATATGAGCCCGAAAAAGCGTGCCTCGAGGGTACGCGCGGGACCCTCATACAGGAGATATGCGAATGGGCGATGTCGTATCACGACCCGGACACCACTCGGACGTTCTGGTTGTCAGGAGTAGCTGGCGCCGGGAAGTCAGCGGTCGCCCACTCAATCGCTATGATCTTTGATGGCATGGATCCCACGCGCCTGGGATGTTTCTACGGATTTAGCACCTCAGATCGCAGACGAAGCATAGAGGCACTCTTCCCCACCATCTCGCGTAACCTGGCAGATATGGAGCCTGAGTGGAAGAAGGCTCTTCAAGAGGTAGTCAAAGGGAACCGCAGCCTGCGCACCACGGACTCGCTCGAGCGTCAGTTCAAACACTTCCTCCTCGAAACAGCGGATATGGTCAAGGAGAGGGTTCTTGGTCCGATTTTAGTCGTGATTGACGCTCTCGACGAGAGCCCCAGCGAGGCCGCACGGTCGGAGCTGCTCAAGTTCCTGGCTCGTCTGGGAGAACTCCCTGCCAACTTTCGTTTCTTGATCACCTCCAGGCCCGAGCCTGACATTTGTGAGGCTCTCAGCGGAGTCTCCAGCATTCAGCACAAAGACATGTCCTCGCAGGATGGAGATGTTGTCCGTGCGGATCTCACTCGATTTGTCGATCATCAGCTCTCGAAACTCGAGCGATCTCGGGCGGCACTACGAAATGACGTCCGATGGGATCGATCACGGATGGTGGAGGAGCTTGTTCGATACGCGGACGAATCCTTCTTGTGGGCATCCACGTCATGCAGGTTCATTCATGGCGTAGGCGAATCGAAGGATTACGATTGGTGCGACCGGTTTGAAGCCGTTGTTTCCCTCGACTCCTGTCGAGGCAGCGATGCGCCGCGCTACCAGCACCTTGATTCGCTCTACGATGCCATCCTAAGGCGTCTATTTCCCTTGAAGGAAGGCAAGACCGCTTCTCATCGGTTTACATGCATCTTGGGCCGGCTTCTCGCCTTTCGAGAACCACTGCCTCTTTCTGGGTTCGAGGAATTGCACGGGGATGGGGAGAGTCCAGGGTGGGCCTCAACGATCCTCGGCAACATGGGATCGCTGTTGTACGGCGTTACTCGAAGAGACGTATGTGTCCGGCCCCTCCACAGTTCCTTCCGAGAGTACCTCATTGATCCGCAGCGAAGCGGATGCTACCATGTGGATCTTGACTCCTCCAGTGCCCTCATTGCTCACTCATCCATGCGTACTCTGACGAATGCTCTTTCATTCAACATGTGCAAGCTCAACACATCCTATCTTCCCAACAAGGATCACCATGATCTGGCGGAAAGGATACGGAATGGCATGTCCCCGGCATTGATATATTCGTCACGTCACTGGGCTTCGCATCTCTCCGATGCGGTGCTGTCCCCGTCGTTGTTGATACTGGTCGATCGCTTTGTGGTGGAGAAGGCCCTTTTCTGGCTTGAATCACTGAGCCTTCTTGGCTCTGTCCCTCTGGCTGCACCCGCATTATCGACATTGCTCTGCGTGCTTCCACATGTGAGTGCATATTACGCCCATTGCCACGCTTACTTATGGCACCACACAGACGTGGTGCGCGAACAATCACCGTGGGCAGTTAATCGAGGACCTCCAACGATTTGCTCGTTCATTCGCTTATCCCATATCAATTTCAGCTCCCCACATATACATTTCCGCTCTTCCGTTTTCACCGACCAATTCTGCTCTTTCCAAACACTACAGATCGCTCTTCTCCAAAACTCTGAGCGTATTGCGAGGCAGAGACAAAGAATGGCCTGCGGCGCAAGCAATAATGAGGGGACATTCAGAGGGCGTCACTTCTATTGCCTTTTCAAGTGACGGGAAGTATCTCGTCTCGGGATCCATCGACACTACTGTTCGCCTGTGGGACGCGAACACGGCTCAGCCTATCGGAGATCCGTTCACGGGCCATTCGAAACCCGTCTTATTCGCCACCTTTTCATCCGACGGCGAATGGGTGCTGTCGGTCTCCAATGATCGATCAATGCGCATGTGGAATCCCAACAAGGACAGGACTAGCGGCTCCCCAGATTTCTTTACCGATAACACGCGCATGGTTTCGTACTCCAGCCGGCCACATGGCACGACGCGTCTATATCCCATAAAGGCGGGACACCCCGTCGAACCGTCCGTGCTCCCTGATGCTCCGGATTATCAAAGTTCTCGTCTGGTCTCGGGAGTAGGCAATCGCGCCGAAACCGCGTTTAGCACCCTGAACGAGGTGTTCAAAGATTCGTATCCGGTACAAAAGGGCATATTCGATTGCGTGGCCTTCTCGCCGGACCGTAAGTCTGTAGCCACTGGCTTTCAGAACGGAATGGTGCAGCTGTGGGACGCAAACACCAAGCGGCCGTTGGGTGAACCTTTGAAAGGTAGCATCAGGCAGCCCATTACGTCCGTTGCATATTCTCCTGACGGAGGACGTCTCGTTACCGGGTCCGATATGGGGACGCTGCAGATGTGGGATGTTATCACACAGAATGCTCTTGGTGACCCGTTTCAAGGACATAGTGGCCGAATTGCTGCCATAACGTTCTCTCCTGACGGAAAACGCTTTGCGTCGGCCTCGAGCGACAAGACTGTGCGACTATGGGATGCCGAGGTCGCGCAGGCGTTGGTTAGTAGGGAGGGCGAAGGCGACAGCACCCATGTCACCTCGGTCGCTTTCTCTCCCGACGGAAATCGCATTGCCTCTGGCTCGAAGGCTGGTGTGGTGTGCTTATGGAATGCGAAGAACGGAGAGGCCGCCATGGAACCATTTCAAGGCTTCGGTGACGATGTGACTTCTGTTGCTTTTTCTCGAGACGGGAAGCGAGTAGTCTCGGGACTTATAGACGGCACCATGCGTATTCTGAACGTCGAAAACGGGACCTTGGTTAAACAACTTCCTTCCGTGTCCGCGTGCTCTTCACCCAGTCAGGGAGGGCGACAGGCCGCCATTCTTGAGTGGATCGCCGTGCGCGATCGCATCAACCCGTCCATAGGACACACAAATAGCATCACATCTGTCGCGTTCTCCCTTGATGGACAACGTGTATTCTCCGGCTCGAAGGACAAGACGATACGGATCTGGGACGTAGAGTCGGGGGAAGTTATTGGTTTGCCTCTGAGAGGTCACGCTGCAGCCGTCACTTGCTTGGCCGTCTCTCCGGAAGGCAACCGCCTTATATCGGGCTCCAAAGACAAGAAGGTGAGGATGTGGGACGCGGAGACTGGCGCCCCTATCGGATCAAAGCCCTATGGCCACGACGCCCCGGTCACTTCTATTGCCTTTTCTCCCGACGGGACGCGCTTTGTCACGGGGTCCGAGGAATCGAGGATTCTGCTGTGCGACGCTTCGACCTTGCAGATCATCGGCGCCCCATTATACGGCCACCGGGACTCCGTCAACTCCGTTGCGTTCTCTCCGGATGGGACCATGATAGCTTCAGGGTCGTCTGATCGAACGGTCCGGATGTGGGACGCCCGAACTGGTCAGGTCATGGGCAGCCCATTTCCACATCCTAGCCCCGTCACCTCAGTGCATTTCTCTCCTGACGGGAAGCGGGTCGTCTCTGGTTCGAGGGACAATCTACTGCGGGTTTGGGATGCCACGACGGGGCATCATCCTTCAGAAGCCTTGGTATCCGATCCGGCTGTGTCTCCCAACAGCAACGCACAAGAGATGGCTGCAATCACGCTGACGGATCTACGCAAGGTACCTTCATCGCCGAACTTCCTCGCTATGTCCGAAAAAGCGGAACATGCTTTGCGCGACGTCCACCTACTCGTCCCCGACGTTGCCCAGCTCTCGCAGTGCGAGCTCGAGGCATCTCTGAAGCTGACCGAAGATGGCTGGGTGGTAGGACCAGGCGACAATCGGCTGTTGTGGATTCCCGACGCGCATCGATCCCGAGTCATAGTGCATCCCCGAAGACTGCTCATCCCCGTCGAGAACATGACTACACTCAACTTGTCTGATTGCGCTCATGGAACTCGCTGGCATGAATGCTATACGCCGTCTATCTGGCACATGTAGCGCCCCCCCCCCCTGACTTCAATTTTCTTTCTTTCTTTTCTCGGCATTTCGTATGAAGAAGACCCCAGTCCTACTTTACATTCGCGCTTGGACATTCCATGAGCAGGTCACGATGGATATACTTTATTATTTTGTTATGCACAATACACGCTACCGTAACCGTCAAATACATACATCAACATCGAGCCGGTTGCCTGCGTGGGCTAGGAGAGAAGAACGTCAGCGCCGACGTTTTCGATAGCGACCAAATTGTCTGCAGGTGGTCTCACGGGCGCGTCATGTGTCGACTGGGAAACTCTTCGGACTTTCGAAACCTCATCGCGTCGCCACAGTTTAGAATCCTGCACGTCGGTCAGCACACCGTTCATCGCTCATCCGATGCGAAACGAAGGTCATCTCCTCGATTTTGAGTTTCTCTTTTTCGCCTTCACCTCGCACATTGACACTGCCGTCATGGGAGGGCCTAAGAACGCCACGAGCCCAAACGTCGGCTCGTCCGAACCGATAACCACGATTACCCACTCAAGGCCTGATTGCTCACGTTCAGCACATATTTCCTTACCCCTCGCCGGGGTCCTTAAGTTCTGGATCAGCAGCTGGGAGTGGTACACTGGCAGCACAATACTAGTCTTCTTCACTACGCTGCTCGCGACAAAGACCCATGAAACCCGTTGTAAGCGAGAGAACAACGGTGAAGGACGGCGCAGCTCACGAAGCCATTCCTTTGTGCATTCCTTGTACGTAGGTCGAGTCTGAGCAGTTTGTTCGAAGTTCGAAGTTGCGGAAATACGACAGCGAGACTGTTGAAGCACGCATTAGCCAGCGACGATGGGATAGTCGGAAATGTAGCCAAGAAGCACCTTCACTTTCGTGATCATAGCATATCCTTCGACCTCGATCCGACCTTACGCGCAGCGCCTCAAATGCCGCGCAGGTCCCTCGACCTCCGTATTAACCACCAGGATTGGCTTGTTTTCTGGTATAGGAGTGGACGAAGGGGTACAGGGCGGTTATGAGCGAGATGGCGCACTCGAACTGAGGAGGCAAGGCGCTGGGCGCGTTCCATGAGATTCACGAACTTGGGAAGGAGTTACTGCTATCACCATACAAAACTATCGGCGGCCGATTCACAGATCAAGGTCCCAAATAGACGAACCTTGCTCGAGCGCGACGCAACGTAAATCCCGACACACTTTCGCACTCTTTTCCATGCACGTCGGCTTGATTAGGACAGGAATGACGACCATACATCTATATGTATGTCGGGTTATTGATGGCCATAAGGTCAGTTACATGAAGAGACGTACCAGTGAACGATGATCTGCACTGCGCATGGTCTGCTTTGTCGGAAAATGAGCACCGCGCGCAATTCCAGCTATCGTCTGCGATTATCATTGGCGTTGCAGCAATATCGGTAATGCTGTCTAGGATCAAGCATGCGCGTAAAGTGGTGTGAGCAAGAGCGGACGTGTTGAAAGGCTACAGACTGTGGGGGAGAAAACATTCGGTTCAAGCTCCGCTTTCACCGGACCCTGCGATTTTCAGCTCGCTTCCTTCTGGCTCTCACCGATCGCAGGCTCCCCGTATCTGCGTCGTCAATGAAAACACACATGAATCGCAACCATCACGGAAGCTACCGATATTCGTCATCTCGAGGATACTCGCTCTTTTCGGTGAAAGAAAGTGCTCGTCCATTCCCTGGCGCCTGACACCACCTTTTCCGGAACAAGGCCCGTTGCCTTGGCCTTCGGCCAGCATTGGAATTTGGAACACACGCGTTGCTTCTCCAACTCAACCGGTGTTACATAACGTCAACCGGACACCACTTTGGGTCCGAACCTACGTAAGAAAACCCTGGCACTTCTCAAGTCTTCACCTTTGGGAAACATGGATGCTCTTGGTAAACAACTGGCGGCGGCTTCCTTGACCTTTCCTTGTAACTAGATCGAATTCCCATTATCCGGAGCGCCTGCTTTCTTGGGCTGAGAACAGCACAAGACGCGGGCGACCGCCGCGGCGATTTGCCGGTGCGCCACCGTTGTTGGTCCATATGGACGCCAAATCTGTGGACAAAGCGCGTCTTTGTCTCGGAAGCAAATCGACACGGCACTGCGTTTCATGCAGGCACATTGGTGTCCAGGGTACCGACAGCGTGGATCCCGTCGTGGAGAACGATCCTTGAGGCTAACAAGGAGCTGGGTTTGCGGTGATATACCGCGATGCTCCGCTCATCCGCCCGTCAACCCTGCCAGTCGGCTCAATCCCCTTCACGATGTCGGAAGACGACCGAACGCTTCTAGAGAGCACTCCATATGGTTCGGACGACCAAGACGGTGTCGTTGCTCGACCAGCGCTGCGACGGATTCAGGTCACTGGTATGAGCTCGGCCACTTCTCTGTCCGTGGTCTTGCCATTGATTGTCACGCTCAGACCTTCGCTGTACGGCCCCCTCGTCTCATCGATACTTCCTGAGACTGCAAGCCGGCGGCGAAGCGTTGGATACACAGCCCATCTCGAAGAGCAAGAGTCTGCGATGGAGCGGCCCGTTCACGTTGTACGTAAAATAACTATTTTGGGTGTGCCACTGAAATCGAACACGTGTACACAGACCTGGACCCGGAACGACGCCGCTGTTCATCCAGCTCTGGAGATGTCGCTGGAGACTGGGACCATTCTACAAACGTCCCGATGAACTTATTGGACAAACAACGGTCCAACTATCGAGCTTTGCTCAAGACAGTGAGTGTCATCTCCCGATGCTAGACATTGTTTCTTAAATATCCTATGAAAGCTCCGATCAGTGAAACCCTTGTCTACGCAAAGAATTCGGATCAGAAGACAGGCTCCATAACGTTTTCGTATGCCGATGCAGACGTCGTTGTCACCTCAGAAGGTATGTGCGCAGTTGTATTCCTTGTTTAGACGTACCTCTCATACTTCAATCTAGGCCTATTCAAGCAGAACGGGTATGTCTCGCTGTTCCTGTTTTCTTTTCCCACTTTCACGATACACAGGAAGGCCACCCAAGCTGCCGAACTAGCGACACAACTGGTGGACGCAATGCGCGCCCCATCTCCGGCGGCCATCGACCTGGCGTCCAAGGTGCCGCTCATAGCAAACATCGCAGGGACCGTAGACGATGACGTGGACGTGTGGACCCCCCTACTCGACAAGCTGCAGGTTTTTGTCCAGATATCTGACGCCGTTGCGTCTGTGAGTTCTGTGATCGTCCTTTACTCAATGCGTCGCCTGACTCGTCACCTACCTCAGATCCATCCTTACGCAAGCATGGCCATGACCATTTTCAACACTATCCCGAAGGTACGCATCGATCCATACATATCGGATGGTGCCGTGATGTCATATCCATGGCAGGCCATGATAGCCCAAAAGAAGCTAGACGATGGTGTTCGAGGCCTCGTTAACAACATGAATAATGCTCTGGGGCTGATGCAAACCTCTGGCCCTCTTGTCGAAACTGAGGCTCGGTGCAATATCGCCAAAGCTATAGCTTCTCAGATCATTGAATGTGGTTTCTTTATTGAGAATTATGCGAGAACCAGGGGCTTTAGTGCGTGTTCACTTCCACTTTTATCAAGTGGGCATTCGTTAATACGACGTACAGCTTCTCGACTGTTTGAGAACATACCGAAGGATACCAAGGAGAAGGTCGACGCCTACAATCAATCGTTCCAGAAGCTGGTCGATGCATTTCAGAATCAGACCATCGTCGACACGAACATCGTCACAAGCAATGTCTTTCAGAAGATGTCAATCATTGGTTCGTGGTCCTGCACGGCTTTATCCAATTCTTGCTCATGACAATCACAGAATCTAACTTCATTCTGCACGAAATGTTGTATGGCGACGGAGCGACATACGATTCAGGAAAGGCGTGTCTTATGGGAACGCGAACGATCATCATACAGCAGATCTGCGAATGGGCGATATCGTATCGCGTACCGGATTCTAAGCGCGTCCTGTGGTTGTCGGGTATCGCTGGAGCCGGCAAATCCGCGGTTGCCCACTCCATCGCCATGCTCTTCGACGAGATGCCTCCGGGACGCCTTGGATGTTTCTACGGCTTCAGCAGCTCTGATAGGAGACGAAGTATCGACAAACTCTTCCCCACCATTGCACGTAACATAGCCGATATGTATCCCAAGTGGAAGGACGCTCTTCAGGAGGTGGTCAAGGACAGCCGCAGTCTACGCACAACAGACTCGCTTGAGCGACAGTTCAAGTCCTTCCTTCTCCAACCTGCTGCCCAACTGGGGGACAGCGCTTCTGGGCCTATTCTAGTCGTCATCGACGCACTCGATGAATGCGGGAGCGAAGGGGAACGGGGAGAGTTATTGGAATTTCTGGCTCGTCTTGATGAACTTCCGGAGAACTTCCGCTTCCTCATCACCTCGAGACCAGAGCCCGACATCTGCGAGGCGCTCACCAATGCCTCCACCGTCCAACACATGGACATCTCCTCGCAGGACGGGGCCGTAGTCGGTGAAGACCTTGCTCGCTTTGTCGACCATCAACTGTCCAACATCGAACGATCACGGCCAGCGTTACGACGGGACAGCCGATGGGATCGACCGCGAATGGTGAAGGTCCTTGTCGAACAGTCGGATGGATCTTTTCTGTGGGCGTCCACGTCCTGTAGGTTTATCCAAGGCGAGGACGAATCAAAGGAATACGACTGGTATGACCGGTTGAACGCTATCGTTTCCTCTACTTCCCAAACGCATGACAACTCGCCGCAATATCAGCATCTCGATTCGCTTTATGGTGCGGTCTTGAGCCGTTTGTTCCCGTTGAAGCAAGGCATGACCGCTTCGCGTCGGTTTTCCCGTATTTTGGGACGCCTACTTGCCTTTCGTGAGCCACTTTCACTGTCTGCGTTTGACGAACTACGCGGGGACGACGAGGACCCAGGTTGGGCGCCTATGATCCTCGGCAGCATGGGGTCGTTGCTCTACGGAGTAACGCAGATAGACTCACTTATCCGTCCCCTTCACAGCTCCTTTCGAGAATTCCTACTCGATCCGCAACGGAGCGGGAATTATCATGTCGACCTCACCTCCTCCAATGCCGTCATCGCGCACTCATCCATGCGCACTATGAACAACTCCCTTTCGTTCAATATGTGCAAGCTCGATACGTCCTACCTTCTCAATACGGACTATCCGGACATGGCTGAAAGGATACAGAGAGGGATTTCGCCAGCGATGATATATTCATCTCGTCACTGGGCTGCTCATCTTCGCAACGCGGTGTTGTCGCCCTCGCTGATGGTATTGATCGATCGATTTCTGCGGGAGAAGGCTCTTTTTTGGCTGGAGGCATTGAGCGTTCTCGGTTCTATTTCGCTTGCGGTGCCGGCGCTTTCGACCTTGTTCTGCATTCTCCCAACTGTGAGTATACGTTCATTCTACTACGCCACCAACTGAGGTCACTTTCCAGGAATGGCGTGTGGAAAACGATCGCGGCCGGTTGATCGAGGACCTGCAATGCTTCACACGTTGTTTCGCCCATGCAATATCGAATTCAGCGCCCCATATCTACATATCCGCGCTTCCGTTCTCGCCGACAAGCTCTGTCCTTGCTTCTCTCTACCAGCAGCTCTTCCGGAGAACATTTCGCATATCGCGGGGACGGGACCGAGACTGGTTGGCGGTGCAATCGATCTTAAAAGGACACTTGAAGGGCGTCACATCTATTGCTTTTACGAAGGACGGCAAGCACCTTGTATCCGGATCTGTCGACACCACTATACGTCTATGGGATGCGGATACCGGTGAGGCCATTGGAAAACCATTCACGGGCCACACGAAGGAGGTCACGTCTCTCGCCTTCTCACCCGATGGAAGATTCGTTGTATCAGGGTCGGAGGATCGGACGCTGCGAATATGGGATCCCGCAAATGGTCAGGAGTTTATTAAACCATGGAGGTGGTCCCGCGGCACCCCGACTATCTGTCCGGATGGCACGCACGTCTTCTGGTACTCTCCCGGCCTCCCTGGCAAAATTAGCTTGTGGAACCTCGCGGCCGGACCTGTTGGAAATCCTTTGATAGAGGATCTCCAACGTAGGCCAGCCGTCGCCGTCAGTCCTTCCGGTAAACGGGTCGTCCTGGAAACTTGGAATGCGCTCAAGCTGCTGTGGATCCCTGACACAGGATGTACCGTCGAGCAAGCGTTTCAGGGGGATCTCAGCGAATTGATCGATGACCCTCATCAAGTCGTGGTGGGTAGATTCAGGTGCATTACCTTCTCGCCGGACGAAACGCAGATCGCCACAGGATTTTTCAATGGGATGGTTCAGCTGTGGGACGCAGAGACAGGGCGACCTCATGGTAGACCTCTCAAACATGGCGTCATGAGACTGCTTAGCACCATTGCATTCTCTCCCGACGGAGCGTATCTCGTCACTGGATGCTTAGATGGAATGATTCAATTATGGGATTTGGCGTCCAGAACGGCCATCGGTGCTCCACTTTATGGGCACGGTGATTGGATCACTGCCCTCGTATTCTCCCCCGATGGCAACCGCATTGCGTCTGCCTCTCACGACCGGACTGTGCGACTGTGGGATGCCGAGGCCGTTCGTCGAGCACCGTCTGGAAGCTTAGACACCCACGTCACCTCCTCGATATCCATTTCTCCTGACGGGACACGCATAGTCTCAGGATCCTTGGATGGTAGAGTGCGATTGTGGGATGCGAGAAGCGGACAGGCTTTTGCTGAACCATTTCATGCTCATAGTGACAGCGTCACATCTGTCGCTTATTCCAGGGACGGAAGGCAAGTAGTCGCAGGGTATTTCGATGGGACAATGCGAGTTCTGGATGCTGCGACTGGGATCGCGCTGAAACGTCTTCCCCCTTCTCTTGCCCCTCGACGTTCCCGGCCACGTCCGAGGCAACGAGGCCAATCATCTGCCATCAAGGAATGGATCTCCCCACGCGATCGCATCGATCCAGAGATAGGGCACACCGACTCCATCACGTCTGCAATTTTTTCGTCAGACGGAAAACGCATATTTTCAGCTTCAAGGGACACTACGTTACGAATTTGGGACGTGGAATCAGGAGAAGTCGTTGGTAGGCCCTTGAAGGGTCACGATGCGGCCGTTACCTGCGTTGCAATCTCTCCAGACGGAATGCGTCTCATATCCGGCTCCGACGACAAAAAGGTTAGGATGTGGAATGCGACCAACGGCGACCCCGTAGGGTTGCAGTTGTGGGGTCATGAGGCGTCCGTCACGGCTCTGGCGTTCTCTCCAGACGGGGTGCGCTTCGTCTCGGGGTCAAAGGACTCTAAGATCTTGCTGTGGGACGCAAAGACGCACCAAATCATCGGTGATCCCATTGAAGGGCACGATCAACCTATCCACTCCATTGCTTTCTCGCCCGATGGGATGATCATCGCTTCAGGTTCATCTGATTGCACGCTTCGGATGTGGGACTCGCGGACGGGTCAAGCGGTTGGCAAGCCGTACTCACATCCAAGACCGGTCACGTCCGTGTGTTTCTCGCCTGACGGCAAACGGATTGTCTGTGGTTCTGGGGACCACATTCTACGAGTATGGGACGTCAAGCCTCATCGCCTATCGTTACATGCAACGTCCGTGGCTCCGTCCGTTGGCCTATCTTCAGCACACTCCGTGCACATACAAGGCAATGAATCTGATCTTACTGCGCCTCCCGCAGCAGGCATTGCACCAGAGGTCGCTACAAGCAAAGCGGCGGATCTGCACGGGGCACCATCATCCTCGTCAAGAGCCCTCGCCATCTCCGAGATCGCAGAACACGCATTACGCGACGTCGAACTCCTCATTCCAGACGCCGATCGGCTTTCGCAGCTCGAGCTCGATGCATCTTTGAGGCTCACAGAAGATGGCTGGGTTGTCGGACAGGGTGGCAAACGCCTGATGTGGATTCCTCACCAGCACCGCGAACGGATCATAGTACACCCCCGGAGACTTCTCCTTCCAGCTGAGAACATGACCACCTTCGACCTGTCCGATGGCGCTCATGGACCCCGCTGGCACGAATGTTATACGCCTCCAGTAGACTCCCAGTAGTATATCGTGACGTAGCGACGTTGTAGCACTTCCCTCTGCACCTTTACTTTTGCCCCAAAGGGTCTTTGGTTGCTGTTCAAGCTCGCTTTCATGACACATCGCAGAATCAGAGAATGTACTGTATGATCGCCGTATGCACATTACTCGTGAATGCCGTCTCAGGTTACTCCAACGAGCATCATAAGGTTATCCACCCTTTCTGCGCAGTAGACAATGGTTTGGTCTAAGGATCGGTTTCGCGGTTCCGTCCTGTCATGGATAGGTAATTCAGCTAGTAAGCATATGATTGGACTTCACTCAAATTGCCGACATGAAAGGGTACGTACATAATATCCATAACACCTCTTTCGCCACCGCAGGCATCGCTATGATGAATGCGCGGCCTGGATCTTGACTTGAAGCTTGAACCATCCATGGGTACAGGATATCAAAAATGTCGATCATGCGTTGCATATCGATTGCGCACATCTAAGGGTACACGCCCACGCGATCTAAACAACACCATCAACCGACAACCTTGGCTAGCTGGGCCCGCACGGGCACATTGTGCGCCTGCCCAGGTTGTGGGAATCCCTCCAATCTGACGCCCTTGCGGAACACGCAGCACATGGTCGAGCCGCCAAAGTGGAACATCCTGGCCGCTCTCGTCAGTACGGGGTCGTGCCCGGACGGCGTTATGCGACCGGCCGTAGTTGCCAGCGACTCACCCTAGCTCGTCGCCCTTCTTGATCTTTTGGCCCTCTTTGACGGTGACCTCGCACGTCGACATCTCCGCCATGCCCACGCCCAAGAACGCCACGAGCCCGATCCTCGGCTCGTCCGCCTCGATGAATATGATCGCCCTCGTCGCCATCACGCTCAGATACTCCTGGCAGACGTTCAACCCCTCCTTCTGGGTGCTCTCCCCGGCCTCCTCGAAGTCCTCGAACAGCGGCTCCGAGTAGTACGTCCCCGGCACGATGATCGTCTCCTTCACGACGCCGGTCACGGGGGAATGCCAACGATGGTAGGAAAGCGCGGAGAGGAAGGCTTGGTAGACGGTCCCACCGACGAAGAGCGGGGCGGAGGGGTGCGAGGCGAGCATGTCCGTTACGGAGTAGGGCTGGCCTTTGACCCAAAACTTAGCGCGGGCGTGTACGTCGGTGGCGATTTTGTATGGCATCGATTCGCAGGGGTTGGCGATCACCAACGGGTCATCTGGGGATGCGACCGGCCGGATACCGTCTCTGAACCTTCTCGTAAACTACGCGTTTCCATCGTAAGCGAATGTGTGGGCGCGCCGAGGTGAAGGTGGCTCACAAAATCGTCCCAGCTCTTGAATCCCTTGTACGGCTTCTCAGGCTCGCACACGTACATCTCCTCGAACTTCCACTTTGACTTCCCCAGGTTCCCGACCTCCTCCAGATTCTTCACCCCGTGCTCGCCGAACCAGCTCGTCTTTCCGTCGTCGAGCACCGTGCACGACGCTTCGCTCTTCAAGTACGCGCCCCACGCGTCGAGCACCTTCTTGATCATCGCGTTCACCTCTGGGTCCTGGAAGACGGCGAATCCGGCGCGCGTGGCCATCGGCCAGTTGAGCAAGGCGTTGATGGGCGCGCCGACGAAGCCGACCAAGTGGCCGGCGTCGGTCCAGGCGGGCGGGGTGGAGATGACGTGGTTGAGGAGCGCGAGGAACTGCGGGACGTCTCGTACTTGCGGGTTTTCACCCGTCGGATCTTTCAGGTATTTTTTATTGCTGGGCATCTGACAAGTGCCAAGTAAACGTTAGAGGTGTGGAGGACGGGCAAGTGCGAATGAGATGAACCCGTTCGAACATGCAGTTGAACAGCATGTAAAGACGGGAGTCGCCTTCGATCTTGTCTCGGAACTGTTGCAAGACGGGGTGGAGCTCTTTCGGGTTATCGACGTGATTGACGAGCTTCTTCATCCAGTCATGGTGGTGCCGCTTGTCCTGCGAAAGCCAATGACCCGTCCTATACCGTACGAGTAAGCATTTCGCTCATAAGCGCTGGGTGACAGAGCGCAAGGATCGAGACGACATGCGGTCCTTACCTTGGGACGTGATGCTCATCCGGCACTTTGTGGTCTCGTTGGTCCATGGCTTTATGGAGAAATTGAATTGAAGAAGGGATCCAAAGTCGATATCGGGGATGCTGTCGTGGTCGCGGTCCTGGTCGGATATGATGGAGATTATATATCGCCGACCAGGATGGACATCCATGACGGGGCCAACGCAGCAAATCAGCGCCAATGACGTCGGCGATGCATTGCTGGCGGTGGAGTTGACACGAGGGTCAATTCTCGTTAATATACCGATTGAGCGCGGTCATAAGTATTCGCGAAGGGATGAAAAGAGCAAGAGTTCGTCGTAGCAGATGTAGAGGCAGCGTCGCAGCGAAGTACGGTCAAGTGAGTCGTAAAGTCCAAATAACACACAACATGCCGAGAGGGCCACCCGCGACTTGTGCATTCATCGTAATTCTGCAGCAGTTAATACTTTCGCCGAGATTTGTTCAGCACATGACAGAATCAAACGAAAAGGTTCTGGCTGGGAGCACGAGGAAAGGGGCTAATTGGTGATGGTTTGTCCCCGCAACGGGTATGGACGAGAGAGTCTCGTCATATCTACACATTATCCTCTGCATACATGTCTCTGCCAGCTTGCTGCGTAGTGCCCCCACGCTGAAGACGCGGATCATCGCCCTAAATTGTTCATTCTTTCCGGATCGCGACCGCTCTTAAGGGCAGTTCTCGACGATGCCCTGACCAGCGGCGACGCAGTTCGAGACAGACTGGTTGAGGTTGGCAAGCGTAACATGCGTGTCCTTCTTCCTACAGAGCGTGAGGACGGTCTTTTTAGCGTCTTGCAGAGCGTCTCGAGAAGCCTTGGGACACTCACGGAACCAGCGAGCTAAGAGCGTTCTGGGCGACGGTCAAGTTGGACGTGACCGCATCACGGTCGACCGGCGATCCGGGGGTGCCGTTGAAGAGCCCGCCGAGGATGTTCAGCACGGCTCCCTGCGTGTTCGCGAGCGCGCCGCTCGCCTTCTTAACGGCCGACGACGCCGTACGGTTTCTGTTAGACCACGTTAGAATGGCTCAAGGATGGACGAGGTAGTGAGGACTCACGAGGTGGTGGACTGCGCGGCGGCGAGGCTGTCCATGGACGCGATCGCGGCGCTGACGTTGCTGAAGATGTTGAGCTGGTTCAGCACGCAGGCGAGGCTCTCGTTGTTCGCCGCCAGACCGCCGCTGCCGGTCACGTTGGCGCTCGTGCTGTTGGACGACGAGAGGTCGGTGCCATTGGCGAAGCTGGTACTGTTGGCGAGGCTCGTGCTGTTCGACGCGAGAGCGGTGCTGGTGACAGTCGAAGCCAGGTCGGTACTGGTGCTGGTGCTGTTGGCGGCAACGCCGGTGCTGTTCGCAGTGATGTCGGTGTCGTTCGCAGAAACGCTGGTACTGGCCGCAGCAAGGCTCGAAGCGGTCGCGGCGGCGCTGGCGCTTACAATGCCATTGTTCGCGCTAGCATGGTGAAGCGGCACTGGGCGAGCAACGGTTAGCGGTCGGCAAATGGAGAACGAAGTCGGGTAGGCGATGTGCTCACCAGCGCTCACGACAGACGCCGCTGCGAAGAAGGCGAGAATGGCTCGAAACTGCATCTCGACAAGATGGTGTATGAGAAGGACGTGAAGATGTAGGGTGCTCAAAGAAGAACGTCGAATAGAACGTAGAACGCGAAGAATGAATCAGCTCAATATGACACCAGGTCTGGATTGCGTAGTCTGGACGGATGTCTCTTTTATACGGGTCAGATGGGTCATTCATGCGAAAAGGAAAAGGCCTAAAGTGCTGTGTAGGCGTAGTCGTCCATTCAACTGACCCTAGCGTCGAAACTCCCTTCGTTGTCGCGCGCCCGGACGAAGCTTCGGCGCCAGCCCAAGATAGCGTATCACTTCCTCTTCCACAAGACAGCGGGTGTCTTCGGTGCCAGTAGCAAGCCTGTCAGGAAAGTGATGCCCGTGAACCGCCACGTTCGCAGCAGACTGACAATATCTGCGTCCGCTGACTACCTGATCGCAGCCAGCGTTACCGTGAGTTTGAAGTATATACTGAGCTAGTTATGATCGAAATGCGTACCACTGAGGAGTGTCCTAAGAGAGCCATGAGTTCCGTGTAGAGACGCTACGATGACGGCGAAGTTGCGAGCGTGCGGGCCGAATGTCGGAAACCAAGCGCTTTTCGATCCCATGTTGCGGACTTCCAATTCCATATTCCGCAACATGCGATTTGAACTCCGACAGATGCTGAGGGCGCAAGAAGATATGGCAACCACCTTCTCAATGTCGAGCACAACGCACGAGATGATGGTAGGTGGCGCGTATGAGCGACAATACCGATGCCGTAGCAGTTGGTCCTGGGAAGTAGGATGGGTTCTTGGACTTCGTGTGTGAGCCGGCCCCAACGAGCGCGAGCCACCAGGCCAGCGCTCACCGGGACAGGAAGCGCTCTGTGGCCGGAGACGAGACGACAGTGTGGGGGCCTGCGCGCTAGCGAGTGTACTTGTCTTGAGTCCTCTGTGACCACCCCGACAAAGTCTTTGTCCCGTATATTTCCAAGAGAGAGCGCGATGGTCTTTTCGGCGCCGAGGTGAACGCGTTCGGTCCATCCAGCACCGGAGCTAACTGTTTTCGATGGTAATTCAGCCAAAAAGAGAGCAAAGAGCGTATTGCACCGGATACCGGCAGTCGGCCATGCAAGGAGGAGGGCGGACGTCATCTAAACATACAGAAGCATCAGCGCAAAGCAAGATTCGAAGGCGAAAATGACAGATGGGACCCGACCACTTACGAAGTTGTCCCAGTTTCGCGCTAACCCTTCGGAACTTGGATTGCGCGCGAGCAAATTCATTTGTGCGAGTAAACGCGATTTTACGTTGGGAGCCATGCGACGGCGTGTTTTCCTCCTCAGAGTATTGCAAAGCAGATGTGGATTTCATCATCGTGACGACGTATGTGAGGCCCGTCGATTGAGCTTGGAGATGGAACCAGTAAAACATGGCGAAGCGATGCGAATGGATGGGCGGGTTCGGGCTGAGGAGCATAACGCCGAGTATGAGGTGCCATCCGTGGCGTGAGGGGATCAGACGCTGTATTGCCGGAGCAGCAACCCGGTGTATAGCCAGGCCTCGTGAAAGGTGCCGAAGAAGAACACGCTGAACACGACCTGTTGGTCCAAGTCAATGAAGCCGTCCCGAGCCGAGCGCATGAGAGCGCATGTCGTACGAAACGACGTACCGTGTCCTTCCGCCCACCTTCCGACCACTCGCGAGAGAGCGCATCACTGATCGCAGGACTAGGTGGCGCGCTCGCCTTCGATTCTTCCACCCGTCCTAACGAATCGGAAAAACCGCCTCGCGCTGAAGAGAAGAGTATATGGGCGCTACGCCCAGCCGTCCCGGATCCAGTATTAACGGCCGCATCGATCACTCCGGTCACAGCTGTCTGAGCAAACTTGGGCCCGCCGGTCGAAGATAATCTGCTAGGGCGGTGAAAGATCGACCAAAGCGCTGATGCGTGGGTGACCACGTTCAAGCTGCGTTCGAGGCTCAGGCTTTCCGGATAGCATCTCGTGTGGGTATGCCCGGTATGGCCAATTGCACCTTCCGGTTCCGGTCCACGAGGACAACTGAGCAGCGGTACACGCAGCCTCCGTAAAGCTCGTAATGTGTACATAGCACAAAATCGAGGGGGTTGCTGTATCCCGGCGGAGGGGATGATTAACGTGAAAAGTGCGCTAGAAAGTCGATCGCGAACAACGCGGCTCAGAGGACAGGGCCGGGAGATGTGCAGCACGTGATGCATTGGCTTTCTCTCTCTCTCTCCTCGTCGACGTCCCTAGGCTCCGAGTCGCGGAAGCGCTAATCGACGTGCTAATACAAGGGATCCAAGGCGGAATGCTGTGCAATAAATGCAAGTAACACCTACCAGATAGCAGGGCACATATGAAAGTTCAAAACAATCACAGGAACCAGGACATATCCCGGGAGTTCGTTACTACATCGCGTCTTTTGCCCGAAGTCCCGCTGGCCTTGTCGATTCGAACGTCCTCATTTGCCGCTACGGTGCATCTCTCGAGAGCTGTTGATGCGCCCTACGTTTAACGCTCTATTCTTATGCGGGACGATTGATTTGCATCTATTCCTGGCCTCGCCCTCGCTACAGCACGTTTTGATTGGGCGCTAGCGCACGACCCCATCCAACGTCCTCCGCCGAGGGCGAGCGGTGCATCACCGCCTGGCTGACTGCGCGACCCAGACGATGCCCGCTCGGCGTCATTCACCTCCGAGCGCGAGCTCACGCCCAACGTCGTGTGTGATGGGACGACCCCGAGGTGGAAGGGTATAAGACCCTGCGGCGAAGTGCCAACTGTTTCCTCAGCCGCATTCGTTCTTTCGTTCAGGGTACTGGTGCCCAAGTCTTCCTTCTTTGTTATAGCCTTCACTCCCTTCCTTGCTCGGACAGGACCTCTTCGTCACACTCGCTCTCTTTTTGCTCTACGCTTTACGCTCAACCCAAGACTCTCGTTATCACCATGGTCCGCGCATTCTCTGCTGTTGTTCTCGGCCTCTGCGCCCTCGCCGCGCCGCTCGCTGCTATCGCCGCTCCGGCCGCGCTGTGCGTCTCTTTTCGCGTGTTCCAGCAGCAACTGGTTTACTAACCTCAGGTCGTGACGTAGTCAAGCGAGGACAGTGTCCTCCAATCTGTCTGGCTACCTTCACAACATCGGCAGCCACATCTCGTCCAGCTGGTGCGCACATGATCGGGCAGTTGTCCTTCATTCTACGCATGGCTGACCCATATTTCCCTCAGGGAGTCGAGCTCGTCCGAAACTGTCGTCGTGACATCGATGGTCGAGACCGTCGTGCTCGCCACTATCACCAGCTTCACGTAAGTCTCGAGGCGTCTCCGTACCCTCTACGCCGGTTGCTCACGACTTCCATCTCAGCGAGGTCAGCGAGCAAGATATCGAGCAAGTCTGCGAGCTCATGTCGTCCTACGGCATTGACATGTCAGTCTTCGCTCCCGCACGTCCCTCCTACCACGATGGCTGATCATACATCGCAACTTTGTCCAGCTCCGAGCAGCAAGTCGTGAGCATCATCGAGGAGCACATGGTCTCCGTCAGCGAGGTTGAGGTCGTCTCCCAGATCATGGAGTCCTTCCTCAGCGAAATGTCCGTCAGCGTCAACGTATAACCGCTCCCAATCCCTCTGCACCCCCTCGAAGTCCGCTTAATGCCTCAGTATTATATGGAATCCTCTGCGTCCTGTTGCTGATGGACGTAGGTTATTCCCACTAATCCTTTTCTTCGCTGTTCACATTATCGAGGGGTCTTCGGTTGTATCGTGCCGCTGTTTTGTTGTTCCTGTCCGACATAGGCATCCCTATTATACTTTGCGGCTCTATCTGGCGTGACTGTCTCGGTTTCTTTGGATTATTTGCTAGCTCAGACGTGCACGCGTGTCGCTGCGCCTCGAAGAACGACTCGTTAGCGAGTTGACGCGCCATGACTTCCGAACGAAGCGATGAACCTCGCGAGCCTGCTGCTGCCTCTGTCACCCATTTGTCCCACGCCCATCCGCACTCCTCATCTCCGGCGATCGTACTAGTGGCATGCAGTCGCGCGTCCGCCTTCAGTAAACCCTGGATCGCACAGCGCATGACCCGTTCCTGACTCTCAGAGATCGTGAACTCGATGTTCCCATTGCCAACTTCGCTACTGAGCGCTGAGTGCGAGTCTGTGCGAGTGTTTCCCCGCCAAGCTCCACGCATCTTGCAAAACGCGACATTTTCGGCCTTCGAGACGGCCATAGAACCTGAGCATCGGGGGATGAAGCGGACCGATGTCTCTCTGAACACTCACGCGTCCTCCATCTTATCCATTATGGCGGTGTCTGTCCTCGACGTTCACAGGCAAGGCTGTGAAGGACGATAGCCAGGACTGCGTCGATTGGCCTCTGACCGGCGTCTCGAAGCGGAGAAGGTTTAATCAAGCCAGCTTATGCCATCGCCGCCTTGCAGCCTTTCCGCGGGCAGCGGCGCAACATGTGTGCCTCGTTGCTGCAGGGGTCTCGCTCGAGACGGCACTTCCTCATCTTCTCTCCTCTCACCTCGCCCAAACGTACCATGGATCCGGCGAACGAACCGAAGTCTGAAAACGATACCCCGCAGAACATGCTCAGTACTGGCAGGCAGTCCGCTCCACGAACGGTCTTTGTTACCCGTACGTGTCTTCGCTGGTTCTTAACCATACCGTACTCTTGAACATTTTCTGCAGAGCTGAAATGCACCGGCCTGGAGGAGCATCGTTATTTTGTGAAGATTCGGGCCAGCAACAGACCTGAGCCCGTGGTTACGCCCGTCGCACGGCGGACGAAGGAACCTGAATGGGAAGGACCGTTTTCGATGTACGTTTAGCTATCACATCTCGTTGACCTATCTTCTGATGGGCCAATTTCATGACCTGCTAGCAATGGCACTGAAGCCAGCGTACTGTCTTTCCAAGTATGGATCAAGCATACGATCAAGTCAGACGAGCCCCTTGCGGAAGGGAACATCGACCTCACGGCGCTTGGGACCGGTGGTGGGTATACTATGCTCATGTCAGAGCGTGGGATCGCCAATCACAACGTTTCCATGTAGTTTTGAACCATTGGGAGCAGCTACTTGTCTATGTCGACGATACGAAGAAGAAAGACGCATCCATTAGCGCCTCCGTCACCGTCGTCGCCGGTGGTCCAGTGACACCGGTGGTTGATGCTCAAGACGGTGTGCAGCCCGCTGATCATGAACCTTCAGTTGAAAGAGGCCAATCCAACGGTGAGTAGTATACTGCGAAACCGTCCTCCACGCATTCCTGACACTCTGTTAGGTTTGTTCGACGACACTGGGTAAGTCCCTCGTTCACACTATCCGATCCCGGCTCTCAAGTTGGTGTCAAGGGTGGCTGCGCAGGCAGTTCACGCTGCAGGGCGCGTGGCCGCAGATCGTCAAGCCTCATCACCCAGGGTGGTCATCGAAGAAGCCGGTATCGCTGAGGACTTAGGAGGCGCGGCAGGCCACGTCTCCGACACGATCAAGCTTTTGACCCCTATCCTTAAAAAGCTTAGGCTCTTCGTGACTGTCACCGATTCCATTTCCTCGGTGTGTCATTGCCTTAGGCAACGACATGCAACAATAGCTCATCACGCTTCTCAAGATTCATCCGTACGCGAAGATTGCCATGACCGTCATTGGCGCTATTCCGAAGGTTGGTCCATGCCTTTCTTGAGCGAGCATACTCATTTCCTTTAACGCAGGTAATCGTCACGCAGTCAGAGAAGGACAAGAGTGTTGTTTCTCTCGTTCAGTGCATAGGCGAAGCATTGGACCTGATGCAGACCACGAAGGATCTCTCCGAGGATGGCCATCGTCTGAGGGTTGCGATACTTATCGCGGCACAGATTGTAAATTGCGGCGACTTCGTCAACAAGTATTTCAAGACGGAAGGATTCGGTACGTCTTCTTGATACCTCGTCATTCGCTGGGTGCTGAAGTCGTAATTAGCCAGGCGTTTGGTCAAGAACCTCGCGGTCAACACGGGCGCTGTTGTAGCTGCCTACAAGGAGAGACTCGGTGAACTTATGGATCAGTTTCAAACAGGGCAAATCATAGCTACCAGGATAATCGCCCATAGAATGTATACGAGTGTGGTTGAGCTCGGTAAGTGACTGTCGCTTTCCCGTGCTATGAATATAAAGAATCTGATACGGAATTAGACGGGAAGATCACACTGAACAGCATACGTTACGCGGAGGGGGCTGGATACGATCCTGGGAAGGGATGTCTACCGGGGACGCGTCGAAAGCTCATATCCAGGATCCACGACTGGGCATGTACCCACGGGGATAGGGACTCCAAGCCCGTCCTTTTACTTTCTGGTGTTGCAGGGGCGGGTAAGTCGGCTGTGGCGCATGCCCTTGCAGCAATGTTCGACGATCGGGCGTGTCTGGGATCCTTCTTCGGGTTCAGTTCCTCGGATCAGAGACGTACGCCGGACACACTGTTTCCGAACATAGCTCGCGATCTCGCCGCGTTCAACGCCGAATGGGAGAAGGCTCTGCTCACCGAGCTTGCCGGGCGCCGTAACATTCCTAGTTTGCTGACGTCGACCTCTTTGAGCCTCCAGTTCGAGACCTTCCTTCTTGGCCCTGCCCGTCGCATCCAAGGCCAAATCGTTGGCCCCATTCTCATTGTTATAGATGCCTTGGACGAGAGCGGCGATGCGGCCAACCGCTCAGAGCTGCTCAGATTCCTCGGCCGACTACACGAGATGCCCTCCAACTTCCGCTTCCTCGTTACCTCTCGTTCTGAACCTGATGTTCATAACGCCCTCCTCCGTAGAGATGCAATCCAACACAAGGATATGTCGCAACTTGATGATGGCGAGACCGATGTCGATATCACCCGTTACATCCAACACGAGGATATGTCGCAACTTGATGAAGGCGAGACCGATGTCGATATCACCTGTTACATTGAACACGAATTACGCGAGTTGTTTTCGTCGCATCAAAATAGGTACAGACAGGAATCGGTCAAGAAACTCGTTAGCTGTTCCGATCAGTCGTTTCAGTGGGCGTCTACCGCGTGCAAGTTCATTCGCGGCGTGGGCCAAACACATGAATATGATTGGAGGGACCGTTTGGAGGTCCTTGTCTCTACAGCTGCAACAAAACAGGATACCCGCGCTCTCTCTGACAATCTCCATTGGTTTTACACGGCTCTAGGGGTGGATCTCGGCACCTACGCTCCATTCCTGAATCAAAGTCAGTGGTACAGATTTTTTCAAGCCCTCGCATCTACCGCTTTTGGGGGGAAAGAGACCGGTCCAAAGTACAAACACCTGGATTCACTGTACTTTGCCGTCCTTGAGCGCGTCTTTCCACCTCAGTCATGGTTATCACGCCCTTCTCGGGTGACGCGTATACTGGGGCGTGTACTTGCACTGCAACAGCCCGTGACCCTGACTGCACTGGACAAGCTACATGGCAAGGACGAATCTCCCGGTACAGCCTTAAAGATCTTAAGTCCCCTGGGATCCCTGTTTCACGGGGTGTTACATATGGATGTCCCTATACGTCCCATCCACAGCTCGATCAGGGAATTTCTATTGGATCCTGAGAGAAGTGGTTTATACTATATCAACCTGGAAACTGCACATAGTCAACTCGCCTTCTCAACTCTATCTGTCATGACAACACAGCTCAAGTTCAATTTGTGCGGTCTTAGGACCTCACACGAACCACACCAGACAGAAAAAACATGCAACACCATATCTCCAGAACTCGCCTACTCTGCATGTCACTGGCCATCCCATCTTCAAAACACCAATGTCTATCCGCTCCTGGGGATGATTGACGAGTTGCTGCAAAGGAAGGCTTTCTTCTGGATTGAATGCCTGAGTTTATTAGGGAAAATGGTACTGGCTACGCCATCGCTGGATGTACTCCTGTGCCGGTTGCCAACGGTTAGTGAAAATACCCTGCGCGATTGATAAACCTAACCCCTGAGATTCAACAGGACAACTCCGAGTCCAATAGGGACCGGATAAAGCTCTTAACCGACCTCAAGCGGTTGATACAGATATTTGGAATGCCAATTGCAGTGGCTGCTCCACATCTATACCTTTCCACATCTGACTTCCTACCTGAGCTCACGACGATCCACTCATATTACCGACGCCAAAGGGACACCGACGGCCGTCCCTGTCTTTGCATCCCAGACGCGCACCGTGTCGTCATGTGAGCCCGACGCGATGAACCGTCCATCTGGAGAGAATGCGACGGATGTGACCGAACGACCGTGACCTTCCAAAGGGGCACCGACGGCCGTCCCTGTCTTTGCATCCCAGAGGCGCACCGTCCTGTCATGTGAGCCCGACGCGATGTACCGTCCATCGGGAGAGAATGCGACGGATGTGACCCAATGACTGTGACCTTCCAAAGAGACACCGACGGCCATCCCTGTCTTTGCATCCCAGATCCGCACCGTGTGGTCATCTGAGCCCGACACAATGAACTGGCCATCGGGAGAGAATGCGACGGATCTGACATCATCACTATGACCTTCCAAAGGGACACCGACGGCCATTCCTGTCTTTGCATCCCAGATCCGCACCGTGTGGTCATCTGAGCCCGACACAATGAACTGGCCATCGGGAGAGAATGCGACGGATCTGACATCATCACTATGACCTTCCAAAGGGACACCGACGGCCATTCCTGTCTTTGCATCCCAGAGGCGCACCGTCTTGTCAGATGAGCCCGACACAATGAACTGGCCATTGGGAGAGAATGCAACAGAGTTCACGTTGCCTTCGTGCTCGGTCATGATACCCTGAATTGATGGCCACAAGCTGGTTCTTCCTTTTGCAACCTTCACTCCATGCTGGAACTGAAAGGTCACAGTCATTTTGTCACATCCGTCGCATTCTCTCCAGATGGACGGTTCATCGCGTCGGGCTCATATGACTACACGGTGCGCGTCTGGGATGCAAAGACAGGGACGGCCGTCGGTGCCCCTTTGGAAGGTCACGGTCGTTCGGTCACATCCGTCGCATTCTCACCCGATGGACGGTTCATCGCGTCGGGCTCACATGACAACACGGTGCGCGTCTGGGATGCAGAGACAGGGACGGCCGTCGGTGTCTCTTTGGAAGGTCACTGTCGTTGGGTCACATCCGTCGCATTCTCTCCCGATGGACGGTTCATCGCGTCGGGCTCATATGACTACACGGTGCGCGTCTGGGATGCAAAGACAGGGACGGCCGTCGGTGCCCCTTTGCAAGGTCACAATGATTGGGTCACATCCGTCGCATTCTCTCCCGATGGACGGTTCATCGCGTCGGGCTCACATGACAGGACGGTGCGCCTCTGGGATGCAAAGACCGGGATGGCCGTCGGCGCCCCTTTGGAAGGTCACAGTCATTATGTCGCATCCGTCGCATTCTCTCCCGATGGACGGTACATCGCGTCGGGCTCAGATGACAAGACGGTGCGCCTCTGGGATGCAAAGACAGGGACGGCCGTCGGTGCCCCTTTGGAAGGTCACGGTCGTTCGGTCACATCCGTCGCATTCTCTCCAGATGGACGGTTCATCGCGTCGGGCTCACATGACGAGACGGTGCGCCTCTGGGATGCAAAGACAGGGACGGCCGTCGGTGTCCCTTTGGAAGGTCACAGTTATTTTGTCACATCCGTCGCATTCTCTCCCGATGGACGGTTCATCGCGTCGGGCTCGTGTGACAAGACGGTGCGCGTCTGGGATGCAAAGACTGGGACGGCCGTCGGTGTCCCTTTGGAAGGTCACAGTCATTTTGTCACATCCGTCGCAGTCTCACCCGATGGACGGTTCATCGCGTCGGGCTCACATGACAACACGGTGCGCGTCTGGGATGCAAAGACTGGGACGGCCGTCGGTGCCCCTTTGGAAGGTCACGGTCGTTCGGTCACATCCGTCGCATTCTCACCCGATGGACGGGTCATTGCGTCGGGCTCATACGACAAGACAGTGCGCCTCTGGGGTAGCAAGACCGGAAAATGCCTCGAGATCTCCATGGCCCAGCACATATCGAATGTATTCGCTGCTGGCAATAGCAGACTATCACTGGAATCGTCACCGCGTACCTCAATACCGGGCAACGTGACGCCCGATGTCGAAGTGCTTCCATCACCAATAGAGCCCGTTTCTCGTTCAGGTAACGCTGCGATGGAGCTATCTCCCGAGCTTTCGTATCCGTCGCTTGATTACTCGGAGTTCGGTAAGTGTTGGCATCTCATGTCGTGTCAGCCGTAAAGCTGACGCGGTTCGTAGATTCTATGTCCACCAGCGAAACCCCGAAAGTTGTCTTCTCCCATGACCCGGCACATGCGCTGCGGGACGCTCATTTGCTCATCCCGGGCATTGCAAATCTCTCTCAGTTTGAGGCGGATGTGAGCGTGGAAATGAGGGACGACGGTTGGGTCGTCGGTCCGAAAGACAGATTGCTGCTATGGGTTCCTCCGGAGCATCGTCAGAAGCTGTGGCTACCACCTCAACGGCTTCTGATACCAGCATCCTGGCCGTGCACTACGCTGGATTTGAGCGACTTTTCTCACGGGACCCGTTGGACGGAATGTTACGACCCTACGGCGGTCGAACCAACACGCAAGAGCACCACCGACACCTCATCGTCCCGTCAAGCCTGGCTATCGACTTCTCCCGCCATAGTCCGGTACAGCTTCCTGGTGTGTATGGTCGCAATCTTCGCCATGTTCGTTCGCGTTTTGCTCGGGTGATTGGAACGGCCCTTTGGACTCGTCGGTTACATGTTCATGGATGGTGAAGCTTCGATTGAGATGCTATTTTGATTTTTTGGCTATAGTTGTCGTCTTCTGTATTGGAACAGAGGTAACGATACAAGTGTTTCAGCGCGGCGTTGTATACATGTAATACAGGATCGAGACAAGGACAGAATTGGACATTGTGACAATACAACGGTTGCGTACAGTAAGCAATGGAAACTTGATGGATGCCAACAAAGGATTATACAATGCAGAAGTATGACGGGTATTGACAAACCGCGGTGATCGTGGTGATGCTGCGAGAGAGAGAGAGAGGGAAAGAGGCGTGTTGAAGATTTGGAGCAGAGTGACGCATTACGACGCCATCGATCCTCGCCTGGACGCCGGAGAGGCGTCGGGCGAGACCCACTCGATCCGGTACGGGTGCACGCGCGCGCCGTGGGTGAGGCGCCGGTCGGGGCCTTTGAGGTGGCGCATGCCTTCGCGCACGAGGAGGAGGACCTGACCGTTCCCGGTCCCATTCCCGGTCCCGCTCCTAACACCCGGTTTGGTGGGGGAGGAGGAGACGGAGGTGCGGCGGGCGATGGAGGTGATGGAGGACGAGGGCGCGGTGAGCGTCGGGCCGGACTTGAGGGAGGTGGGAGAGGCGGAGGAAGGGGAGGTTGAGGGGGAGGAGAGGACGTCGACGGGAGGCAGGGAGGGGATGAAGGGCGTGTCGGGCGCGGGGATGACGATGGCGGCGTCGGCTTCGGCGAGGGTGCGGACGGGGCGCAGGCGGAGGATGCGTTCGGGGGCTTCTGGTCCGGTGATGCTTGAGGGAGAGGGAGAGGACAATTTTGAGGAGGCGCGTGTCGTGGAGGGCGCGTGCGAGATGTAGGGCGGCGGGGAGAGCGAGGCGAGGCGCGAGGGTGTGGAGGAGGTCGAGGAAGTCGAGGGCATCCGGTGCCGGTGGCGAGGGTGGTACGGGTTAAAAGGGGTCATCTGAAGTTGATGATGATGATGTTAGTGAGTATCGGTCATTGAAGAGAAGGCTGCGAACGTACCGGAGAGTCGTAGGATTCGTGAGAGCTCGCGCTCGAGGCGGGCGAAGCGGCGCGGCGCGATGCGTCCGGACGCGGGAGGTTAAGCGTATGGAGAGGAGGGAGCGAGGGCCGTGTAGACGGGGAAGTCGAGGTCGTAGCGGCGACGTTGGCGTTAGACGTGAAGAGGGCCATGGATACAACGACGTGTCAATTGAAGTGTTGAGGTAAAGCGGCGTAATTAGAGGCTATTGCCGTCAGGTGTGAGTGCGTCAAGGTAGCGATGCTGCGAGCGCTAGTGTTTTGAGTTGAGGAAGAGAGGATCCGCGTCGAGTTTGAGTAAATGGTCCGCCGGGGTACCGAGGAAGAAAGGCGCTGCCTTTTGGATGTTATTATAGGAGATTGGTGATGTACGGTGGAGTAGAACTGAGACAAGACAAGAGCGGAACCGAGAATAGGAGTGGAGAGGGACAGCGGGATGGGCCTTGAATGTCGGCGGCCAACAGTACTTTAATAGAGCCATTCGACTATCCTCAGTGTTATTGTCGTGGACGACCCGCCCGTCGTAAGTCGCTACATTGTCCTTTCGTTCGTGGACGTAAGTGGTCAAAGTACAGTGAGCGTCTCTTTGTTTGTTTTGTGAGAATCCTTCGAAGTTTCGCATTGAGGGGATGAACGCGGGGTCGCATTGTATCGAGCGGGGACAAAAGACTCGGCAAGAAGAATGGATCGGAGTTTTTAGACGCACGGTGGGAAATTGTGTCGGAGCTCAAACCTAACCTTTCCACGTGAGATCCGGGCGCTTAAGCTTATGTGGCCGGCGCCTCTCTGCACGCTGCTCTGCGTCTCATCTGCTTGGTGCTCCTCTAGCCTTCGTGACTCTTGCAGAGCGTACCTATTATTTCCGCTTTGCTCACCGTGGGCCGCGCAACCTGCTTAGGTGTACGCTCGCTATCTAGTCTACCGCCACACGTGACCCGGTGACGCTTTCTTATCCCCCTTACCGCCGCTCATAAGACCGACGAGCGTCCGGAAACAAAAGCGCAAGGAAGAGGGAATCTCTGTCTCGACATTCGGACTTAGGAACACAGATCCATGGCACAGAACGTACCGAAAATCCGCATCGTGAGCACTGCTTTTGTTACTACCATACCCTTGCTTCTCTCCTTTGTTCTTCGTGCGTCGGGCGTGCAATGTCGCGTCGGCCTTCTGTCCGTTTCGTCGCCAAGCCCGACCTTGCTTCATTGTACTCCATTCACCTTACTCGTCTAATGTCTTGCATCGATCCATGCCCGGTGTCTATCCCGCCTTCCTCGTCATTCTCAACATAAGCCCATCGTCTCGTTCCCTACGGTACAACATGATCGTGCGCTGACGACCAACCCCGCTCTTTTTTTCTCTTGTCTTTTCCCCTGTCGGACACTGAATACGCGCATGCGTGTCCTCTCATCGTCACCATGCCTCCCTGCAGCTTAAGGGCGCGGAACCCGACCTTTCGGCAGCGACGTTCCAGATCGCGGACGAGACGCATACGATCGGCAACGCGCTGCGGTGGATGATCATGAAGAAGTGCGTTTCTACTCTCTTTTTCTTCCTGCCCACATCCCCATGCCTTGTTTATGTCGTTACGCTGACGGGCTACCCTTATCCTAGCCCGAAGGTGGAATTCTGCGGATACAGGTGAGCCCGCTACCGTCTTCGTACTCTTTGTCTTTCGCGTTCTATTCTTCTTCCCTTTTCTCTTCCTGGAACGACTCGTTTTGGAGATGTGACCACCTTTCCCGTTTCCTGCACGGCCGCCTTTCAACCGTTATCCTAATGTTCTTTCATCCTTTCTCTTCAACGTCCCGCCTTGGAAATATGACCACCTTTCACGCTTGGCACCACCACGTCACGACAAGCTCTTACATACCACGCCATTGTATTCTCATATCCTTTCGTGGGCGATGGGCCACCATCCTCGCCTTTCAGTGCTATTCCCCGCCACGTCCCTCTTCCCAGCCACGAACTTCCCATCACTGACCACAGCCCACCCCACAGCGTCCCCCACCCCTCCGAACCCAACATCAACGTCCGCATCCAGATGTACGGTAAGTTAGCACCACCCCCTATGCTTCGTCCCCCAATTCCCCGCCTTCAAGTTCTTTTTCCTCGCCTGCGTCGTCGTTGATCTGACCGACTGTTGATACAGACAACCTTTCCGCCCTCGACGCGCTCATCGACGCGCTTAACCGCCTCGACGACCTCTTTGCCGCAGTCGACGAGCAGTACGCGAAGAGCCTCGCGAAGGACAAGTACGAGCGCTGGGACGAGAAGAGCTGAGGGCCCGTCGCCGGGTTTCTCTCCGTCTCTATTGCTCCCGTCCATATCCATCGTTTCCGCATAAAAGTATATTATGGCTCTATTGTAATGTTTTCCTCTGTAGAAGGGTTGCGTGTAGGCTAAATATCAGTTCGGTTGCACGGCAATGTACAGTAACGGCCGTCCCGGCATCCACCATGAAATCGAAGCTGCTCAGATCTCCTCGTCAGGGTTGTCGATGTCGGCTTCTTCTGCTTCCTCCTCCTCCCACTCGTCGGCGACAGGTTTTCCGACCTTTGCGACGTCGTCTTTGGATATTTCGTGGATCGTGATCGCCTTTCTCGCCCTCGCGACTCCGATCCGCAGTCTCATAATCCTCTTGCCCGCGCACCTGGCAGAGAGAGACCAACACACGTCAGGAAACCAGTCACTCGCGCCCTTCAGGGACTCCGCACGACGCACCGCCAGATGCTTCTGTACGCCTGAACGGCCTCCCGGTCCGTTTCCGCCCGCCCAGCGCCCGCCGGCTCCATCTGTACGTCCTCGCCGCCGTCCCGCCTGCGCCTCGCCATGCCATCTGACCACAGCCACGCCAGCCGCCTCGCCTCGTCCTCCGCCATCTCGCCCGGTCGCAGACGGAACCGGCGCACGACGGACCCCAGCTCCGCGCGGAAACGCGCCGGGTCGCGCTGCCCGCGCGCGGCACGCTCGAGCGCGCGGACGAGCGGGCCGAGCGCGTCGTCCAGCTCGTCCTCGAGCGCGGCGAGCCGGTCGTGCAGCGGGCCGAAGTCGGCTTGAGGGCGCGCGTGCTCGGCCGTCGCGAGCTCTTCGCGCGCGTCGAGCAGGTCGTTTCGGGCTGCGGGGCAGACGGCGCGCGTCAGCGGGGATGTTCTCCTTCAGTGCGTGCAAGTGCGCGCGGCGAGAGGGCAGAGATTGCGAAGGGTGGGGCTTACCGCGGTACAGCGGATGGTCGCTCCCCAGCGGGGACGGGCGGACGTACAGCGTGGTCGTCTTCTTCCCCTTCTGTTCTCGTTCTGGTCCGGGGCCCTCGCTGGTCACCGTGGTTGCCTTCTCGCGCATCGTTCTTGCCATCTCGTTCTTGGCGAACATCCGCTCCTCCACCTCGTCCCGGGAAAGCTCGTAGCGCTCCCCGAGAAGGTATCGCGGCACCGCGCGGATGGAGATCAGCCTCCAGCGCGCGTCCGGGACGAAGACGACGTGATAGTCGAGCGGCCTCGTGTTGGTGAAGCCCCACGGGTTGCGGACAGGTAACCGTATCGTCTTCCTTTCTGTTTCTGCGAGTTGTTGCGGGACCACAGGCGTTGGAAGTTCTGTTGGATGCCTCCTCATCTGGTCCGTAAGACCTTTAAGAGTAGCGCTTCGAGGGGATCAGGGAGCGATAAGGAGGGTAGGGGCAGGGAGGCCACATAGAGGATGATTATTGTCGCCATCCCCACCGGACAAAGGGCGAAGGATGTAGCCACGCTACGGTTAGTGTGGGCGATGGGCGGGTGGCGCGTATTTGGTGCCTTGGGGTGGATAGTCTGCTTCTGGTTTTAGGGTACAGATCTAGAACTTGTGTAGTTCCCCTGCAGCAGCGAACGACGAGCGAAATCAGGTCGATCTTCTTTCACGTATCATCCGAGGTCAAGGGTGCATAACAAGGAAAGGACTGTATACATTCAACGTACATCAGGGACGATTTTATACTCGTCAAGTGACACCCGCAAGTGCGAGGCTCATACCAGAGTTTCAGCAGGATCGGCCGAAGGTGTTGGTCGACGTCAACCTTCCTTCGCCTCGTTCTCCAGGATCTCCCGCTCCAGGCGCTCGCGCTCTGCTTGCCGCATACGCATAAGCACGAGGCTCTCAAAGTCGAGGCCAGCGACCGAAGCAGGGGCAGGTGTTGGCGCGGACGGAGGGGCCGCAAAATCCGGCTATTGCCAAGGTCAGACGACGTACTGACGTGGTCGACGGAGACTTACGAATGTCGAAGGGAAAGACGAGAAAGGAGCCGTAGAGGCTGGCTCGGATGACGATTCGGGTCTTGGGGGCGGCACCGTCGATGGTGAGCTCGTAACGCGAACTTCCGGGGTCTTCGACTTTGCCCGGGTGGTTGACCCAAGCTGACCATGGCGCTTCAGCCATCCTATCAGCTCCGGCTCTTTCCCTTCAGCCCACGAGATCTCGATGCCCTCTAACCCGCGTTCGGTCCTTCCGGACGCGCAGACGGCCGCGAACGCCGCGCCAATCTGCGTGAAGGGTACAAGGGCGGTGGCAAATTTAGGAGGCTAGAGCGTCCGAACGTGAGCTGGCGCAAATGCAATGGAGTAGAAGAGTACGCACCTTGTGGGGCGCTTTTTTGGGAGGCTTCATGGATAGTACGACCGATGATGCGTCCGCGATACCGAAAGGCGCAAGGAGGGTGACAAGCGATTCGGCAGTGACCAGCGTTGGGCGTGCAGAGATTTGATATTTGAGGCGAACGGTCGTATCGTAGGACCCTGTACACGAGGGTCAGAAAGACAACATGGATCATCCCACAATCGCACGTACCAAGCACTGGCGGATCGTCCTCCCCAGCCGCTGCCTCAGCCTCCGCTGCCCGTCTCGCCCCTGCCTCTTCCTCCTCCCGTCTCCTCTCACGTTCCTCGCGCATCCGACGCCCCTCCTCCTTGATCTTCTCAGTCTCGGCCGCGCGGCGGCGTTCCTGTTGCACCTTCTCCACCCGCGCCTTCTTGAACGCGCGCTCGCGCTCCTCGAGCTCCTCGACCATCGCCTTCCGCTTGGTGTCATACGCCGCAAAGCGCTCCTTCCGCGCACGTGCAAGTCGCTGCTTCGCATCGAGCGCCATCCGCCGCAGTGGGTCGAGGAGCAGCTCATATGCCTGCGTCAGCTCGTGGAAGAGACGGGCTGTGAGTTCGTCAGTCAGTTCCGTCGTAGAAACGAAAAGGGAGATTTCGGCGGCGTACGTGCATCGGGATTGTCTGGATTCTTGTGAGATTAGCATCAGGCTTCGTCCTGTGTATGATAGAGTGAGGTGCATACCCTGTCAGGATGGACCTTGAGCGAGCGTTGGCGGTAGGCTTTGCGAATCTCGGGATCCGTCGCCTCTAATTGCAGTCCAAGGAGAACATAGGGATCGACTTCTTCGTCAGACATGATGCCGGCGAGGTACGAAGAAGACCGTGGAGTGTATCGTGGTCGTGGCCACCGTAGTAGAGGGCAAAGGCGTGGTGTTGGAGCCGGCGGCGACTCTTTTACTTTGCACCACGTTCACTAGACTGAAATACTCAGGCTCTGAAACTACCTGCCTACCTGCCTACCTGAATATCAAACAGAAACTGTGTACGAGCGTATGAAAATCGGGAATTTTTCCACTGACCCTGGCGCAACGGGCTCGAACACGGGTGGCTATGAAGGAATTCTGGACATCTCGATCCTCGTCAATATCAGACACCAGCCCACTGCACTTCAAGAAGGACTGACAGCGCCTCGGAATATGCCCAAATAATTGGTGTGTCAAAGCAGCATCCTTATCGAGAAGAAGGCTTTTTGGGAAATCCCCCAAAAAGTCCCAAGCGGCAACTGAGTGGGATAGCCAAATGAATGGATTGCTGCCACAACGGCCGCAGGATTAAGTACGCTGACTACGATTAAGCTATACGCGCGATATGGATGTGGTATAGTCCCGAAAGCTCATTTCTTAGAGCGACAGGTTGACGGGGACGCAGCCGAGAGCAATCAGGCCCTTCTGCAAGAGAACAAAGTCAGTATTCAATGACTTTCCGTGGAAGGGAAACCGGACTTACGAAGCTGTTGTTCTCGCAGCACACGGGCGTAGCGCTGCAGCTGTTGCCGCCGAGTCCGACGACCGAGATGGGACTGCAGTCAACGCCGACGAGGGCATCAACCGCGTCGACAACGACGCCGAGGAGGCCTCCCAGGGCGTTGACGCTGGAAGAGGAAACCTTCGAGTTCGGTGATCATCAGTATGCGTCTTTACCTGCAATTGGAAGACTTCGTACCTTCTTCGTGGACTGGCAGCACTGGATGGAGCCGGTGTTGCACTGGCTAGGAGCAGTGCCCTGGGGAGCCGCAGTGGCGACAGCAAGGAGGGCGGCGAACGCAACAGCGAGGGTGGAGCGAGCGAACATCTCGAAAAGACGGTGATTGGTTGGGTGGGCTGGGATTGGGCTGGTCTGAGAGAGAGAGGCTCGAAGAGAAAGTGAACTCGGGTGTTCCACTGAAGAAAACTCACCGGTTACCCTCGTCTTTTTATGCCGTTTCCTCGTCTGCCGACGACGTACGATGGGGCTCGATCGATTTCAAGCCGGTGTGTCTGGTCACCTCCATGGGCGCGTTAACAGCGCTCGGACGCTTCCTAGCAGAGCTCTGACAACTTCGAAGCGACGTCGAAGGAGCGGAAATGGACGGCCGCTCCATGGCGCGCGTTGATGGGCGCGGAGTCTGGACGATCGCGAAGAGGGAGAAGCGACGTCAATTGGCTGGGCCAATGTATTTTGCAGCTTGCATAGGCATTGAGGCGGCTTCGAGGTCGGGTGGGTCCAAAGAATATATCCTTGAAAGTGGTTGTCCGGGTTCTGAGCTTCTGCCATCTCATAGCGTTCTTGGGACGCATTTCATGGAGAACGCGCAGCGCTCGAACCACAGCCCTATGCGTGTTGTTGGTGCAGCACGTCCAGCGTACACTCTTGAGAGGTGCGTAATTTGCGTAAGGTGTGGACCTGCAAGGCCAGGAAAGCCTCATTTTATGCGTAACATCTGCGTTGTCCTTACGTTCATGACCAGGCGACTCACAGGGCGGCTGAAAGTCGGTGAAAGAAGCGCCGCTGTCTAAATGAGCTTTATAATTTCAGCCGACTCCGTCGGTGGGAGGAGAACGGACGCAGAGTAGATGTGGGAAAGAGTCGGTATGTCCGACTAAAGCCACTCGATCAGGAAACCCAAATTTATCGCGCCTCACGACCATCGACAGCGTCTTAACCACGTCGCGCCCTGAAGAACAACAAGCTACGATTCGGATTGCGTGTTTGTGAGCCTGTGGTTGAAGCACAGATGGACTGAAGCAAAATGCGATCGGTAAGCAAGCCGTCATCGTCATCGGCAATGCTATAACCAGCGACGCGCAGCTCGCCGTCAAACGTAGATCCGGACTGTGCGCTGGGATCTCGGAAAGCCGAGGACAGCCCCGCGCTTCCCGTGATGGGCCGAGAGGCATGGATTGTAGTCAGCGGCATGAGCCAAACGTAAGTGAAAAGGATGCTGCAAGATTTCAACAAGCAATTACGATCGTAGCAAGTTCGCAACAAGTGCTCTCCTTACTTAATCCTTTCAACGGACCACCGATCCCGCCGTACTGTCATCCTGATGACGCGGTGTACAGCTGCTGCGCGTTTTGGTGATTGACGGCGACGGTGAGGACAAACGATCGACAGGCAAACAGTCGAGGACAGACAAACGGCCGAGAACATATCTGCACTCGCTGGTAGGTAGGTAGGTAGGTAGGTATATTTCCGGCGCGGTCCCAATAGCGGAACAACCGGTTGGTATAATCACTTCGCTCTGCCCTCATGATGAATGACAACCTTCATAGGAGCTCGTCTGCGCCAGGCACGAGCCGAGCATACCCATAATTCACGTGCCCGAATGACCCTTGCCAGGTTCTGCGTGGCTACGACGTCATGATGAGCGACGCGGTCCGTGCTTCGTTTGTAGCTCGCCTTTGCCTACACGACACTCGCATCAGGAAAAATCGGACTATCGAAAGAGTCGCTTATTGGGTACCGAAACCCTCTAAAGCTACTAAATGAGCACGTTTTAGTACGTTTTAGGAGGTTTTTAGCAAATCCGGTTTTTCCTGATGACTCGTCGTCTGCGCCCCCTCACCGTCCGGTAGATGTTCACACGGTGGCACCCTCACACTCGCGTCTTGGCCTGATGCTCCGTCGTGCGAGCAATCTGGATGGCATCGAAGACACTACGGGAAAAGGAGCAGTACCTTCAGAGGCCGATCGGACTATCGAGCGATCGCGTCCGCTTCAAACGCCCGGAGATCGTGCCCGGCCCCTTCAAGGTCCAGTTTCGGCCTTAAGTCTCACCAATCTGGAATCGAAACGCTCCATGCTGGGATTGCGCCCGTACCTCCGGTTCTTGCAACGAATTGAGCTGCTCTGTGAGGCTCCTCGCACGCACGAGCTTCGCGGTGGTGCAAGAGCAGCTTGCGTGAAGCAAGGGCTCGTGACATTGAAAGATATCGAACTACCGGCTACCCTCTTGGCTCTGTTCCAAGTACGTTGATTGGACGAAACCCACGATCCCACGGCATTCATAGACATTCGATAGGCATGATGGTGAACCGCGCCCCTTCCATCTCGGCACCGCTCGGAGGATGATCGGACCATTCCCGGAATACCCTATACGTAGCATGTCCGTGAGTTCGACGCGGCACCCTGAATGACAATACAATGATAGTCGTCAATTCCTTGTAGAATGAGACACGATGGAAGTGGTCCGGCGGCTTCTATCGGCTTTGAATTATATGGTCGTCGTACGAACGAACTCGCGCCCAATGTCAGACATGAGAACTTCCTCAACGATGCTCCCATCCCGTTGGAGAGATATACATCTCGAGATATCGCTAAAATGAAATGTAAGCTCCTGCCCTCTTTTCCGTAGCAATGTCTGACATCAATGGCAAGTCTGTTAACATCGCTGCCTCAGACCGTATGTCCTCGATATTGTTGCCAAACCTCATATCGCCATCTGAACACTGCCGACGCAGCGATAGCAATATTGGTGCCACATCTCCAAGAGCTGCTCCGCATACAAGAGTAAATGCTCTCATTGACTGATAGTGCCATACGCATCTGCGAATGTGCTGCAGGTATGACTCTCAGTGACATTTCCCCAAGATACGTTGCTGAACATTGCAACATCGCTTTCCTGAAATTGAACAGTGCCTCCGCCGGAGCCTACATACCGTCTTGCAAAAGCTCGACAACTTCATGAACAATTTCGTCAGCAGAACGCAGCGCTGACGTTCATCAGAATCTACGAGTCGCTTCTTGACCCTGAAATCCTCCTTGATACGCTATTTCCGAAGCACCTCACCGACTCACCATCAACTACCGTGCCCCATACGCAAGTGAGCCGACATCACACTTTGAACTATCTGGCTCACGTCTATGAGGATCGCTATCGCCATACTCACAATCCAACTGATCTCTGCCAAGCACTGAAATAAGGTGAAGAAGCCTGCATACTCCGGAAGACGGAGAAAATCGCTTGCCCGACAGTTGCAGTTCTATATTCCAACATAATACATCTTCAGGCTTCATATACCTCATCCATTCAGGAATTGGCCTTGGCCGAATATCCACGAGGACAAAAGAGAAGATCGGCTGCCTTTCAATAATGAAAAAAAAAAACACGGAATCGAGGTACCGTATCCCATGCTTTGCGCCGAACCTCCCGCGCGCGTGTTCACAGAATGATGTTGATCGGAACGCAGCCGATGGAGATGAGTCCCTTCTGCACAACACCACGTGTTCTGTCTTAGTATCCACAGGAAGGACGAAGGCGGGATGCTATACTCACGAAGGTATTGTTCTCGCAACAGACAGGCTGAGCACTGCACGCCGAGCCAGAACCAACCCCGATCACGCTGATCGGCGTGCAGGTGATGCCTACAAGCCGCGTTCAGAAACCGGACGAGGGACCGATTGGGACCTACTCACCGACTAGGACGTCCACAGCATCCAGTACGATTCCCAGAAGGCCCAGCAGAAGGCCGACAACGGGGTCGCTCTCCTGTATACCGCCGCAAGCGGTCAGCTGCGCCACTCCGGATCATACAGACGAGGCTTACAGTGGTCACGGTGTTACAGCACTGCAGATCACCGGTGTTACACTCGCTCGCTGGCAATGTGACGGTCGTCGCAGGAGCGGTCTACCGAACTGCAGGATGAACGTCGAAACCTCGTAACCCTGCTGAATGTACTCACTGCAGTGACGGTGACGGTCGTGGTGACGTCGTTTGGTGTCGGCGTGGCGGCCGCAAGGGCGAAGAGAGAAAAAAGCATGAGAAGAATCACAGCGGAGAAACGGGTCAACATGACTGGCTATCTCGTCGATTCTAAGACTGAGTAGCTGCCACAGACTGGAGAGCGATGGGTGGTTACGCTAGCCTCTTATAGATCCTTCGGAACCTGTACCCGCTGGAAAAAAACGGCATCTCCGTGGTCGCGAAAAGTCGTCCGGAGCGTCAGAGCGTCAGGTCATCGGCGCCGGAACGTGTAGGAGTAGTCGTGGACGTAGCGCGGAGTGTTTCGATCGGCAGAAAGAAAAACGATTTCATTAAGTGCCAGGCACCGGTTGGGGTTGGATGAGTGCTCCACCACGCGGATTTCCGACGCTGCAGAAGGTATTGGAAAGGTATTCGATGTCCCATGCTATCGCAGCTGGGCTTCAATTGAGCGGACTTGATGCGAGCAATGTCGAGACCGTGGAAGTGCATAATTACTAGGTGTTGATCGAAGTGCGTGCGTCACAGGAAGGACGCGAATCAGTATGAGCCCTTCGGAAGATTTCGTCGGGAGATACAAGTGCGCCTTTTCGTACATGAGAGCAGTCGCGGACGGACAGTATTTTTCCATGTTTCGCTAGGCATGCTGCTGGCACGCGGTCTCAATAGGCCGGTGTGCGAACCAGGGGTCATGCCAGGTAGGTAGGTAAGCCCACCAGTGGATTCGACGTGTATAGTATGATGTCGAGTACTTCACGTCCTGGTTGTTATGATCCGGGAGGTTTAGCCGTAGCGTGCTCGACGTTGCCAGAAATGGACAAATCCGACATCAAGTCCCTGCAATCTACCAAGCCTTGCATCGAGGGCCGAAGAGGAGGACGAAGAGAAGTGGAAACTCACTCAAGACCCGATGCATGCACATATAATCCTCTCGCTATAAAGCGCGACTCCATGCTAACGTGAGCCATGCAGTTGCTAGTCCAAAGCGCTTCAGTGCCGCAGCCCGTAGATTACGAACCCCGATAGTCTGGAGTGCATTCCCAAACGATGAGGTTCACCTTCAAAGGACATGTAAGCAGTGCACCCTAGGCTTCTGTTGCGAACGGGCTAGGGCCGTAGTTGGGTCGCCGCACGAGACACATGGAATCGAGTGAACATGAACAGGGTGGTGAGAGCTGAGGGAAGAGTGCGGTACAGCAAAACGTCATCCACCAACAAGCTCGATGAAGATCGGTCTTGACACGAAAGATTGTAGGCGAGCATGGTGGCTCTGTATCTTTTCTAGGCAGATGATGATGACGCACAAATGGAGCAAGTAATGCAGAACACCAAGCCAAGGAAAGTGTTCTGGCCAGCCTCTCGGGCAGGACTTGAAGAACGTACTTAGACTCGTCGGCGGCGCAGGTCGTTTCCCACAGTCAGTTCAGTCTGGCCACGGAATATTGATACGAGTTCACACGGTCAGTTCTTCTTCGCACTTGATTTTTGCCACTTCTTTGCTTTTCAGCGACCATGGCCCCGTCCTCCCTTCCTCCGGCCAAAAAACGCAAGCTCACCACCGGTAGCACCTCAAACACTGGACAGAAAATCAAGAATCTCGAAGATGAATTGACTCGTGCCGTCTCGTCCAACGGCTCTCTCAACCCGCTCGCCGACCTCTTCGACTTGCTACGGTCCGCGTCCGATGCGGAAACCACGTCTAAGGCGATGTACGCGCTCTACCGCGTGTTTGTGCTCCTTGCTTCCAGCGGACGGCTGATGCACGTCGTCGGTGTGGAGGAAGAGGAGAAGGAGAGGCTCGTGCGGACCTGGATCTGGGAACGGCTTGACGGCTACGTCGATTTTCTGGTTGGACTCCTCCAGGATCAGGAGAAAGCGCTGCGGGTATGTTTCCGCATCATCATCGGTATCTGGTCCCCTTTGGAAGAGCTAATAGGATCTTGCCAGACTTCTTCCCTACAGATACTCCTTTCGCTTCAAAAGCATCTCTCGACGGCCCTTACCGCCGCTGACCCCGATCGTCGTCCCAAATTTCACGTTCCACACTTCCGCAGGATTGTATCTGGTCTGCTCACCTGCCCACCATCCTCGCGCACCGGCGCGTCGTCAAAGACACGCGAGGGAGAAGCTACCGATGCGGACTTGACCGAATCTCTGCTGCTCCCGGACGTGCGCGACGCCTTCGTCGAACGCTGGCTCAGCGTGCACGACGACGTGCGATGGTTCTTCCTCCGCGAGTCCCCGTACGTAATCTCTTCTTCGCTTTTTACCAGTCAACTCATCGTGCGCGTGTGCATAGTACCCTCCTGACCACAACCTCCTCCCCCCGCGCGCCCGAAAACTTGCTCTCGATCCTCGAGCGACTTGACACCTTCCCTACCGACCCGGCCGAGCTGAACGCGTGGTGGGTCACCGAGCTCGGCGCGAAGCCCCCAAAAACCAAATCGCGCTCTTCCACCGCTGACGCGGAAGACTCCGACTCCGACTCCGAATCCGCTCCCAACGCCGAAGACGCGGAGGACGGCGACGACGACGACTGGCGCAAATTCTTCGACGATCCGCCGCCCGCGGACGATGCCCAAAAGAAGGGCAAATCGAAGGGCAGACGCGCGCGGCTGCACCAGATGACGGTGCACCAGTCGCTGCACGCGCTTCCGTCGCACCGCGCGGTGTTCACGCGTTGTTGGCTTGCGCTCCTCCCCCGTCTCACGACGACGGAGGACGATAAGAGCCGAAGGGAGGCGCTCGCGATGCGAGCCCTGAACGTGATGCACCGCGGTGTGCTGCCACATTTAACACGCGCGGTGCTCGTCATGGACTGGGTTGGGACCTGCGTCGACTACGGTGAGCAATCCATATTTCTGTCCCGAAGGGTTTCGCTAACGGGGTGTATGCAGGTGGCACGGTCGGCTTGCTGGCCCTGAACGCGCTCTGGATCTTGATCCGAGATTATAATCTGTGAGCTATGACCCCGTCGGTCATGAGGGCTTCGTGGAGGGCTGACGACGTTATACGATAGCGACTATCCTTCGTTCTATACGCGGCTGTACGCCTTTCTCGATCGCGACGTGTTACACCTCAAACATCGCGCCCGGTTCTTCCGCATGACGGAGCTCTTCCTCAGCTCGACGTGCGGCTTCCCTTTATCCTGGTGCTTATCATCCCATACTGAGTGAGCCCTTGCAGCCACCTTCCGGCGACGCTCCTCGCGTCCTTCGTGAAACGTCTCACGCGGCTCTCGCTCAGCGCTCCGCCGGCGGCCGTGATCATGCTCGTCCCGTTCACGTACAACATCCTCAAGCGGCATCCGGCGCTTATGGCCATGATCCACCGCGTCCCCGAAGACGACTCGTCCCCTTCGGATCACGGTGAGTCGCGCAGCAGCTCTCCTTTCCCGCCAACATGGCACTAATGTTATCGAGAGATTGTAGACCCGTTCGTGGCGGACGAGCCGAACCCGAACGCGACGCGCGCGCTCGAGTCGTCCCTGTGGGAGCTGCACGCGCACGTGCGGCACTACCACCCGCCGGCGGCGACGCTCGCGCGCGTGTTCGAGGCGCCGTTCACCAAGCCGGCGTACGCGACCGAGGACTTTTTGGACCACACGTACGGCACGGTGCGTGTTCCTCGCCCCTCCTTCTTTGCTCTCGTGTCGAGCAGGGAGCTGATCTCTCGGGGACGTAGCTGTTCGAGACGGAGGTGAAGCGCAGGATCAAGAAGGAGCCGGTGGTGGAGGCGGAGCTGCCGAAGGTGCTGTTCCCTCGGGGCGCTGCCTTAGAGGAAGCGGAGGAGCTGGCCAGTGCGGGCGGTGTGGATGCTGTCGCCGAGACTTGGGTATTCTGATGCAGTTGCTTCACCTCCCGACCCCGCCGTATTTCATCGAACAGCCCGGGTCACGATAGTTGTCCATCTGCCTGCCCCCTGAGCTCACGATCTCATATGCATGCCAACCTTAAGCTCGGGCGCTTGGCCCTCTGAGCGTCTATCACGATCAGGGACGGGCGTCTATCGTAAATGCCGGATAATCTCGTATTTTCATTGCAAAGGAGGGCACGTGGTGCCCGGGTCTGCTCCCGGAGGCTGGGCTAAAACTGCTAAATCGCCCATCTCGGTCTTCCTCGAGCTCAGCCGCTCGCGCCATCCTCGCCGTTAATTACCCTCTTCTCCCTCCTCCACCAACCTTTATCGCTCTCTTCCCTCTCTCTCAACCTCAACGTTGACGAAAGCTTTGCTTTGCGCCGACAATATATACATCTACGCCGCATACCTTATCGGAGAGTGCCATGCCTGCGGAGAAGAGGAACGAAGGCGGGGATAGAGATAGAGAGCGGGACCAGGATAGGGACAGAGACAGAGACAGGGACCGGTCCAAGCCCAAGGGTCCGGGCAAAGGTAGGCTTTCCACCGTTTACTCTTGTGACCTGAGCGATCTAACGCAGTCACTCGTCCATTCGTTCATCTATACGTTCACTCGCACGCAATACCTACAACATCATGTATGGTTCAGCGAAAGATCTCTCGCACGTCCCCTGCAAGTTCTTCAAGGTCGGCTCCTGCACGGCCGGCGCGGCCTGCCCGTTCTCGCACGCGGCGCTCGAGCCCGGCCAGGCGAAGGACGTCTGCACATGGTTCGTCAAGGGCAATTGCAAGTTTGGCCACAAGTGCGCGCTCGCGCACGTTTTGCCCGGGCAGAGCATGGCGATGGACCGCAAGAACAAGAAGGCCGCGCAGATCGCGCACGCGTCGGGTGGCGGCAAGGAAGGCGGCGGCGGAGGGCGGGAGAGGGATAGGGATCGGGGCGACAGGGACAGGGAGAGAGAGCGGGACCGAGAGAGGGGCGATAGGGACAGGGATAGGGATAGGGAGGGGTCGAGGGGAGGCAGGGCTGGACGCGGGACCAACCACGGCCATAGTACCGCCAGCGGAGGAGGACCCGCCTCGTCAGGCGGCGCGGGCTCCAGCTCGTCGAAGACTGCCGCCAACCCGCTCCTCGCAGGCCTCTCCGTGACGGCGCCGACGCGCGCCAGCCGTGGCACGGCCGCGACGCCGCTCCAGGCGACGATCATCTCACCCGCCGCACCTGCGCCAGCGATCACCGACGCCGACTTTGCGAGCATGAGCCTGCTCGACGACGCATCCGCATCCGCCCAAGCTCCTACCCGCAGCCTGGACCAGCAACCACAGCAAGAGCAGAAGCAGTCCGAGCAGCCGGCTGCCACCTCCTCGGATGCGTCCTCCCCCGCCTCCGGGCCCGTGGACGTCCCCCGCGCCACGCAACGCGCCAACGAGCTCGGGCCCATCGGCTCTCCACCCCGCGGACTGACCGTTACCGGCGTCTCACCTCCGCCGAATTCGACGCCGGGTTCCGCAGGCTTTCCGGCCTCCCCTCCCGCCCCGCCGCTCTCTACCTCGCCCTTCTCCGCGCCGGGCGCGCAGACCGCGTTCCGCGACGTCGACTTCCGCGCGCGCTCGGGCATGGCTGCCTCCCTCGGCGCGCGGACCTGGATGGCGTCTTCCTCCTCGCACCCGACTCTCGGGAACGAAGAGGCGGTCGAGGACGCCGACCTGGAAGAGTTCATACCCGGCTCGCTCTCCGACCTCCTCACGCCCGAGGAACGCCAGCGCCGTCTGTCCCGCAACGCCAACGCCGCAGCGCGCCCGAAACCGTCCATGCTCGCCGCGCCCCAGCTGCGTCCCGCCCCGTCGCACCACGCCGACTCCGGCGCGGGCGGGCACCGCTACTCGCGCTCCGTGCCGGGCGCGTCGCTCCTGAGCGACATCAAGTCGATCTGGGCGCGGCCGGACGGAATGGCTCCCGGCTCGCCGGGCGCGATGGGCGGCGCGGGCGGAGTGGTGGGCGCGTCGCCCGGCGCGAGCCCCGGCCTCGCGCTCGGGAACGGCACCCCGTCCTCGTTCACGTCGCGCTCGCCGCCCGCGACGTCGGTGCCGATGCTCAGCCCGACGAACGCCTCCGCCGCGTTTTTGCCCGGCCTGCACGCGCACTATGCGCAGGCGTACGGCCAGCGGCCCGGGCTCGTCGGCGCGTCGGCGTCGTTCAGCCTCGGCCAGGCGGGCGACGCCGCGAACGTCAACGGCGGCAGCGTCGCCGCGTTCTCCCCGCCGCGGGCGGCGAACGGCTTCGTGCGCCCGCCGCTGTCCGCCGCGCCGTCCGACCCGACGTTCCTCCGCGCCTCGGCGCTCGCGCACCCGCAGTCACAGTCGCAGACGCTCTCCCAAACCCTCGCCGCGCAGCACCTGCAACAGCAACAATACCCGCACGCGGGCGTACCCGCGCTGGGCAACACCGCGGACTTGGACTACGGGGCAGGCGGCGGGGCAGGCGCGCTGCTGTCGCCCTCCGCGCGCGCGCTGCAGGCGCACGCGCCGGGCCAGTCGCTCCCTCAGGGGCTCGCCGCCGGTTACTCGCGCATCCACGCGCGCCCGCCGGCGTTCGGCGTCGGCAGCCCGAGCCCCGCGGCCGGGGTCGCGTTCAGCCCGGGCAGCAAGACGGGCGGCGGGATCGGCTACGCGGAGTGGGCAAGCTCGGGCGGGGGCGTGGGCGTGGGCGGCGGCGGGGCGGAGAACGGGCTCGGGCTGGAGAGCATGTTCTCGCGCTTGTCGTCGTTCTCGGCGGCGTCGAAGGCGGGCGCGAGGAGCGTGAGCGGCGGGGCGCAGGCGCAGGCGGGGAGGGGGTACGGGGCGCAGGCGCAGGCGCAGACGCAGACGCAGACGCAGGTGCAAGGGGGGACGCCGTTGAGCCCGCTCAGCAAGCCGGCTTTTACGGGCGACGACGACGACGTGCTGTTCAGCTTCGATCATTGAGCGGGGCGTGCTCCTCAGCCCATCAAAACCAAACGAAAAAATTGCAAGTCAACGAAAACCGGACCGCCTGCCGTCGGACCATCACATCTCGGGACCTTGGAATGGCCTCCTTCCCTCCCTCTTCCCAATGCAATTGTCTTTCTTCGCGCCCCTCTTGTCCTCGTAATGTCTCCTCCTGCCATTGCCTTGTCTCATACTCTTCAGCTAATGTACACAACCCAATTCACCCATCACCGCTTGGCTTGCGCGTCTGCCCATCGCCCCTGCTCGAGTTCTTCTCCTCTCCCAATCTCCGTCTATTTTGTGTGCGTGATACTGTCATCATTCTTGACTCTGTCCATGTCCATGTGTGTGCGTGTTGTCGTGCGTGTGCGTCTCATTCCATGTGACCCGAAGGTATATATATATATAACCGCAGTGGTACTGTCGATGTGTAGGCGCCGAGAGCGCGCCGTAATTGTATCTATATGCAGTCTCTCTTCCCCTCGGGCAGCCAGTTCTACGACGTTCATGACCCGCGACAGCACTTCGGATCGGAACGTTCACGGGCACTGCTTGTTACAGAAGCTACCCTATAAACACCCCAACAACCGCGGTCAAAAAGTGTGTCGGGGAAGAGCTCGAAGATGACGACAGGACTCACGTCTTCGCCGCAGCAGATACAGCGCGAGCAGGTTAATCCGCAGTGGTTGGGCGCTCCGGCGACGCATGCGCGTTCGGTGAGGCGGTCGAGGTAGGTTGCGGATGCCGAGGCTGGAGTTGCGGAGAGGAGGAGGGCGGTGAGCATGGCGAGGATCGCTGGTAGGCTGGTGATGGTAAGAAACTTCATCGCGGTGGTATAGCGGCGGGCGTTCCGGATGCGAAGTCGAGGTTCGCGAGGCAACGGGGGCTCCAGGTCATGCGATATCTTGCCAGCTTTATATGTTCACCTTTGAGGCCATGTTTTCTGGTATACGATACGTTCTCGCGCCGATAGCTGTCACCGGCGGGGGGCGGCAATCCACGGCGGGATATCGATGCTGATAACGGGAGGGCGTTGGTCCTCGCGGGGACGGGAGACTGCATCTCGGAGCGACTTGGCGTGGACCACGGGTTGTCAAGCAGCACCAGAAGGTGTTATCGAGTAGTATGGCGCGCCTGGGTCAAGTGAGATGGCATGCTGCGTATTGACAGCGCCCAGAGTTCAAACTTATTGGCAGATGCACGCGCATTGGATTGATCTCGACTGCGCGTATAAATTCAACCCGGGATAACGGTGTTTATGCAACCGTCGGAGTCACGTCGGCACTCAATGCGGCCACGATTCAGTAGAGGGTATTTTTTCGGCCATGGTGTCCTTGGAGGAGGAGGAAGGGAAGACAGCAGTGTTCGAAGTTTATTAGACGGTGGTCCACATCAGATTCAAGTCGGCGAGCGGGTTGGGGGATCCAATGGACGACACCACATAATTCTATCCATCTCTGGAACTCTTGATTTCTTGGATAGGCGGTGAGCTTGCGCTTCTTGACGGGAGGAAGGGAGGTGGGGAGCTTGATGGGACCTAGCCGCAGAAATATAATGCCAAGGAATACTGATCGTGAGAATGATTTTGGAAGACTCCGCGATTGACTGTGGGAAGCCCTCCTTTCTGCCTTCACGCTCATCTCTCTTCGCTAGGTCCTGATTCTGACCACAACACGTCTCGTTTGATGTGCCCCCAAAGATATAGATACACACACGCAGCGGTGCTTGATACATAGGGTCGAGAGCGTGGCATAACCGTATCTAGTCTCCACTTTGCAACGAGCTCTGTCACGACCCGCGAAGAAAACCCTCGGGAAGCATAGGGCTTTCACGGGCACGCCTTGGCACAGAAGCTACCCTGGAAACGAACGAGAGAGACATAGTCAGCGAAGGCATCCGGGACGCAGACCGGGAGCGATGAGACGCACGTCTATGTCGCAGCAGATGCAGTGAGAACAAGTGATGCTGCAGTGGTTGGGTGCGCCGGCGATGCAGGCACGCTCGGTGAGGCGGTCGAAGTAGGTCGCGGATGCGGAGGCTGTCGTCGCGGAGAGGAGGAGGACGGCAAACATGGCGAGGGCCACCGGCATGGCTGTGATGGTGCGAGAGTCGAACTTCATCGTGCGTGGTGAACGGCGAGTGCTTTCGGAGAGTTCGAAGTTGAAGGTGAGGTTGCTCGCGTACGATGGCTCCCCTATCCTGCGATGACCGCCAGCTTTATGAGGTTGATTGGGTCGGCGTTCCTGGGATGCGGACCGTGAGCATCGTGGAGACATCAAGAGCTATCATAGAGCGGGCCACTGATTGCGGGTCGGTTCTACGAGAAGCCGGTTCTCCTGGGATGCGAGTGACCTGACCTCGAGCCGCGAGCTGTCAATCGGCTCGGGCAACAAGTGACATTCTGATCCAGGCAAGGTGGCGGGACTGGGTTGATTGATACCATGCTGCGTATTGACAGCGCCGACGTCCGTGAATCATCGTCGTTGGCAGATGCGCGCAGGGGAGGGCCGATAGCACTGACAGTGATTGTGTAACTGCTGGGCTAATGCGACTGCCCGTCCTCGACGCAGCAATAGGATGTCGATCTTGAGCATGTCTCTCATCAAAGCCGGAGAGCCGGATGCGGACGGCACACATACACGAGATGTTTTTGCGTTTCACCAGTTTTCGATCTACTTTTGAGCTGACCGAGAGCGCGAAAGCCAGTTCCCGAGGCCTCGCCTCGGGGAGCTTCGGAGTGCAATGGTTTCCTTTTCCGACTGCTGAAGCTTACTGCCACTCACACCGCGTGATCTATATCTACCTGGCTTTTTGATTGTATAACCCCAGTACTGATGACTGTTCGAACTCATCTAATAGTAACTGCAGGCCATTCATTCCTGTGCCATGTTTCTATGCATGGCTGTACCATATGCTCTACTATGCACGATGTATCACGCTGGTTCACGGCACTATTCATACTACAGATGCACTGATGGTGGAGACACAGACACTATATTTATCCAATTCTTCCTGATTGATGTATCTTCTCCGAGGTTATAAGCCAGGAGCCTCCATCGTACCTATCGCCAACCATCCACCACGCGCAATGGGCTCCCTGGCTCCTGGTGTGTATGTATTCTTATATTACGCGCTCATCCAGAACTGATGCAAGGGCAGCGCACTCGTTTGTACATCTCGACGTAGAGAATATCAAGCTGATGCGGCGGCACTTCATCGCGTTCATCGATGCATCCGTCGCCGCCGTTCACCTGATACTCCGCTCGCAACATTGTTCAGCCATCGACCGTGATCTGCATTACCGGCTAGCCACACAACTGATCTCTCGCTACGAAGAAGCCGGCGGAGATGAACGGCTTGAAGAACCGATTGATATACTTCGGGCGCTTTTACGCTGCCCGGAATTGCAGCAGGAGCAGAGAATACAAGCGACGGAGACCCTCGCGCGGGCGCTGACACTCGAACACAGCCGTAGCGGCATTGAAGATGCTCTCATAAATGCCAAACAGCTCTCTGACTCCGCCATGTTCATGCGAAAAGACCTGGGTCTCGACTCGGTGATGGGTCTTGGACTTCGAGCGATGGTTCTCACCCGTCTGTGGATCACCAAGATGATGACAAACGATGTAGTAGCTCTGGAGCTAGAGTCGTGCCTGAGCGGCCTTCGACAGTACGTGTCAAGCCCAGAGTGTGCGGGAAGGGCTTCTACACTCATGGTACTTTCTCGCTGCCTTGCGATCCAAGGAATGGGTCGTAAAGACTTCCACGCTGTCGATGCTGCCGTGCTATACGCTCGCGATGCATGTAAACGCGGCCTCGCATTGTCGTCTGCCACCTCTCATCATCACCTGGGTAATTTGGCGTTAATACTGCATCGTCGATTCTCACAGGTTCATGCCGACAGGCCCGAGCTGGATGAGTCTATCACACTCTTTCAACGAGTTATCGAGATGAGAACCGATATCCAGCCCCCGCTTCGGTATGAAAGCTACTACGCCTTGGCCCTGCTCACGCGTTATGAGAAGAGAGGATCTGTGGACGACCTCGACGAAGCCATCCGTCTTGTGCGAGCCTACATTGGTACCCATGCGGAGAACTCGCTCCATGTATGGCACAATCGATATGTTTTAGGCGTGACGCTGTGGCGAAGATTCGAGCGGTATGGTGCTCACGCGGACTTCGACGAAGCCTTACAATGTGCGCAACAATGCTACAAGTCCTCGCGCGCAGATCAATCCCGTGCTGTCGCGAGTATATCAATGATATGTGATCTTTATAGCATCTCACTGGTGAAACAACGTCGGTTGGGAATGCCGTACGATGTGAAACTGCTCATCGAAGCCTGCGACGCAGGCCGCGAACATCTGGCGATGCAACCTCCTGGAACATTGCACAGATACGAAGCGCTTTCGTACCTAGCACGGTTCCTTAATGCCCTCGGCTCCCTGACCCGTTCCAGATCTCTGCTAAAGGAGGCTGCCCAACGTGGCCAAGAAGCATTGCGGCTTTGTGCTGCTGGGTATACAAACCTGGCCGAGATACATAATATCATGGCAGACACAATGCAGGAATTATACGATCTGGTTGGAGATGTCGCTTATATCGATACAGCCATTGAGCACCGATGCATGTCCTTGAAGATTTCATCCACAATACCAGCAGCATACGCTACTTTCTGCGTCGGACTCGCCGAAGATTATCATGCTCGATTCAAGGCAATCCAATATAGACAAGATCTCGTCGAGTGTATGCAAGCTTACAGTAATGCCATCGATCATCCATACTCGTCAATCCTCGACCGCCTTGGATTCATTAGGCGATCACTTGCAATAGCTAAAGAAGCAGACGATACGCACTTTCTTACCAAGGCCTATCAACGAGCGATGACACTTCTACCTCGCATTGCCTACCGCGGAATAAATATTCGCCACCGACTAGAGGCACTGAAGAGCATAAAGGATATACAGACCCTCGCCGTGGACGCTGCCATGCATGCCTTATCCATTGATCAACCGCGGCTCGCGGTCGAAAATGTAGAACACGGGCGGGCAATCCTATGGAATGGCGTCCTCGAGCTGCGCACCCCGTTCGAGGGCCTCCCATCTGAGCTATCGCTCCGCTTGCGGGAGGTCTCCCGGATCCTATACGAAGCTGAAATGAACGAGTCGCAAAACGTCACCGAGGGCGAAGCATCCAGACTACGAAAGCTCGTTGACGAGTTCGAGAGACTCGTAGAAGAAGCTCGAGCTAGTCCCGGATTTGAGCGCTTTCTGCTCCCCCCAGGCTTTGAGCACCTACGAAAGGCTGCCTCTGGAGGACCCGTGGTGCTTCTAATTACCACAGAAGTTATTGCGCACGGAATAGTGATCCCATCGGATAGCTCTGAGCCTTATGTCGTGCCGTTGCCCGACGCCGGCATCGCGCGCGTATCGCAGTGGTCGAGGACGCTATCGCAAGCACAGCGAGCTACACGGAGTGCGGTCGACGGCGAATACCAAGGGAGCTATAGAGACAATCGGATCCTCGTCAAACATCGTAATATGACCGTGAAGGGACTCTCCCAAGTACTGCAAGACCTGTGGACGGATGTCGTAGATCCAATCCTGAAATCTTTAAAACTTCCCGTAAGCTATTGCCGTTTATCCCGAGTAAACATCACTAATCACTCATTGTCGGTATGTCCTCGATGCTCAGCAAAGGCGCGGAGAAGTACACGCGCGCCCACGATTATGGTGGTGCCCAACAGGCGAGTTCGCCTTCTTGCCGCTCCACGCTGCGGGGACTGCGTCGGGGCTATGCACCTCGGACTTCGTCGTTTCCTCCTACATCCCGTCGCTGAGTGTCCTTGTCGAAGCCCGTCGTCAACGCCAGGTTTCTTCTGCCGATGCATACGTCCTGCTCGTTGCACAGCCAAACGTCCCAGGAGTCCAGCCTTTACCAATGGCCGCGAGGGAGGTGTCGCAGTTAGCGGCCATACATCCTCAGCACCGTCTCGTATGCATCGACAAGGATATTGGTGACGCGGATAGCTGGGATGCCGTCACGGTAGATGTGGTACGCGAAGCGATCCAGAAAGCTTCTGTCGTGCACCTTGCTTGCCACGCCAAACAGGATAAAGACGATCCGCTCAGCAGCGGTTTCGTACTGAATGGCGGCAGTCTGACGATAGCGGATATCGCTCGCGCTAGGATGCCTCGAGCATTCTTCGCCTTTCTTAGCGCTTGTGAGTCGGCAGCAGGGGACGAATGTCTGCCTGATGCAATCGTGCATCTCGCGGGATCAATGCTTTTCGCAGGGTTCAAGTCCGTAGTCGGTACTATGTGGTGAGTCGATCTCATCCCGCGAAGGAAAGTAACTCATTCTCGATCATTATTCAGGGAGATGTACGATGTAGACGGTCCGGCGGTAGCGACAGAGGTTCACCAGGCCTTGGTGGATGGTGGGTATCGCGATCCCAGCTTCATCCCTCGAGCACTAGACTCTGCTATTCGCAAACTCCGTGAAAGCGGGCTACCGCCAGAGCGGTGGGCAACGTACACTCATATGGGGATCTGAAGTGTTCGGTACTACTTATGCAAGCGGTCCTCGACGCAGCAATCAATCGGTAGGCTATCGATCTTGACCGTGACCCGATCCCTCCCCAAAAGCCTGAGAGACGGATGCGGACCGCACACAGACGCGAGATGTCCTTGAGTTTTATTAGATGTGGTCTGACAACCGGTTTACAAGTTGTGAAAAGGAAGGAGAACAAAGTGAATGGCCGACCTTCACGCGGCGAAGCCGAGACCGAAATGCAGTCCAATGGTTCGTGGGAATAACATGAACTCGTATGACTCCTTGGTTCGTCGCCTTTCGTCTCTGTATCGTCTCACAAGTTCCCTCCTAGACCTGTTCGTTACCTTCATCGCTTGTGATCGGGATCATAATATGGCAGAAACAGAACGTGAGGAGACGAATTTCAAGATTGCTTGATCGTTTTCACACATCGATCGTGATTCGTTTAGTAGCAGGGCGCTCGGAGACAGCGCCTCACTGTCCTTCTTGCCGGTGTTCGGAAGGATTCATCATTCCGCATGGTTATGAGTACGATGAAGAGGAGAGACAAGGCTCCGCTCGCTTCGAGGACTCTATAGACTCTCTTGAAGACCGTATCGAGCACCTCGTCGCGCGATTGTACGAGCTACGCCGGCAAAGAAACGCCCTAACCCCTATCAATCGCCTACCTCCCGAGATCCTCCTCAACATCTTCCTCCATTTCCGCGCCATATCTTGGTACACCCATCCGCGATGGGTCGAAATCTCCCATATCTGCTCCATGTGGCGCAATATAGCCCTGTCCAGCTCGGTGCTGTGGAACACATTGGACCTCCGATATCCGAAGCTGACGAAAGAGCTGATTCGACGTTCCCGGGGCGTTCCCGTTCATGTGCATCGCGCTAGCACAGCCATTCTCGGTCTTCCCTTTCTGGACCCTTCCATACCCATCGCCTCTATCGATGTCGCCGTTTATTGCGCCCATATTCCAGCGGTGCTGGGAGTTCCCTTTGGACAGTTATCCCAACTGAAAGAGCTCGAGGTCACGATGCTTGAATTCCCCTTCCGTGGGCCCTATTTACACAATGAATTGACCCAGCAGTACCCTTGCCTTCAAGTGATTCGCTTGCATCGGTGTCATCTTGATTGGACCTCCCCGTTGCTGAATACCCCTACTCACTTGCGGGTTATTGAGATTACAGACTCCCCGAGTTACATGTTCTTACAAGACTTGTATCATCGACCCTTCCGCCACGTCTTGACAGTCCTGAGCCACCAACAGAAGCTAGAGTATCTCGAGCTTGATCGTGCTCTACCCTTCCTCAATCCCTCAAACCTCGGCAACATACCCGCGCAACGAGTGTCGCTACCAAACCTGCGATACCTACGAATCCACGATAACGCATCCGAGATGCTGTTCCTCTTTTCACGTCTCCGCCTCCCTCCTGGTTGCACTGTGGTTTTGAATATCGCGGAAGAGAGCGGGGATAACGCCGCGGATCGTTTCGTGCCGTCAATCGACTTGCTTTCCTTCACGGAATCCGTTCTGGCTCACGCACGCGATTATCGAGAGTCATCCTTGATGATATCTTGGGCAGGGTCCCTGACATTGGTCTGCGTAGATGGCCATCGCGTCGGTGACCAGACACCCCCTAGGATAGAGTGCTCGTGGCCGATCCCTCGCGATGAGGACCCTCGTGCGTACACGGCAGTACTTGGGCCCTCCATCGGCGCGCTCTCGGTTTCGAAGATCCGTATAACAGTGGGACCTGTGCGCACGCGACTAGAGCATGAACACTGGCGACAGCTCTTCGGCAACCTTAACAACGTATCTACCCTCCGCGTGTCTATGAACTACAATAACCTCCTCGGCACTCTTCGAGCCCTTGCAGACTTCGACGCCGATACGCCCCGGATGCTTCCCCACATGCACACCCTCGAGATAGCCGCCCTCAGATCCGTCACATTGGCGTCGCAGTCTGACCAGCGTGCCGCTGTCGAGGAGATTGCTCATCACTTGGAGCACCGATCCACGGACGGCGTGTTCGAGAGATTGTACATCTGCGAGGACGTGAGGGAGAGTACAGAATGGATACGAGTTCGTATGGAGGGCGTAGCCTCGATGGTTGTATGGGGAGCCGACCTCAGAAAATGGATGTAGTGGTAGAAATTGCATCGATCGTTTTCTTGCCTTAGGTAGAGCCGATTTGTGGTTTGTGGTCCATATTACTACTGTGAGAATTCCTTGATCGGGAGTCCCTGGACAAACTGGTACAGGCATGGCCCGGCGTGTGCGCCGCGGCACGCTTCGGGTGAGAGCGTTGTGATGATGGAGGGGGAGAAGGAACGCGATTCAACTTGGGTGAATGAGCGCCGGACACGGCGACGCTCGCATCTTCAGCTCGGCCGGGTCTGTGGGCAAGTTATGGGTGCTCGAGGAGAGGGTGTGCTGGCGAGGGGAAAGTGACGCAATGAGCGCCGAGAATCAGTACCATTAAAAATCAAGTTGAAGGCGAGGCTCTCGAAAGTCCCATATATTCGATGACTTGTCTCTCCTCTCGTGCGATACGTCCCTGATCATTTGACTGCTGACTTCTTGCCTGGAAAATCGCACATGATCTGCGATTTGGAGCTTTTCAACGCATCATGTTCAGCCTTATCCGCGTTCCGGCCGGCCGTCTCTCACATTCCACGGCACCTTCAGATGCCATGCCCCGTCGCGTGTACTGTACAATACCGAGCGTCTTCGCGAGAAGTAAGCCGCCTGTCAGGCCAAGGCCGGCAAGCACGTTAGAGCGATGATACCAGCCTCGTCTCTCCTTGACAGCGGGTGCGACTGCGCGCGCGGTACGCAGGGATTTGGATCATGGGGTGAGAGGGACCGGAACGCCTTGTCCGTGCGGGCTGGGTAACGGAGCAAATTAATGGAAGTAATCTCAGCCATCTGCGCCGGGTGGCTCATACACTATCATTCGCAAGTTATATGATAGTTATATAGAATGTATCTGCGGGCGGTCAACGCTCTTTGCAGTAGGCAAAGATGTCTGCGGGAGCCCACCAAGATACAAAGCAATATTACAAGTTTCACTCCACTTGATCCGCGTGCAGATACACCCTCATGCAGGAGTAGCGAAGACATCGGAATTCCGCATATCCATTCCGAGCCGATGTTAGACAGGGCACATATCTGTACAACTGAACATAACGGAAGTCAAACTTAGACACAGGCATCTGCTCGTGTTTATCAATGACGCTTGAAGGATTGTCGGACAAGTCGTGAACTCACGCTGATGACACATTTCTACATGTAAGCTAGGTTAGCTACCATTGGGCTGTCACGAAGCCAGCTTTCATTCGTGATAGCACCTTAGGGATTTGGCATATGACCCGGAGAGATGGTTGCGTCGACATGTGTCAATTCTTCTTGCGGACGAGAAAGGGTCGGTCATCAGTGGTAGGCAGTAGGTATGTAGCATCCAATTGGAAGGCGAGCTGAGGCGCGAGAAGATGGAAGAGGATGAAGAAGATGGCATGCGCGGGCCGCCGTCGGGTGCCGCCCGCGTACGAGCGTGTGTCCGATACTGTGCATCCACCCCTAATGCAACATCGCCCCCTAATGCAACATCGACACAAATCCCTCTCCTGTTCCTTTCCTGCTCAGCTGTTCGTCTCGGAAAAAAATCTATGTACTCTTAAACATCTATAAATACTGTATGTAAGAGATGAAGTAGGAACGAGGCTTGGTTCGGGCTACAGAAAAACATTAGGACTGCTCGAGTGAGTTGATGCAACATGTCGCGAGTACTCCACGGCCTCGCTTCGCCGGATCGGTAACGGAAAATTCATGGAAATATTTGGTAGTACTCAGTACCTTGTATTCTATCTGCTACGCCACCCCGATTTGCAATTGCTGTAATAATGCTGCTGTAGGAGGATGTTCAACACAAAGGACGGTGTTGGCGTGACGGATGAGTTCAAACTCCGCCTGCGTTGATTGGCCTGAGCCTCTTGAGCCCTGCGTTGCGCTGCAGCCTGTCCTAGTTCGGCACCTCGGCAAATCGTGACCGCGTGTGATGATCTCGCAACTTTGGCTGGTGCTCACTTCGTCTCGCCGGCATCTCGCTGGCAGAGCTGAGGCTCAACCAAAATATTTGAGACGCTGCATGACATATCTATAGCATCCTGGCTATCTACTGCCAACGTTTCGGACAATTTCGAGCTAATTTGAGGGAGATATAACCCTAATGCAACACGCGTTGCATTAGGGGTGGATGCACAGTATGTCAAACACCGATTGTCAACGCTTCGCGCTTCGACCCAAATCGGCCAAGGTGTGGCGCTTCTAGACCGCGCGTAGGAGTTTATTGTTGTGCGCTTTTTCGGTGCTCAGCCTCCGAGCCCGAACATCGTTCCTATTGTCCTTGACCTCGTACCGTCACCGTCAGCGCCATCCGTGCATCTCCTCGTCTCGCCGCCGTCCCCGCGCCCGCAGAATAACCAGATTTGTACCAGCGGCGAGCGCCACAGCCCTACCGCCGAACCGTCGCATCGTACACATAAAAGTAGACGAGGGCGTTGCAGTCAAAGCAAGGAAGGAGAGGTACGAGCGCAAAAAAGGTTCCGGGCTTTGATCGCGTCTGATCCGCGGTATACTTGGGCCAGCTTCGGCTAGATACCCAGATCTCGACTGGCTCTTTAGCCTGCCGCCGAGCACCGCGTTCACCTCGACCCCGCCCCGCCCTCTTGCTCGCCGTCGCAGCGACCGTAGGCTAGGACGATTGTCAAGCGACCAACATATCCCAAGCGTCGGCCTGAACACTGCTCTGGGACCGAGACATACAATAAGGCACTGCTCAAGCATACCCCGCCCGCCACACACGCGACCGAACCCCGCTCCGCGCTCCTCCCCCGGAGTTATAGGACATCCATCTTGAATTACCGCTGGCCACCCCTCGTAACGAAGAGATCTTGCTGCGATGGACACCACGGACACCACGATAGACCATCGTCTGGCGAACTTTGACGTTGGCGCAAACTACCAGGTCCTCGACGTGATCGGCGAGGGCGCCTACGGAGTCGTCGTGTGTGTTCTCTCCTTCTCTCTTCGCACATCCTAGCGTACTCACTCCCTACTATCCTCTCTTGATTTTCCTTTATTCCGGCTCACTCACACACCCCTCACGCTCAACCGTAACCCGCCTCGCACCACTTCGCGGACACCACCAGCTCGGCCCTACACACGCCTTCCTCCCGCAAAGTCGCGATCAAGCGCATCACGCCCTTCGACCACACCATGTTCTCCCTCCGCACCCTGCGCGAGATCCGGCTCCTCCGCCATTTCCGGCACGAGAACATCATCGCCATCCTCGACATCCTCCGCCCGCCCTCGTATGCCGACTTCAAGGAGGTCTATCTCGTCCAAGAGCTGATGGAGACCGACCTCCACCGCGTCATCCGCACGCAAGAGCTCTCGGACGATCATTGTCAGTACTTCATCTACCAGGTGAGCGTCGGATAGCGTTCTGTGAGGGCGATAGGCTCGGGTTGACGCGCGCGGAAACGGATCCGTAGACGCTACGGGCGCTGAAAGCGCTTCACTCCGCCGACGTTCTCCACCGAGACCTCAAGCCGTCCAACCTCCTGCTCAACGCCAACTGTGACCTCAAGGTATACACGTTACTCACTAGATGACTCATACATGACCCGAATCATATTCAGCTATGTGACTTCGGGCTCGCTCGCTCCGCCAAACCACCTCCAAACGTGGCCAACGACTCGTCGACGTTCCTTACGGAATACGTTGCTACCCGGTACGAACTCGCGTATAGCATTATTTCATATCGTCACGATATCTGAAAACTCGGATATGCAGGTGGTACCGCGCGCCAGAGGTGATGCTCACCTTTAAAGAATATACGCGCGCGATCGACATCTGGTCCGTGGGCTGCGTCCTCGCCGAGATGCTCTCGGGTCAACCATTATTCCCCGGCCGTGACTGTACGCGTTTACCCTCGAACGATCACTACCATATAACCTCACCTTACGCTTTTTATTATCATATCGATACGGCAGATCACCACCAGCTGTCGCTCATCCTCGACGTGCTCGGCACGCCCTCGATCGACGACTTCTACGCGATCACCTCGCCCCGTTCGCGCGAGTACATCCGCGCGCTGCCCTTCCGGAAGAAAAAGCCGTTCAGCCAGATATTTCCCAAGGCGAACCCGCTCGTGAGTTCCCTTTCTCCTCTCCTCATTGGCAGCAATACAGTCGTCAAATCTTATTTATCTGACTAACGCCCTCCCCCGCCCCCCCCCCCCCCCCCCCCACAAAAAAGGCGGTCGACCTACTCGACAAATGCCTCACCTTCAGCCCCAAGACGCGGATCGACGTCGCCGGCGCGCTCGCGCACCCTTATCTCGCCGTAAATGCTTTCTCGTCCCGCTCAACACCCTCTTCGCCAAGTCTCATCACCTACTTTTTTTTTGGTTTTGTTTTGCAGCCGTATCACGACCCCGCGGACGAGCCGACGGCGGAGCCGCTCGACCCGAGCTTCTTCGACTTCGACACGGGCGAGCCGCTGGGCAAGGAGCGGCTGAAAGGTGCGTTTTCTCTTTCTTTTTTATTTCGCACCCCCCCCTCTCCACCTCTCTCTCTCCTTCATCCCTGCTTTCGATCGCTCATGTCCCCGGATTTTTTTTTTGTTCTTTTTGGGTTCGTTTTTCTCCCTGCGCGCAGAATTGATATACGAGGAGGTGATGAACACGCATCCGCATCCGCCGCCGGCGGTTACCGGGGAGGATGCGCCAGAGGTGGCGATGTCGTGAGGGGGGATCAGTGTTCTGCAGTCATTTACTTTCTCTTCCTATCCATTCACGAGAACAAAAGCGGCTTTCGGTAACCTCGATATATTATCATCTCCCTTGGTTTTCTTTCGCATCTAATTACCCCTTTCTTTATCGTAATATTCCGAAGACGGACATGGTGGAACGCGAAGTGAAGGGAGAAAAAAGAAGTGTACATATATTACGGTATATATGAGATATGTGATACAGTGGATATGGAGTGGATGGTTGCGCGGTTGCGGCGTTGGTTGGTGAAGCATGCGTGAGGAAGAATGGGGTGAGCTGGAAAGGCCAGCGCGACGGGCATGGATGGGTGAGGAGGACCCGGTTGTAAGCGGTATGATGCGGATCGTGGCTGGATGCGATGCGAAGGAATAGCGTAGACGATTGAAGGGGCACATACAGAAGGAGTGAGGAGAAGAGCAGGGGGAGATTACATGTCGTCGACACTCCATTCGTATGCTTCGCGTCCTGCACGTTTTCGCTCGTTGAGTTTTTGGAAGAGGCGTTTCTCGAAGCCGTTCCCTCGATCTGAGACGAGGACGTTGGTATCGACGCATTCATGGAGATGGGAGGAAGGTATGGCTCACCGACGCCATCCCACCTGTACCCGGGCTTGATCCCAAATCGGTTCGGCGGAGGTGGGGGGCCTGAATATTCTGGCCTTCGTGGGCCCTTCGACTTCTTTTTCTACGAACGCGCAACAGTGTTGGACATCAAAACCACGGAATGCGTGCAACAAGTGCGTGCTCACCGTCAAGAACTGTGCCGCGGGGTCGTTCCACCGCTCCTGCGCCCGCATCTCCTCGTTCATCTCCCGGTCGTCCGCGTACCGCGCCACGTCCCTCGTTCGCGCCTTCTCGAGCTCCTCCCGCCGCTTCTTCTCCTCGTCGCGCTGCACGAGCCCCTTCCCCCATTCCATCTTGCGCGCCTCCCTCTCCTCCCGCTCGCGCTTCTTCCGAGCCGCCTCCGCCTTCTCCGCCGCGGTATCGATCCGCCGGCCGGACGCGTCGCGATACACGGTCTCCTGCGCCGTCGCGGCCTCCTCGTCCGGCTGCTTTGAGGTTTTCTTCGCGACTTGGGCGGAGGGGAGGTGTTTCTTGATCTGCGACTTGGTGAGCAACCCGCCGACGAACGGCTGGTCCTCCCCCTCCTCGACCACTTGCGGTTTCTCGTCCTCAGCGGGGGGCGGCGTCGGCGCGCGGATCGTCGCCCAACCACCTCCCGAGCCCTCCCCGCCACCCTCCACCCGCCTCTTCTTGAACCCGCGGTCGGACGCGACGACGGCCTCCTTCAGCTCTTCGTCGTCCCCGTCCTCGCCCTCGGGCGCGGCCCAGCCGGGGATATCGTCGTCTTTGATGAAGGCGGGTGTCGTAGAAGTAGCGGAGGATGAAGGGTCGGCGTGTTTCTTCTTTTTCTTCTTCTTCTGCGTCGGGTCGCCGGTGCGGGCCAGGATGGCGTCGGCTTTGGGGCCGGACATGTATTTGGCAGCGAGGTAGGCCTTCATGGACGACATTTCTGCAATCAGTTGGCACGATTATAGTATGCTTATGAGGTATGGTCTTCTCAGTTTCAGTGCTGCCAGCGGTGAATGAGGTCGTACACAATGATAGAGGAGAATGGACGCGGTGAGTTGGAGGCGACGGAGTTCGAACTCGCATGTCGGATCTTGAAGCGGAGCGTTACTTCCGCTGTATTCCGAGTCCGCAGCCCCGCCCCCATCTGCATCTTCATCGCTGCGTAGTGTAGCCCTTGCGCGATGGCCAGTCCCCCTATAAATAGAGACGTCTCGCTCTAATAATTACTGGGAGACCAAACTCCCTAGCTTTGGCCCGGATCTCAATACCGGATCTCAATAATACTTGTAAAACAAAACATGTCTAATTACGCAACAAAAGCGATTCCATATAAGTGTGACCTGATTCCCATTCTTTGCAGCTCTATCGACTGTACATATATATTTCAGAGCCAGGCACTGCGATGCATGTATTCGGGCATGTACCGACTTCGGAGGCGGATTTGAGCACGCTCACTGTGCTGGATGAGACTAAAGTAGCTCAGGCAGGTGAGCTTTGTAAAGGACATTCACACAGCTGTCGTAATCATGTGTTGAAGGTTAGCAACGGCGCCGCGCAAGGGCGACCGAGCGCATAGATAAGCGCTGAACATGACCAAGGATCAATAACAGGCATAAGTTCTGATGTGCTTGCAACGTCGCAAAGCCCTACTCCTGCCCGAGTCCACCGAGCGTAGCTTGAACGACGATCGGCAGTGCCTTCACCCCGAAGCAATAGAGCAGGCTTGTGCACATCCGCTATATGTTGGCTGCGCGAACACCCTGGTATGTGCAGATTATTCAAATTGATGCTATCACAGCGTAGTCGGAGGACGAAAGGCAGCCAACAGGCACAGAACGTCTCGTGAGATAGCGCCCAGGGATGCCATGAACCTTATAAATCGCAGCAAGCTGCAGATGGTGACGATGTCCTTGGTTTTGTTCAGAAATATGATGGTGTTCGGTACGCAGGTAAGCGACGCAAACATCGACGGAGACATGGGCGTTGCCATCGTGGACATAAGATAGGGCTCATTCAGTTTCAACAGGTCCCACGGGTCTTGCTAGTCGAATATAATAATCTACGCTCAAAATTCTCAGAAATCGCCGCCCCAGATTTCAAGATGATGTACATTCAAAGAGAATTGTGGTTTTATATTTAGAGAGTGTGCCCCGTAGCGAGTGGAATTCGCTGCGCAGCACTTATCACACCTGTTGAAACTGAATGAGCCCTATCTTAGATGGCATAGAGCCCCGGGAATAGCGGTGTTGATCTCGCTGGCGAGGTGAGAAATGCTTCTGACCGTCGCAGTGTGTGCTAGACGCGAAGGAGAGGGAGGGTCCAGTACCAGTAGAAGACAAAGAACCATGTGTCTGTCCGCGGTGACCGTGCTTGGCGTCCTAAACGCTGTGAAAACCGTGTGTACTGATGCAGGATATACGCCATTTTGTCACGGCAACAGGGAAGAGGGAGGTCATTCGTTGTGGAGGTGGCTATCCTATCAAATCGTGAGGTAGAATACCAGCCCCATCTTGCCAGACAGCCGTAGAATGGAAGATACTCCTTCTGAGCGAACAGCCCTACGGGCACGCGCGATGAACGTGCCAATGGCCGCGATCGAAGCTAGGGTACATGTACGATCAGAAATCATGAGAATATATACATAGACATCGTGCGTGGAGACACTCGCGTACCTCCGGAGCCACGAACACAGCATCGGTGGAGTATACGTGCAAGTCTTTACACGCAGAAACCATCACCGTCTCTACCAAAGCAGCGCTTAGCGTGGCATGTGAGATCTCCTCGCGCACAGCACTTGTGTGTTGGCATCGACGCGTGCCGAGAAGACTAGCAGCTACTCACGCAGCCCAGCCGTGACAGCTGTATCTGTACAGGGACTCCGACTAATAGTCGGGAGCCCGCCTTTCGCGTTTTACGACTAAATAGCCATGGAGGCCATGGCGGTGCGTCAGGGTCACCCTGATTGTACATTGACTGGAATACCCATCGCGTGTACTGCTGCCGAATCCTGGCCGGATGCTTCTTTGGAGGTGAGTACGTGGGAGAGTAGTTTGATGGGCGTTTGGTAGCGCCATAATAGCATGCCGGGCATTGCTCGCTTAACATATACGTTCCAGACCCATGCCGTATCAATGCCGAGTGCTTCTCTGGAGGTGAGTAGGCGGCATTGGCTCGATTACCGTGCCTGGGTGTTTGGTAGCCCTCCGACGCCGCTCGCTTAACATACCCACCGACGTTCCGCTCGCTGCTCGCTTAATATGCCCCGCCCTCCGCTCGCTTAATACCGCCGCCCTCCCGCTCGCCGCTCGCTTAATATGCCCCGCCCTCCGCTCGCTTAATACCGCCGC